TTAAGCTGACTAAATTTGCACTATAACGTTTGCTCTGTCGGAACCATTGACATTACAACGTTGGTTGCTTCAATATTAAGGTTGTTGAGTACTAAAGCAAGTTTTAAAAAAAAATTATTTTAAAAAATAAAAAAATCTTGTGGGAAAAACTAAAATGAGCAAATATTCTAAGGCTACGGCCTTAAGTTTTGAGTAGCACCTCATCACGACTGGTAGCTCGAGGAACAGGACCACCTGGATGAGATCCCATTGGGACTAGCTAGGTGGATTGCTCTGACAATCTTTACCATATGTTCTAAGCCATGGTTCTTATTGTAGGTGTACATTGAAACTGCACAATATTGTCAATAATGTGTTATGTATCCATCACAATTTTGTTATGTATTTGCTTTTGCTCAACTTTTGTTATCACACCGTACTTTATGTTATGTATTATTTCTAAGTCGAAACCACATGTTAAAACACATAACATACTGTTTTCAAACGACATTACTGTTCACAGTTTATTTAATAACTAATCTACAGATATACATGCCTATGATCTGTCGGCGAAACCGTATGTTGTAAAAGTATTAAAACATCTTGACTTTCAACAATTCGAAGTAACTAAAACCTACTATACTTTAATTAATCCAGTAGAATATCTATGATACTGATAATCTGTGGAAGTGAAATCACAAGATAATGTTAGCTAGTTTTAAAAGTTTTAAGGAAATAAAGTTTTAACGCCAACGCTAAGAGTACAGTATACCTGGATTATTAATTGTTATGATAGTCTACAAAATGTTTTCGGATTGTGAAACAGCGAATACATCCGTAACTGACGATGTTGCTTACAAAATTCAAATTAAAAAAACGTCTGGCTTGTTTCTTTTTATAGCTCAATGATTTCACAACAAAAAATATACTTTTCTGTGTACTACATGTACTATAATTGTAGTACCAACTTTACGAGTGTACCCGATCATCTAATAACGCCATTAAAACATAAAAACATCTTCCCCCCCCCCCCCCCCAAAATTTTTTTACAGTCAGCAACATAATTGTATCTTCTAAATGTTGTTTTGCCAAAAGGTCATGCACTTAATGTTCTGGTTGTATACTTTGTCATAGTAATAACACAAAAACAAAGTATTAATAAAATTATGATTTACATGCCATCACTTCTGACCCGATACTTACACTTTTCCGAAACAAAACAATGTCGTTTACAACGCTCTTCAATCTCTAAATTACTTTATCGTATTTTATCTTGGCACAGTGTAACAGTGCATTAGTGATTACAATAATATGTTTTTCAGATTTCATAAGAGTCTTAAACCCAAATGTTAAACCTAAATTTGATTAAAAGTAGATAACCTACAACATTTTTTTGAAATTACAAAATGAATATTCAGACTTCTGAAGTCTTTCTAGTGGATTAGATACCGTAACATTTAAAAAGCCTTCTATGTATGCAGACGGCTACCGTATTATCTATTGTTGATCAAATTTGTGAAATTTTTAACATTTCAAGAAATAAAAAAAGATATTTTAATCAAAAAGGTTTTCTAAAGGTTGGTTATTTTAGACTAAGATCTACCTTAGTAAGCTAACAAAGGCTTACGAAATTCCGTACTAATCAAGTACCGTACTCCATACTTCAGCAGTAATATAATGTTTGTTCTTTAAAGTACTTTTAACCATTACCTCGAGTAATTAACTATAACAGCTAAAATTATAACACCGCTTTGTGTCTCTAATTAGTACTATTCGAACTTCAAAAACGTACTTAAAACTGAGAATTTCCGGAATTTCATCCGTTTAAAGAATTCGAATTAGTATTTGATTGTAAATACTTGACAATTTATTAATGCCATTAACCATTCTAATCGTGTAAACGAATATAAACAACTTTAAATAACAACAATAATATGGCTACAGTAAGGAAACAGATTATCCTATATATGGTTAAGCTGGTGGGACTTCTCGAGGGTACCTAATCTCCCAATTTGTACTTTAATTAAAATTTCTAAAATTTTTTTATCTAATTGCCTTTAAATTGCTAATCAACAACTGCGAACAACGCCTGATCACACATGCTATGTGCATAATTAAGGGCCTACGTTGACTAATCAAAGCCTATAGTTAGCGACTAATTTGTTTCAATTAGAAGCTTTACGTACATTTATAGTAAGCCAATTATACGCTGCAAATCTTTTAAAAATTTTATGGTTTGTGCAAACTTTATCTATTGCATACTGTAATTAAAAAAGAATCAAAATTGTTACTTCTACCATTCTACAAACTTTACAAAAATTATAAAATTCTGACATAAAAATTTTAATTTTCTTACATTGCGTATCTCTTGGGTCCGATCAGTTCAACATATTAGTCGAACATTCCAAAATTTGTCTTTACTAGCCACTTTTAAGAGCCAGAACCACAAGCTAACCTTGTTTGTGGATATTAATCCTATAGCTCACATCATCCACGAAAAGATCTATAAAGCGTTTATTACGTTTTGATTGGGTTCAACTTTTTCTCCTTCGTGCGCTATCTTCATTTTATACACTCTCTAATTATAAAAAATTCAACACAAATTTTTGCGTTTTCTAAATGAACATCTGTATATCGTACATATGTACATAACTGCTTATCTTTGAAATAAAATTAAAACGGCTTGATTAGTACTTGGATCGGAGACGTCCTTGGAATCTCAAGTGGAGTACGCCTTTTTGTACTTTTTACGAAATTCAGCTACTGTTTTTAGAAAAACAAACATTCTTTTAAAAATTTATCCCTATAATAATATTGAAAATAGCTGTTTAACAATATCTATTTCAAGATTAACTTGAGTTTTTTATACTTTGTAATATTAGTTCAACCTGTTGGTTAAACATTCTAAAATTGTCTTTTCTAGCCACTTTGAAGAGCCAGAACCACAAATTAACCTTGTTTGTGGATATTAATCCTATAGCTCCGATCATTCTTCTCTAGGTCTTAAAAGCGTTGATTACATTTTGATTGAGGTGTAAGTTTCTTTCCTTTTCTGTCGCACTCTATATTTTGTATGGTCTCATTGTTATGCATAGAAAAGGGTTGATGCAAAACTTTTTAAAGGCATTAATTTAAGATAAAAATGATAATGTTTCAAGTGATTTTTCAGTATTTTAAAATTTTCAAACATTTAATCAATCTATAAATAAATGCTTTAATTGTACGATTTGCACGTTTCCCAAAAAAAATCTCATCATAGTATTAAGAGCCTCAAGATAAGATAGTACTAATTCAATTAATTCAAAGACCAAATTTGGAATAAACAGAATAAAACTGCAGGAATTGAAATGTTCGGAAATGTCACAAATTAGATATAGTATTAATTAGTGATTAGAGAATTCTTAATCCCCAGTAAATAAGATTAAAATACAAGTTGGAGAAGTGGAATTTGAATATCAGAACAAAGAGATTAGATATCACAAATATCTCCTTGTGTTTATACTACTGTAAGCCAAATAAGCTGACTAAACTATCATGATATATCAGCATGTCCATAAATTTTAAAACATTTTTATTTTAATTTTTTAGAATTTCAAGGAGATAAAAGGTATAGAGAAAGACCATACATAAACAAGAGAGCGAGAGAAATGGAAACAAAATCAAACCTCAATCAAAAGATAACTCGCGCTTTTGATATCTTTTAGAGTATGTTCATTTCTATAGGATTAATACCCACAAACAAGGTTAGGTTATGGTTCTAGCTCTTAAAAGTGGCTAGAAATTACTAATTTTGGAATGTTTGACCTTTAAGTTGAACTAATATTAACACGCATCTAAATCAATATTGTTTGAAAGTTTTATAAAAATAAATTTTGTTAAAAAACGTCATTCTTTACTATAATAAAAACAGTAGCTGAAATTAGTAAAAAGTATAAAGAAGGCGCACGCCACTTGAGATTCCAAGGACGTCTCCGATCCTAGTACTGATCAAGCGCACCGTTGTTTAAATTGCCAGATCGGACAGGATGGCGTGCGTTCAACGGGCTATAGCCGTACACGCTTGCGTTTTCTTATCGTTCCAATTTTACTTCAAAGATAAGCAGTCATAAAAATAAACGATATACAGATGGCTATTTAGACAGCACAAAAATATGTGATAGATTCTGTATAATTATAGTATAAAAAATGAAGATAGCGCAATAAAGAGAAAGAAGGTAAAACCCAATCGAAAGGTAACCAGCGCTTTAAAGATCTTTTGGTGGATGATATGAGCTATAGGATTAATATCCACAAACAAGGTTAGCTTGTGGTTCTGGCTCTCAAAAGTGGCTAGGAAAGACAAATTTTGGAATGTTTGACTAAAAGTTGAACTGATAGTACAAAAAAAACAGTATATTGAAACTAAACACGGTACGAATCTATATCAAGCTTCTTTTTTATTTTTACGCTTATAAAAATATATATATCTTTTTTAAATTTATGAAATTATCAGAAATTACCAGAAATTTCTAACATTTACCGTACACAACCAGATGATGTTTTACTCCCACCCAGTAAAAATAGCCCATAATCCACCAATTCCAGGTATAAAATCGAACTTTTGAACCATAATCTTATTGTTGAAGGCACTTCCCACGTTCAATTATAATCGTATTAAAAAATTATGACATTTTCTTTAAAATTTTGAGTATTTTAAGCACGGATATCACATGCAAACGATATTATCCTGAAAATAATCTGGTTATAAGTTATCCATCTTGAGATTCAAACGTTAATAAGTATTCGAATTCACGTACTTAAAACTGTTTTCTCCATATTCGAGCGATTGGGCTAATCATGCGGATAATATGCATATAAACTGTATGTAAGTAATCTTTATTGTCAAGATATAAAAATAAATAATCACAGTGAGGTTAAGATACCTCTGATAAAGGTTCTTTATCAACATAAAAAATTTCCGCCACAGTAGGATTTCCATTTCAACCACAGTAGAAAGTGGCCATCAATTTAAAGTATAATAATTACAGTAAAGGTTGAACTTCATTTTTCTCTTCCTCAACTAATTGTACTGTAACATTGAATCTAGCTACAGGTAAGCCATCAGAAGACCCCACTACCACTGTCTCTATACCCAAATTACTCAAGGCTCCACGTAGGATGCCTGCAGGTAATGCGAGGAATAGTATCGCGTCGCTCAGATATTGTTGTCCTTCAGAAAACGATGTCAGTAAAGGAAATTTGTTGTCTTGAATCACGTATGTACCCTAAATTAAATTTTTAGTTTAACGTTGTCGTTTACAACCCCTTTTGCCTGTATACTTTAAAAAATAAAACATAACTTCAAAAACATCATGTACATGAATGTAAAGCTAAAAATATACAAAACAAAAACCGCGTTCTTCCAAAAAATGTTTTCATAACATACCTGATGATTAGTCCTCAAGTTGTCGACTTGTTTTCCGAATACATTGTTCCAGAACTCTTTACAAATAAACTTTACACTTTCGAGTTCTCCAGGTATCCTTGGCATGTCTTTGGACAGTTTTTCGGCCAAAGAATAACCAACTCTGAAGCCCATTCGCTCTAGCCTCGTTTCAACATTAGCCTAAAGTAAACTTAATATACTGAATAAAAGTTCAAAATGCCCACCAAAAAAAACCTACGATTTTTATTAAATTAAGAACAAAATTTGTTACTGAAGTTGAAAGTTCGCCAGACTAACCAAAAAAATTATTCACAACTTTAAACCCTCCAACAAAATAGATTTTAGAGAAAAAACCCATACCTGTTCAAAAACCTTATCGCTTAAACCAAGCATCGTATCATCCAGATTCTCAGCGCCATCCTTTTCGATCTTCTCTATCCATTCTTGTTTTAACTTATTCTTGAGTAATTCCTGTTCTTTGAAGTACTCGACAACTTCAGACACCAAGTATGATATAGGAAACTCTGTTGTTGTTCCATTTACAAGACTCATCTCATCGAAAACTAAAATAAGTTGCTTTAAAATTACAATATGATCGTGAATTAACAAGTTAATATAAAAGTGCCTTGAGTTAGCCATTTTTGCCACAAAACTTAATAATCAAACCTGAATAATAATCAAAACTCTAATACATAAACCCACAACAATCATATTACATCAAATAATAAAAATTTACACCGAAACAACAGCAATTTAATCAATATTTATTCGGTCAGTTACCATAATATCGCAAATTTGTACAAAAATGTAAAGTTTTATTGTCGAAAGTAAAAAAACAACCCGCAGATCTCGCCACAAGGTAAGCCTAGTCCGTATTATCCATGAGCGTTACAAAATGAAAAAAATATTCATTTATACTACAAAATAATCTTACTACACACACGTTACATGAGTGTTTTGGTACAACATTACTATAAAGAGATCCATACTTTGAGACTGGTAAGTAAATTTGAAGAAAACTTCGATCTTAATCTTGACAAATGTTATTATTGAAACGTCAATGCCAATAGTATACAATGAGAAATTAAGATTTTAATCCAAGCCCAAAAGTCACTCCATAATGTTGTCGGCAAGTTATGTTATACCGCATTAGTAGCTATACAATATAACAGTCTGTACATAAAGTTAAACACCTCATACAACATATGCATAACAAGATAACAGAACAATAACAGACAACAGGACCACCCCGAAAGGTAAGAGATACAAAATTTATATTGTACATATACTACATCCTCCAGCCTTGCAGACTGCTGTCATCGTAGAAGTCGTCTTTCGTCTGCATACTCTTTGTCCTGTCCACAGCTCCACCTCGAAGCGGCGTTGTGTTGTTGGGGATCTTCTTTGGTACCTGTTGAACTGAATTCGTCTTCCTAACACTCTGAGATGGTCGATAAGGGACCGAAATCTGCTTCCTCTTCACCGCTGGTCTTGCAGGCTGATATCCACCGGACTGATTACTTTGGACCGACTGATTGGAAGCTCCGCTCAACCCTTGGCCTGAGATTCTAGTCTGTTGTCGAGTCACTGGCCGTCGTGGAGCTTGGCTTGGGGGCTGTCTTTGGTTAACAATAACATTTTTTTTTAGTCCTGGCATAATTGGACTGGGAACAGCTTGATTAACATCATTTTGAACCTTCTGAACATTAACTTGTCTTTGATTAGAAGATCCAAGAAGTTGTGGAGGTCCCATAACCTTTGCCTGGTGATCCACAATAACCTCTTGTTGTCTAATTTGACTGGGTTTGACTGCATTATGACGCTGAGAATTGCCAATAACAATAGAGATGTTGGGTCTAGGAAGAGGTGGCTTCTTGACAACTGTAGCATTTACTTTTTGAGGTAGAACTGGAGCTTTGAATTGAGATTCTTGGATCTTTTGAGTTTCAATGACCTTTCCCATGGCTTGACTTGCCCCGAAAAAATCAAAATCGTCTTCGTCTAGTGAGTCGTTTAACTTTGATTCGACTTCGGGTTCTGAAGGTGGAGAGCGTAGTAGTTGACGAGGAGTAGCAGAGGATCGTGTTCTGAAAATAGGCAATATTATTTGTTAATCTTTAACACGTTTTTCGTATCTCTGTCCATAAAAACATCAATTTTTAAAATAGAAAAATTTCAAAAATGTTACCTAAAATGCAAAAAATAAATATAAATCTACTTACTTTCGCACCGGGGTTGTGGCTTCAGGTTTACCGTTTCTTGAGGACGAAGACGGCGGAGTATCCAAAAGGTTTTCCAATGATTCAGCAGTCTTGTCTAGATCTACATCTTTTCTAAAGCTTCGTGACAATCGAGATACATCAGGACTCTAAAACAAAATAAAATTAATATAAACTGTTTTAGGACATAATAACATATTTAAAAAGTGAACAACTAAAGAATGAACCAAAAAAATAATACCTAAACTATGAATTTACTTATTTTTAGTCAAATCTGACAACAAATTAAAATAAAAAACTAATAAAACCATAAACTTACAAAGTCTTCTTGTCTATGAGCATTCAACTCAGACAAATACTTGGCATAAGCCGCCGGTGGGCCTTTATCACATTGCTGAGTCTCGACTAGAGGAATACCACCGGAATGAGTTGGAGAATCAAACCAGATATAATTACTCTGCCTGTACACATCCATCCACACCGATTCTAAAAACAAGAAATTGTCAAACAAAATTTTGTCCACGAAATGTTTCAGACTATAAAATTTTCGACTCGGATATCAATAAACAAACCAAAAAACAAAAATATTCAACTAGAAGAACTGTTAACATAATGTTGTTGCTAATGTATTACCAAAGTAGCATTATCAGATAAAAAAGATAGCTTTTTTCGGACTTGTCGCTATCGGTTCACGCCGATTTTCAGCGAAAAACAAATTCTTGTTAGACTTTTCTCCGGTTTGAATTCGGCTTTATTTACGCAGCTTGCGCCCGCTTTACATTGGTTTACGCAGGTCGCACACCCTTTTTATATTCTGCCGACGGAATCATTTTTCAAGTAAAACAAAACTTCTACTAATAAACCAGTAACTTTAATATTTTATATCATTCACTAATTTATTTATCATTGTTTTTGTCATACATGAAAACACATTTTTTGTGAAATAGGCATAAAGCATAGTGTTTGTTAATCATGTAAATGCTGCTATAACTTCATTAACTGATAAAATTAATTTATTACTTTGTAAGGCTATCTGTTGTAAAACATAAAATTTTAAAAACTTTTGGAATGCATAAAGGTTAGTACTCTACACGTTTGTGTAAAAATGTAAAAACCAAAATCTTACACTGTAAAAAAGTTACAAAAACTTGTCTTTTGTAATTAAGAAGTGCCTGTAGAATACATAGGTTTAAGTTATGCTCTACTTTCTGTGTGATTCCTCTGAACGCGGACTCGTTGCGCGGGAAACAATTAGCTTCGAAACTGGGACGGAAGGCCACGATTTACTGTAGATCGTTGTGGGACCAATTCTATCGGACTTTGCGTCGAATCGATTTTGCCGAAAAACAACGTTTTTTTCTGCGTGTTCGTTTAGGTGTGCGTTCTTATTGTTGTATCCTTTAATTTTCGTTTCTTATTCACTTTCGTCGATTGTATTCGTTGAGTTTAGGTGAGGCTTGAAAATGACTGAAACTAAAGCTGAAGGAGAGTTTGAGACCCCCGCCGTTGCTGGCCAAAAGAGGTCTAACTCTGAAAATGGAGGTCCTGCTTCTAAGAAACCCAACACTGGAGACCCAGAAGGTAATTTTTTTATATTTTTTATGATAATCTAACTGATGAGTTTAACTTTATGTTGTTTTTGGTACCTAATTTCTTTTTTTTAATGTTATTATTCGTTTAGTGCAAGTAAAAGTGTTGATTCCGGCTGGTGCTGTTGGAGCTTTGATTGGAAAGGGTGGAGAATCGATGAGACAATTGAAAACTGACTCTGGATGTCGTGTTCAGATGTCAAAGAACCAGGAAATGTTCCACAGTAAGTTCTTTTGGTTTTCTCTTATTTTTAGGTTAAAATACATGTTTTATGGTAATATTGTACACAATAGTTAGTTTTAATACTATTTTTACTTCTAGAAGTATATTAATCAACTGTTTATGTCGTTTTGAGGTTTTAGATAACACAATTTAGGTAACAACACTGTATTTACCTATTCATGCTACATAGTTGTGTAGATTATTAATATCCTTTATTTTTAGACACTAATGAACGTATCTGCTTGGTGAAAGGAAAGGTAACCGCCTCAATGATGGTGATGAAGGTGATTTTGGAGAAGATTCAAGAGAAGATCGAAGCCAACAACCCAGCTGATCCATTTGACCTTAAAGGACTGAACCGTCCTAATGAGATGAAGATTGTGGTGCCAAACACATCAGCTGGTATGGTTATTGGAAAGTCTGGAGCCAGCATCAAGGAGATTCGTGAATCTACTGGAGCTAACATCCAAGTATACCCAAAAGCTGGTTCAGAAGAGGCCAAGCAGTCCATGGAGAGAGTTATTACTGTTGGAGCTGAACAGAACCAAGTTTTGTTGGATGCCATTTCAAAGGTACTGGAGAAGGTTGCGGCTGATCCACTTCACGCCCAAGAAGCTCAGAAGACTGAACAATACACGTCAAGTCAGTCGTTTGGCTTTGGAAGAGTTGACTCTACTCCAGCTTTTGGAAACTTGAACAGTTTTGGAGGATCAACCCAAAGTGTTTGGCAATCTCAGACTTCAATAGGTAAGTTATAATTAGTGTTTGCTGTCTTTTTTGGACCTCTTTTAGTGTTATTATGGTTCAAAGCATACCTAAAAGTGTGTAATTGTTATCTTTTTAGTCTCCGACAACGGTTTTAACAAGAACAACAGCTTTTCTGGCGGACAGTTGAAGTATAACGGTCTCCCAGTGTTGAACAACAATGAGGTAAGTAATATTTTAATTTTTTAGCATCGAGTTTTGATAATATTTTGGTTTTTCTAGTATTTTGATTACATATCATGGTTTTTTAGGTAATCAACTTCTTGGACAACCTCCAGAACACTCTTCGTAATTCTGGATTTAGCGAGAGTGCCGTGGCCGAAATTATGCAGGCTATGAACGTCCTGGCTCGCTACAACATCATGGGACTGGGTTTGGGTCTGGGTGTTGCCACTATGGCTCAATCCAGACAAAATGAACCTCCTCATCAAATGATGAGCAACCCCGCTCAATCGATGCCTCAACGCTACGACCTGACTCAATCCATGTTGGGTGGCAATGGAATTTCGTCGATTTTGGACGGTCCTGATCGCTCTGAGGTATGGGAACGTTATCCTGTCAAACACGAGTACTTTTAGGTCCTTCTCTGTCATATCTCTTTAAGGGTTATTTAATGTTCAAAAAATGTTATTTATTCTGTTGATCGGTGATTCACAAGTTTTCATCTTCTAGTATTGCACTTGCTCTAACAGTATCTATAATCATTAGTATTGTTTTATCTTGTTTCGAGAAGCTTCTATAGTATGGATAAATCTGAATTCTTTCATCGGCTTTGATCTTCTGCTCTTAACACTGACATTCATTTAAAAATCTGCTTAAATCTTATTTCAAAGTTTTTGAATTGTTCATTTATCCGGAGTCCCTATTAGATCATCTGCTAAAATATTCTTCATGTTTCCCACCAGTTCCTCAGATATTGTCCCCACAATCTATCAAACATGAAACTAAGATCACCAAAAAATGAAATCAAATATATTACACTTGATATTTTAGGGTCTTGGCCATGGTGGAGTCCTTATTGATGTGTTGGGACAGTCGAATAATGTCAACGAGTCCTTCGCGTCTACAGTCATCAAGGAGCGTGTTAACGAAGACGGCAGACTCGAATTGGAGGTACCGGATGCCATTGTTGGAGCTGTTTTAGGTCCAAAGGCCAAGACATTGGTCGAAATTCAACAATTAAGTGGCTGCAAAGTAGAAGTACATAAGAGAGGAACAGCTAACACTACTAACGGACATCGTTTAATTAGGTACGTTGGTCATAGGGAAGGAACACCGTATGGATTTATGTTATTATACTTCGCGAAATCGAAGTATATTTTTTATTTAACTTTGTTCATTTCAGTTTGACCGGCTCGGCCGCCGCCATCGCAAACGGCCGCCAGATGGTGGAGAAGGTGATCAACAATGAACAAGCACGTCGTGGCCCAGCCTCGAGTGTCCGCTCGGGCTTCTGATGGGAATAATGGTAACGGTCTTGCTGTCTGACGTGAAGGTCTGACGTCTCTCCATTTCTCACACTCTATTCTTCTGTTATTTTCATTTTTTTATTCTTCAACTTCTGTTTGTTTGTCATATTATTAATATTCACTAAATACTCTCATTTCGATAGTTAGTTATTTGTTGGTACTGTAACAGTACGACTCGTCTGAGTCTTTTCTTAACCCATTTCTAGCTACTACTGTATGATACAGTATGATTCCCTTATGGCTTCTGTATACTGCAGTATGACTCACCATCTGACTACTGTATAACACAGTATGACAGTCCGAATGTCAGAGGTCTTAATCTCATGTTGTGTTAGTGGTCTCGGTCGATAAAGGTCTGGATCTCTTGTCAACGTGAAGGTCTGTCAGATACTAATTTCCTAACTTTACACCTTTTCAAAGGTCTAACCTTGAACATTTGATAACCAGCGTATTTTAATATCTTATTTTAGTTTGTTAATTAAAATTTAAATATTTTCGTTTAATTTATCTTATTAAAGTTACCTTACTGTGAAATACACTCTTTTGGTCGGATCTTGTACCAAATTATTATATTTGTGAAGACATCGCATATACATCTTATAATTTGAAAGTTACATTACACCTTACATTTCCTTATCGAAATGTCGTAAATTATAACTTATAATAATATTGATCTAAGCTGATCTTCCATGTCAATGCAAGAACATGTCAAATCTCAAAAATTACCAAGATACGAACATCTTGTCAGTCACGCTTACCGTCGGACATTACCTAAACCTAAAATTCGTTTCTATCCGGCAACTGGTCGGATTCTGGCTCCAAATCGGTCATGTCAGCTTACTCGGTCAGTCAAAGCTTATCAATCATGCATATCAAATCATGATACTATCATAAACGGTCCGTCAAAGCGCCTTGTCCAACTTAAACTACTTTTTAAAACTTTAAACTCGAATTAACTTATAATCAAATAAACTTCTGTCAGTCAAAAGCTTGAAAACTTACTGTTAAACTCGAATCCAGTCAGTCAACACCGTCAGCGTCCGATTCTTCAGCTTTTCTTCCATTACCGTGTTATCACTATAGCATTGGTCAGAACATAAAGTCAATACGTGTAATCTCAATGTCGGTCGAAGTAACGTTAAAAAAAGTCAACATCTTTCCCAAAATAAATTCTGTTTTATCTGCATGGATCTTCTGAATCTTCAAGAAGTTCTGTTTCCAAATTTATTTTCCAAAAATATTTTTTGTCCGACAAAATTTTGTTTTTTCTTATTTTTCGCGCGATTTTACGTTTTCTTGATGTTGTGAGTTTTCGATGTTATTTTTTCGTATTTATTTAACTTTTTTACATTTTTTATTGTTGCTGAAGATACTTTGTAGTATTTTACACTGATCTGAAACTAATTCTTCGTAGTTTTACGCGATGTTGGATATGACGCGCACTTAAAAAATACGTTTCCTTACCTCAATTTTTAGATGAGCGACGATTCACGGATAAAAGAAGCTCAGCAATGTATTCAGAAGGCTGAAAAGCTTTTAAAGACATCTATTTGGCAGCTGAAAACAAAACCTGAATACGACTTGGCGGCTTACGAGTTTGACAGAGCCGCAATCTGCTACAAGAACGCTGGACAGTTGGATAAAGCTGTGGAAATGTACATTAAATCAGCCGATTGCCATCACAATAACAACAACAGGTTTCATGAGGCCAAGTAAGTTATTTGGTTTGTTGTTTGTTTTTAGAAAACAACAAAAAAAATGTAAATTTAGGTATCTAAATAGACCTATTCCGTGCTGTTTTATTAAAAAAGAACTTAAATATCAGACATTAGACTATTTTATATCTCTGACACTGTTATTTCAAATTCTTATTTAGCATTATGCCTAATAAACGTTTTTTAACAGCTATATTCTTTTAGATCGAAAGAACAAGCAGCGATGATGGCAAAAGAAGGAAACCTGATTGATGAAGCTACGAAGTTGTTTGAGGAAAGTGCTCAACTTTACCTAGAAGCCAATTCATGGGATACGGCATGTCAAGTGATTGAAAAGGCTGGCAAAATCCTGGAAGGAGTTGATTTAGACAAAGCGTGTGCATTGTACGAGAAGGGAATCAAAATTGTGACAGAAGCCGATAGGTCCAAAAGTGTGATCAGTTTGTCACAAAGGCTGATTGGACTGTTGTTACGACAAAAGAAATACAGTGAATCTCTGAAAGTCTCTCGATCCTTGATTGAAACCTTAAAAGAAGTTGATAATGGCAAAGTTGGCATGATTGGCTTGGGAATGGTGATTATATCGCTTTTGAACGGAGATTCTATTGCTGCTCGACAATGTTTGGGATATTTGCAAGAGTAAGTTATTGCTTTTGAGTGTCGTAAGATTGGGTTTTCTTTTTAAATTGTAATAACAACTAACTACTGTAATATGTTTTTTTTGGAAAACAAAGTGAGCTATAACAAGTAATGTAATTGTTTCAGAGATGACAAGTTTGCTCTGGAAAACCAAGCTGGCCAAGCTTTGATTGTAAGATACGAAAAAGGCGACGACGAAGGGCTTCAGGAGGCTTTAAGGTCTGGTGTTATCAGGGCTATGGACAATCATTACCTGAGGATAATAAAGGACTTGCGGGCTCCAGAATCTGAGTTTGAAGTTGCTGGTGGCGGTGCCGCTAATGACGATGATGAAGATGATCTCCGATAGTAATCTTGTAGATATTTTTAGTAAATTTTGTACAGTATAATAGAAATTACTTTAGTATATATTATACTAACGTTGCCAATACGATAAGCTAGTCTTTTATGCTTATTCTGTAGTATAATAATAGCTTATATTGTCTTAACTTTCTCTGACAGTCACTTTTTGTAAAAGTAGTGTTTATTAACAATGGCACAGTAACGTTTTCCTTATTTTACAATAACTAATGTGATGAATTTTAATTCCATGACATTCCAGTAATAAAAGATATATTGTAATAAGCAAATTTTTATTTTTCTGCTAATAAAGGACGATAATTAATTAGAATTATATTTAAAATGATGTGGGATTCAATATCTTTAAAATATTTTATGTAGTAACTAGTGTAAGGCTTACTACTACGTTTATTTGGTGATTAATGGTTTTATTGTTGTGTTAGTTATAGTAAACTCTAATGGAAAGTGAGGACTTGAGCGAAATGGCAGACTTTTTGGAACAAGAGTCAGGTGGAGTTTTGTCTGATGTTGCTCATGATCTAATCAACGAATGCTATGGAGCTACGTGGAGTCCTGAAGCCAGCAACGACTTTGTAGCAGAATCAGACGATCTTCATTGTGATTCTCCTAGCACGTCACAGGATTACCTTAGTAGACTGGAGGGGCCAGTTTATTATCAACTGGTATGTTGGAGTTGTTAAAGGTGTAAATCGGGATACTTTTTTGAAACTGTACGCTTGGCTTTGGGCTTCAGAACACAGCTAAACTCTGGTTTTTATTGATCATAGCTTAAATAATCCATTACTGTTACAGGGTACAGTAAACAAAAGTTACAATTCAACGTTTTTTCCAATTGCAGCTACATTTGGTACTCAACTTGATATTAACAACGATTCACAGTGCCTCTACGTACAAGAGGATAATCAAAAGGCAGTGGAAGAAAATTCAAACAATTTGCATATGCTCCAATTTACCAATGATACTTCATCTTCAGCCTTCAGTACTCTTTCAGTTGGAAGAACACGGTTTCAATGTCCAGAATGTGAATCACACTTCAGTAGAAGAAACGACATGAACAGACATCTACAACAGAAGCATGGTAACCCAAAAGATGTCTTTTTCTGTCCTTACTGTCTAACAGATTTTACAAGGAAACAAAACTGTATACGACATTACAATCGATGCACATTTGTACCGAAGGATGTATCGGTGGAGAAGCTGAGGGAGCCGTTGACTGAATTTCCTGGTTAATATGGTTTTACATATGTTTTTCTGCTTTAATTTACTTCAAAGGATGTGATAGATTTTAAATGTATTTTTATTTTTTTTTATTAATAACGGGTAATATAACTTTGTGAGCTTTAAAATTGAAAGATAATAAAGTAAAATATTTGAAATGTATGTTTTTTGAAGCCGACCGTAATTTTGAACTGTATTTTGTTATTTTATATTTGAAAATTTCTTTTGGAATATATTATAGTAGGCGATCTGTTTGAAATACCTATAGAACATCGTGGTAGATTATACTAAATGATTAAACTGAACGCAGCTGCCAATGTTTATCAACTAAAAGGTATACGAATAGCATCCAAGCTTTCCTTGCCCTTTTTGCTTCGAACAAAGTCTAGTTTGTATCTAAAGTTTAATGTATTGGGGATGTTTAAGCGTTCGATCGAGTGTTTCATAAAGTATAAGGTTTTTTGCTTAACAAAAACACTTTTTTGTTCAGTTTTTATCATTGAAATTATTTTGTTTGTTTTAGCTTGGATATTTTCTGATTTTTTTTCAAAAATTATTTTTTTGCGATATTGTTGTAGTTTTGGAGGTTCTATGTTTAATATTGTCGGATGGTTAATATAGATTATAAAATTAATTTATTGTTTTAGATTTGTTTTATTATTATAATATTATAGATTTTCACTTATATTCTTCCATCGAAAGTCATGTCTTTAAAAGGTAAAGTAGCCCTAGTCACTGGCTCATCTCGTGGAATTGGCAAAGGAATTGCTGTGGCATTGGGCGAAGCTGGTGCCACAGTCTATGTGACTGGTCGAAAACCTGAAAACGCGGAAAAAGTTGCCACTGCGACAACTTTGCAACAAGTTGCTGATGAGATTACCCAAAAAGGAGGAAAAGGCATTGCTGTATATTGTGACCATGGTAACGCTCAGGATGTCCAAAAACTCTTTGAAAGGATTGATAAGGAACAAGATGGTCAATTGGATATACTGGTCAATAATGCTTACAATGCTGTGCCATTTCTGATGAGGAATGTTGGGAAGAAGTTTTATGAGTTGAAGGAACCAGCTGATGTTGTTTGGGATATTGTGAACGATGTTGGACTGAAGAATCACTACGTTTGTTCGGTAAATGCGGCCAAAATGATGGTGAAGAAGAAGACTGGCCTGATTGTTACTATTGGCAGTCTGGGTGGGATGAAGTACCTGTTTAATGTGCCTTATGGAGTTGGAAAGGATGCTGTAGGTTGCTTTGTAGACGATTAAAAACTTTGAAAGCTAGAACATTAAACACTTCTGAAGGATTTGTTTATTTAAAAATGCTGTGGAGATCATCGTCTTTAAACGAAATCCAGTTTAGTATAACGATAAATTTCAGGTCGACCGTTTGGCTGCTGATATTGGCTACGAACTACAAGGTACTGGAGTGACAAGTGTCTCGGTATGGCCAGGAGAAGTCAAGACAGAATATATCACTGAAACTGTTATCAAAGGCAAACGCGATGTAAGTTATGTTTATCAATGTTCAAATCAAATGTTTTCAGCTTTCAAAAATTTTTTTGCTTTGCGAATTTGCACTATTAATTTTTTTACTAAAAAGCTATAAAAATGCTTTGGTATAGGATATGGCCAAGTCGTTTGCCGCTGGAGAAGACCTTGGATACAGCGGACGTGGTATTGTTCATTTGGCCAATGACCCAAAGCTGAACGAGTACAATGGAAAAGTCATTTTGAGTACGGAATTGGCTGAGAAGTATGGAGTTAGAGATCTGGATGGAAGTACGTTTTTTGTAATTTTAAATTGCATTTTTGGGACAGTATTATATTCACATTTTGTTTAGATATAAACTTTTTTGTATGTTTTCTTCATTTATATTATACTGATCTTATCTTACAGAAATCCCTCAACCAATTCACTTGGAAGAGCGTCGAGATTTTGCCAAAACCATCAACGCTATCAGAACTGGTGACTTTAAACATTGATCTGGGCGAACTTGCTGTTTCTAATATTACTGTGTAATGTTGGGAGTAATAATGTAATAATAAACTGCCATTTGCGAGTGTCTTTGATGAATCTGTTAGTTTATATCACTGTAGAAACGTTTTTTTTATAAAAAAATGACAAATGATACTGCAATGATAATTACACAGTAAATTTGTATTAACGTAAATGTTTATAATTGCAGAATTATTTAAAAAAGTAAAGATAATAAACAGAAACCACAATTTATACATGAAAGAGACTACAGTTTTGATTGTTTTATCACAACGAAAGTTTCTTGTAAACACTTTGTAATGGGTTTAAATGTTGCGGTATTTTTAAAGCTTTGCTTGTTCAGATTTTTTTAAATTTGGTTTGTAATAAGACATAAGACTGGTTCTTAAAAAGTTGTTCGTATTAGTCACTACGACAATTTATGCGGTCATAAAGTCGGACAATTTAAAAAATGTCTTAGCCATTTGAAAAACTATGCGACTTGGTTAAACTTCTTCTTCCTAAGACTTCACACCGTGGTCGGAAGCCTGTGTAGACCAAGCAACCGATTTGCCATAATTCCTGCAATTCGTATTTGGCGAAAGGGATCATAGTTAATGGAAACTTTTTATGCCCTGCCCGAGCTGGTATGGCTTATTCTGTACAAAACACCTTGCTCTGAGTCTCAATTGAACATAGTTCAATAAACAGTAGTATTTTTGTCTTTTTTAAGTATTAGATATCTATAGTATTCCTTCAGTACCATTCACACTTATGCAAACATGTTTAGTAGACATATACAAAAGTAAGATATGATGTAGAGCTTGTCACACAAACCAAACTAGTTTTTTAACATTTGATAAGCTGACAAGAGTGTATAATGATGAAACAAATAAACTTTTCTAATCAACAATTCTTAGTTTTTTCAGCGCAGTAATAATGCAACTTTATGGAAAAGTGTAATATATGTTTACTTCTACAGTTCACTTGTAATATTTGTTGAACTCTACAGTTATACCGCCTCCTTTTACTGCAAACAAACACAACATTTATCAAAAGAAACACTTTTTCGATAATCATTGAAAACTTTGTTGTACATGACATTGTTAAATGTCATATGCAGTATTGTTAAGGAAAAACAATGTGCTGATTGATACCTTTGTTGTTTGATATTGAATGTAACGTTATAATTACATATCTAATAGTGAATAGATTCGTATGACGTGATTTTTGATTTAAAAATTAATTTTATTGTTATGCTTTGTTGGTGCAATATATATATTCTACTGTCATGCCGGAGACGAGCAACTGGATTTATCGTATTTTACAAATAAACTAAACTTATATTTTCTAGATAACCATGTCACTGAAAAGCCAAGTAGCTCTAGTAACCGGTGCTTCTCGTGGCATTGGCAAAGGAATCGCTGTATCATTGGGTGAAGCTGGTGCCACAGTATATGTCACCGGTCGAAGACCTGAAATCGCTGAAAAACTGTCAAACTCATCGACCTTGCAACAAGTTGCTGATGAGATTAACCGAAAAGGCGGAAAAGGCATTGCTGTATACTGTGATCATAGTAATCCTCAAGACGTGAAGGAACTCTTTGAAAGGATTGATAAGGAACAACAAGGTCAATTGGACATACTGGTCAATAATGCCTACTCAGCCGTGTCATTCTTGATGAAACGGATCGGGAAAAAGTTTTATGAGCTTGAAGAGTCTCCAGAAGAGGTTTGGGACACTGTGAATAATGTTGGCCTAAGGAATTACTATATCTGCAGTGTTTATGCAACAAGGATGATGATCAAGAGGAAGGCTGGGCTCATAGTTAACATCGGAAGTATGGGTGGGTTGAAGTACATGTTCAGCGTGTCTTATGGAGCTGGCAAAGATGCTGTAAGTTTAAAACTGGCATTTACTTTAGTTTTAAAGTCAGTAGATTTTGTGAAAACTTTTAAAAAATATAAATTTTGAGCTTGACGGAGCCTGATTTTCGTTTTGGGACCAAAAAAATAAAATATTGCATATTTGAATGCGTATGACTAAAAGAAGACCAGTTTCTGAATTTGAATTATATGCGAAATATATACTTTAAATATAAATTTTTAGAAAGATAGAATGGCAGCTGACATTGCTCACGAACTTCAAGGTACAGGCATCACTTGTGTCTCTGTTTGGCCTGCGGCTGTGAAGACTGAATACATGTTGGAGAATGTTGTCAACGGCAAAAATGATGTAGATATTGATTAATAAAATTCTCGATATGTACTGCTTCGACGACTGCAGTAAACTTTATTGAAATTTACAATTTTCAGGCTTTGTCAAAAGCCTTTGCTGCTGGAGAAGATCTAGGCTATGCCGGCCGAGGGATCGCTAAACTGGCAGCTGATCCAAACAAAGATCGATTCAATGGTAAAATACTTTTGACTGCCGACTTGGCTGAGACATACGACATTCGGGGAGAAGATGGTAGTAAGTTTAGTAAAATTTTTTGTATATAAAGGCATTGTACTGGTTAATCATCTTTAGCTGTTAATTTCAATTATGATTGCTAGTATCAGCACTATGTTATCGGGGTCATAGTTTTTAAATCAATCAGGGTTTTGCTTATTTTATAAATATTATATATCATAGCTTTGCATATTTCAGAAATCCATCGGCCAAGTGAGCTAGAAGAGCGTAAGAGGATAGTAGAGATCATCAACGACATCAGAACCTCTGGTGTCAAACGAGAATATCAGGTGAAAACCCAGTTTTTGGGAGCAATATAATGACCTTTTTTTTAAATTAAAAATTTTTTTTTAATTTTTAAAACAATTGTAAAATTAATTTGAAGTTATACTGTAAATAAAAGTAATAAATTACCATTCAATGTTCAAATAACTTTTCAAAAACTTGTCATGAACTTCGACGTAAGTCGTGTCGCAGATCCGAATGTCCAGTGTAATATCTTCAACGTTTTTCGTACTGTGATTTTCTTTCAATTTGTGTAAAAAAGTTTCAGCAGGATTAAGAGTGGCATTGATAGCCTTTAAAAGCATGGATTCTAACACGATTCTGTGGTTTAAGCTTACTTTGCGGTTCTGAAAATTAAGTTTATGTTTTACTGGCTATAACTGATTGTACGATGGAGTAATTTAGTCTAAATTCAAAAAAGTTATTCATATATAATATGTTTTGAATAATAAATAATAGGTAGTAAAATTAACTTACCTTATGTGAATCGTTCAACTGAAATCCTTCGCTACTCTTTTGTAGAAGCTCATCAACTTTTGCAGCGTTTTTGGTGACCTCTTTATCTTGTTGTAGTTGTTTACTGATCAAAGCAACTTCTGTAAGCTTTGTTTCTGCTGTTTTCCAACGTTTTTGTAGCTCCTGAAGTCAACTGAACTTAATATAAGCTTATAAGACAAGTTGAAGCAATGCAGTGGCATCAGTGTCGATAAAAATTTTAATTTTCAAACAATAAAAATGTAACTTTGAACTTACATTCATCACAACTTGTGCAACTTTTTCTGAACATTTTTTGAGCATTTTAAAATCATCAAGACTTTTTGATTCAAGTCTTCTAGAGCATTCTTCTTCAGAACACAACGCTATTTCTTCAAACTCTTTTATAGAGGCCATAGAAAGTTTAAGTACACCTTTTTGAAAATGGTAGGACTAGGTATAGTAGGTATATAGACAAAAAATGTTTTTAAATTTGTAAATTCAATACAATCAATGAATTTACCAATTTAAAAGTAAAAATAAAGCTATATTGTTATATTTATAATTTACTTCCAAATAAAATAGTTCAGTATTTTTTGAAGAGATTAAAAGACCTCAAATGGCTTCTTTTCACGAAATTACATACTAGAGGCTTGGGGATAATTAGAGTAACATTGGACACTTATTCATTTTTTGACAAAAGGTGCCTAAATAATCAAAAAAAACTTTTAGTTTTAAAACTGTTTTTACATAAATAGAAAAAGGAAAGCATTGTCTTTTTCACCACAATATCTTCTCCAGAATCGCGTTTCGGCGGACTTCTTCTTCCATACTGAAAGGAAGTACATTTAATTGTTATGAGTACACAAGTTTGCGTAATATAAGTAACCCATTGTCTTATATATATATGCTTGTTAGAAGGTTGATGGTTTAATCTAAAAAACATATTTTATAAGACTTACACAGGAACTACTGTTTTCAAAAATCTTTCAAACTTTTGCGACGCTTGAACTCGTTGTAGTTGCTCCATAGACAAGGTCTGATGTTCATGTTGAGTTTCTGCATCTTTTTTGGAACAATTACTGTAATATGGTCAGATTAAGAGCCATAACGTATAAAAAGAGCTATAAATCCAACTAAAAATATAGTAATATGCTATCTATGTCTTAATGTATGTCATGTACCAAATGTAACCTAATACATGACATATACACATTTCTGTTCAAAAACTTGTCACAAGATCATATCTCATCAAAATTACACAGTAAATCGTACGTAGTTTGTATATCCTTGTCCTTTTTGTACACAGTAGCATCAATTTCCTTGTCGCTGACATAGGCTTTTGTCCGATCGACTTTTCCAGTCGATTCTACGTTTATGCTCTGGTGCTCAACTATAACAAATGGTTCTCTATCAGGGTCATTTGTATGAGTCATACTTATCTAAAAATAACTTTTTATGTCTTAATAAATTTTTAAAATATTTTTTACATTGTAACACTTAAGCAAAGATAAAAAATATAAAAAAAGATTTAAAACATACCTGAATACCTTCTCGTATGTCAATCTTCACTTGCTCTTCTGAATCATCAGAGTCGTATAGATTTGGCTCATCCATATCGATCAAATGTGATTATTTTTAAACCTTACTTTAAAAATGCCAAAAGAAACTAAGTATTTGAATTATGTTAAAGCAAACCACCGGAAATATGCTTGGACTCACAAAGCCCTGACTTCCATTACTATTATATAATACCTTATTTTAGGTATAATGATCTTTTTTGCAATTTTAAACCCTTTTAAAACATTGAGAAGCAAAATAAAAAATTATAAGGGGGTTAACAAAATTGAAATTTACAAAATTCACAACGATAATTTGCATAAAATGCTGAAAAATCAGAAAAACCGCGACATATTTATTTCATATTTTGTGTTTCCAATTTGAAGAGTGGTAGTGTGTTGTTCTAGAATGTCTAGAGAAAACGACGATAACAAGGTAAGTTACTATGAAAACTCATGTCGTTTCAGCAAGAAATATAATTAAAAAAAATTTTTGCCACTGAATTTTAACCTATGTTATGCCTTGTCTCTGACATTACTTCTGTGCAAGAAATTTTTAAATTTACAAATTTTGATTCTCTGTTACCTCTTTTTTAGAATTTCCTTTTAAAATTATGTATTTTAAATTTTCAGCCGAGGAAAAAAGAGTCGATTAATTCAGCAGAATCCGGGACTAAGGGGAGAAGTACGCTGTCGCCTGCCACTCCTAAATCGAACAAAAAGGGTACGTTTTCACAAGTTTCATCAAATTATTGGATGAAGTTAACATTAAAATTCGAAAAAAAATTGGTTTTGTTCGAAGCTAAAATTTTTCTGCTTGCGACTTCTGTAGTCTGCATCAGGCTTTGCGCGCAGCTTTCACTGGGCGCAGTTTGCAGTACATTTTCGCTGAATCTGTTGGATTTTTTTGAATTTCAATTTGGATTTTTATGGAGTTTTTATCTGGAGTTTGTTATTTTTGAACCAAATTTTGTTTTCCACTTCTATTTATGTTTATTTGATGAAAATGGCGTAAACGTACGTTATTATTTGAATAAAAATATTGTTTTAGAAGCAGACGATGAAGATGAGCCTAAAGGGACGAAGAAGAACAAGAAACAGACGAAAGGTTCGAAGGATACAGATGAGAAGAAGGTGAGAAGTTAAAATCTGGTAAAGAAATTGGTAAAAGCGTATTTTACAAACAATTTTTTAAGCTTTTTCAGTTGTTTTAGTTGATTCTACTATAATTTTCATGTTTTATTTTAATTTTGGGTTTTAATTCAAATGTTTTCACAAGTCTTGATTTTAAATTTAGGTATTATTTAGCTCAATTTCGAATATTTTTGTAGCGTTACGTGTAATCTTACTCATTTTAACGTTTTCAGAACGATAATCCAGACTATGTTATGCCAGTCCTGAAGAAGCGAAAGTCCAAAGATAAGGCCAGAGTTGGAAGCAAAGAAACCGACAATGAACTGAGCAACGAGAAGATAAAGGATAAGAAAGCTAACTCTAAGGAGAAGACCGGCAGCAAGGAGAGCGACGAAGTCAAGGTGAAGAAGAAGGGCAGCAGGAAGAACACTGGCAAGAGGACCGCTTCCAAACCAAAGTCGAGAAGGAGATCCGCTGATAAAGACGATGACGACGGCTTTGAGCCTGCTGAAGGACTCGCCAAGAATGATAAGAAAGCCAAGGACGACGATGGTAAGCCGAAGTAATAAGATGTAATTTGGTCATCGGAGCTGGAATAAACTTGGCAATATTTTAGGTCTTTGTTAATCTGTTTGGAATTTAAAAAATAGTCTCAAAAATATATTTGTTTTTAAAAAGTGAATATCGAAAAAGTAGATGTTATTATAGTTATAATACGTAGTAAAGCTCAAAAAACCTTGAAAGATGACTGATCATGAACTGAGCTCACTTTTTATAACTTATACTAGCATAGTTTGGCAAACGCTTTTAAATAATACCTTTCTTTAGTATTACTGCTATAAAATGTATTGAAAAGCATGGGTAATAAACTCGACTTAAATTGTCCAAGTCATACGGACATAATAGCGCTTTTTTAACTTTTTTATTTACTTTGTCTGCGAAAGAAAAATTCTTGGAAACGTTATTAAAGTTTATTGTTATCGGTCAGAAAGTGTATAGTAGTTTTTAACTTTTTGGAAGATTTTTTTGGAACTTACCTTATTAGTTATAACGATACTATTCGATAGATAATGTGATATATTTATAATATATTAAAAGTTACAGTTTTTATAAAGCATTTTTATATTACACTTGATATGATATCTTTTGTCTGTTTTTGTTTGCGACAGGAAATGAAAGTCCTATATAAGGGATAATTGTGCTTTTATTCTTTGCTCTTTGAGTACTTTTCCAAATTTTTACATTTTATGATCCTTGAAAAGGCTTTTCGGAAATAAAAGTTCAAGTTGTTGGTCTAGATAAGGTTTTCTATAAGATGTTATGGGTTCTTTCAAGTAAACTTCCTGTTTTAAAATGCTTATAAGCCACTGTAAAATTGGTTTTAAAACTTTAATAACCGTAGTGTTGACAACCACAACAACCCATTCCTAATTGTTATTTATTTTTTTCTATAATAGTCCCTATAGACGTGATTAATTTGAATTCATTATGTAAATCAAACTTCTGAATACAAATTAGAGGCGACACTTGTTATTAACGAGTTTTTGGCCATTTTGCCGCCCCAAAAGTGTCAAAAACAAGATGGGACGGGCAGACGGAATCTCTTTTATATCTTTATTTACTCTTATGAGTTCCTCCATGTGTTTGTTCTGGCGTGTGATTAGTTGGTGGTCGTTTAATATTGTTATAGAACCTTTTTTTGTTTTTAGTGGTGTTATCATGAGACACCGATATTTTAAAGGGTTTTATCATCGGGTAGATTAAGAGTTGATGTAGTGGTTTTACACAGAGTATATCTTGTACTTTACTATATTCTAATGTTTTTCCTTATTGTCTACGTATTTATACATTAGAAAAAATATAGGCCAAGCAATATTATTATACTTTTGGTCATGTCAACAGGTTGTCCAATCCGCAGAAGTGCATAAGCCATAACCCATTGTGCATAATATTATATTATACTTGACTTCATAAGTCGTGAGAATTTGTTTGTATATTTATTTACTTATGTAAGTGGCTTCCTTGTACCTTGTAAAGTACTCAAACAGTATTATTTTTGCTTTTTAGAATTTTTGGACGTCAAAAAGTCGTTTTAAAACCATTTTTTGAAAACCTTTGGAATGTTTTTGTCATTTTAAAATGGAATTTTAACTATTGTTTTGGTTTGAAAAGGCCAAATGTCAAAGGCTTTTAGACATTGTTTAGAATGACAAAAGATTGGCTTAAAATGTCACTGTTTTGTTGTTTGGAGGTTTAATTGAGTTTCAAACAGATTTATGTTGTAGTAGGTAGTTGGCAGGTATTTTTCGACCCACTTTTTCACTCAAGGTTTGATCTCTTGCCTTGCTCTAGTTTTAACAGAATTTTGAAGACATTTATCTTGTAGTAGACGTATGGCAAGACTTTTCTTACCCACTTCCCCCACCCCTTTACGCAAGGCTTGGTTTCTTGCTCTGCCTTTTTTGTATTAATGTATTTTGATGACAAAACTAATATCTGTGTTTGCCAAACTAAAATATATGTTTTTCCCGGAAGTTTTTTTTCCGAAAAACACGTTGAGAAAGTACATTACACTACAGAGTCTGCTCGTACAACTAGTCTAATGTTGTCTCCACAGTAAACTGTTAGTCATGTATCTTATAGTTATTATCTCTTTGTATTGTAAAGTCAACCTTTTTGTTGTAATCGTCTAGTATACATGAAACATGTCGGAATCTGGTTATAATATATATATACTTATAATATTGGTTATTCTATCGTGATTATGGCTGCTGTAAATGACATACGATAATTTTAGATATGTTATTAAAATACACTTTGGACCCAACGTTAAAACGTACCAAATTGGGTGAGAAAGATACCAAAGCAGGACTGTTAGAAACCTTTATCCTACGAAACGAAGATTGGCCTATTGTGTTACAGTTTCTGGTCAATGAGTTCGGCACACAGGAGCCTATTAACCATGCTTTTAGTAGGTTTTTAATTATGTTTTTACTTATAATAAAACTATGCTTACTGTAACTGTTTTTTGAAATTTTTTGTTTTTATGGTATTTTTACTTCATATGAACAGGCGAAAGATTAGTTTATTGACTTTGAGCATGTATTTATAGCATGCATATGTCATCTACTGTAATATTTTAGGCCTGAACCCCACAGATTTGATAGCTGGCTTTCAGGACCAGATTATCAACAAGTGGTCTTCTTCAGAAGCTTCAATAGTAGTCTTAAGAGACAACCAGTTGGCGGCTGTCATAATCAACTGGATAGTTAATATCGACCAACAGAAAGAATATCAACCAGCCGTGATACGACAGGATTACTCTGAAAGTAAGTTTTCTCGGTTATTTTTATAGTACTAATCTTTATTTATGATAGCAATAATCATCTTTACAGTACACATAAATATAATCAACAAATTTTTGTTATATAAGCAACTATTACTGTAACATAACGTACTATACTACATACTTACACATGATGGGTATTTTAATATTAATAATTTGACCTTGTAGTAATCAAAGCGCTACGCCTTGAAGTCGATGATTATACCACGAACTTTCCTATTGTTGGAGCGGTCATAGATGACCTAGAGCAAGCAGTACCGTACTATATTCCAGATTCTGACAAGTTTATGAGGATTGACATTGTTAATGTTGTCAAAGAGTTTCAAGGGTAAGAAAGGTAGTTATAATCATGTTAATGTACCTTTACTACGCATGATATAAAAGCTTTAGTAACACTTAGATATTGTGTTGTAAAATACTGCATGCTTGTTATTACAGTATTGTATGCTCATACATATTATAGTAGTTTTATATTCTTTAGGCTTGGATTGGCCCGGTATCTCTGGAGCCTAGCTTTAAAAATGGCCAAAGACTTGGAAGTGTCATATGTAGAGAGTATATGTACAGCTGTGGCTACGCAAAAGATTGCCAGATCTGTAAGTATATGATGGATTTTTATCATACTGTATGGCAACAATATGCCATACAGTACGAACATAGTATTCATTATGTAATAATTTACAATAGATGAAGATGTTGTTTAAAGCAACTTATCATTAAATACCATCTTTTATTAAAAATGGTTACTATGGAGTTTACACTGTGTTTTTTGTATCAAAACTTTTATTTTCAGGCCGGTTTTACTCCAGTATTTGCTCTACCATACGGTGAACTAAAAGAAAACGGTAATAATTTACTGCCTCGTACGTTGGTGGATGGTTCTGATAGTGCACATATCATGGTAAAGAACTTGAATCAGTCAGAAAACATCAGACCGTCTTGACTGTACTATTATATATCTAACAAATACATATTACAGTCTATATGTATGTATATAGCTAGTTCGATTTGGTATGTTATATTTACCATGACTTTCGAAGACACTAAATGTATGTAGTATATTGTGTTACGTTACAGTTACAATGTCTTTTAAAGACACTTGATGTATGTAGTATATAATGTTACAGTTATATAATAGATATGTTATTTTACAATTATAGTTATTTATTGTCTTTGTATTGTACAAAAATATATAATTATGACAACCGATTGGATCCGTTTTCTTTGTGTAGATACGATATGTTTGAGTAGATCACAGTAAATATATCTTGACGCTACTATCCGAGTAAAGGTAGATTTTGGAATACTTTCTGAAATTTGGTAAAATACGCTTTATTTGGCCTTTTCGTTTAACTTTGACATACGTATACAGGTATAAAAGTGTTGTCAAATGTAATATGTAGTATAATACTTTTATTAAAAATATTGAATTAATTATGTAATGGACATACCTGTTCGACATACTGACATATACAAATAGAACTCTGGCAATGTTTGGGTCGGAACTCGCTGACGCCTTCTGAAGGCTTCGTTGGGAACAGTAGCTGCTTCTGAAGGAAATCATGTTGTACAAAAGGCATATAAAATATTATACTAATACATGTAAGATCATTTCACGTGTTATATATAGGTAAAGACATGGTAATACAGAGATTAGATACCATAACATTTTATACCTTAAAATAAAATTTTATCAGTATTACGATAATTACCGTGTTACTGATAAAACAATCGCGATAAAAGCATGAAAGCTACATAGTATTTGTATATCTTGTAGTATCTTTACTACTCTATAAGCAAACCTACCTTAGCGTAAGCCTTAATGTAAGGTTGACTGTGCTCCACGATAAACTCTCTAGCCTGGGCATCAAGATCGGCTTCTGGAGGCATTTCTTGTTTCACTGGAGCGTTGGCCAAGTGTACTCTCACAACACGCTTTATATCATCCTGACATTCTTTTACGTCGTAGTACATTAACACTAACTAAAATTGAGACAAAAATAATTCATAGCCTTATACAACATTTCGTACTATATAGTGTTGTACAAAATACGAGAAACAGAGTCGTAAAGAGGGTTTTGTACCTTTCGCCACCCTCAAACATTAGGTTGTTCACATAATTCTGTGCCCCCTCTCAAAGCAAATTGAAGCTAGAAAGCACAGAGTGATTTGAGCAACCTAATGGGTCAAAAGTTGTTAACGATAAACTTACCACAACTTTATGACATGACATTTGCCCTCGATCTTGTACTCCAACAAGTAAGTTATGTTTGATTGCTTGGTCGTTCGCATCTCGCACCACTAAATTTAGTCCGTTTGCCAGCTAAAACAAGATTTTATTAGTCATAAATAAAGCTTGCGTTGAAAAAAATCCAATTTTAAATAAAACCCCCCCCTTTTTTTCAGTCCAAAGATCCTAGTTTCGGTAATAAGTAATATTTACATAAAAATGTCCTACGAATACCTATAACTTACATATTTCCTAAGTAAAATACAAAAGCCAAGACCAATACAGAGCATTAATCCCCATAGGATTGTGAACACCATGACATGCAGACCACCGTCTTGACTCGTGAACAACATTAACATCAACAATATAACTGAAGTCATCACCCAGATGGGTACTGCTCGAGAGAATAGTACTACATAACTAAAAGTAACATCAAAAGAACTGTTTTACGTCGTACTTTTTCAAAATTAAAAACTTTTAATTGAAAAATTAAGTTCTTGAAACTTTTTGACCGGAACGACAAAACTTTTAAGAACGTTTACTTCAGTACTTAAATTTTACAGTAATCTAAAAATTTAAAAATGCAAAAATTGAAACATTTGTCGTACCTTTTAAATCGTATGTCATCTGTAATGGTAGCCATGAACCTTCTATATTCACTATGAGGTACTTGGAATTCTCTTGAACTCAAACTTTTTGGCATTTTTTCGAAACTGTAGCTGGGCGGGGTAAGCCAGGCCAAGTGTTCATTCGAAGGGTAGATTAAAGTCAACACTTTACCTGTTTCTAAAAGTAATATCGAGTATAGTATATTGCGATCTTGTGGTTATCACTAATTATAAGTTTTGTCTTTTTAGATGTCGTATTATATGTATTTAGTAAGTTAGTGATATACTATGCAGCAGCAAGTAATGTACAATAAATCTTATAATAAATATTCGTAAATCGTATTTTAAGGGTTTGAATGTAATATTAAATACGTCCATAATAAACCACAATAATGATTGAAAACCGTATTTACTCACTCAAAGGTTTTCTGTCAACATCGTCAGCTGAAGATTCTGTGGATTCTGACGATGACTTCTCAACCGGCTTCTTTTTCTCTGATTTCGGCTCCAATTTCGGTTTGGCGGCTTCGCTTTTGGTCCAATTCGAGTCATCCAAAGCTATTTCGCTCAACTGTGCGTTCGTATCTTCAAAGTAAAACATAAAAACTGTGTTTGTATAAATATAACTCTTGTAATAAGTAGTAAGATATCTAGTTCTTATGACTTTAATGTTAAAAACACCTAAAAAGTAACCCTTATGGTACTGTAACAGCATATGATAATTCCACCATCCTCTCTCAAACCTACCACGATGTGCCTGCCCATTACTATGTGTCGTATCGCTGTCCAAAGCGATTTCGCAAGTCGGATTCTCGAAGCCGGTGGTGGTTTTGTCGTCGCCCATTTGACTTCCGTATTTTAGTTTATGTCATAAAGTCTAGAAAGTCAAAATCAGCTCGAGAACGTCCTCACGACTTCGAATTTAAGCCCTTAGGTCATCAACCGAAGACAAACAGTGACAAAGTAGAGCGCGATGAGAGAGTGCGACAAAGTGAGAGAGGCGAGAGAAGGGAGAGCGGATGTGATAATAGGTAAATAAAGAAAGGGCTATGATAATATCGAAAAGGTCTTCTAAAGAGTGATAAAGGGCAATAAAGTAACGAAATTTGTTTACATTATAGTATAGTTTAGTACAATAAGCTTCACGATTATATTAATATTCTAAAATACAATTTTAAGACCAGTTTCAATTTAAAAATGGCCATAATCGTCTTTTCCATATTATCTTTAACATAAGCCGTACCATAGTATGGCTTTGCAGTTGAATATAAGCTTATTTACATTCGAAAAAGTATCAAAAAACAACAAAAAATTCCGCAAATTTCTCTAAAAATAGGTTAAAAGCAGAGAAATGGAGCTGTTCTCGCCTTGATCTACGACAATATCGGAGTTTTGCTAATAAATAACTTGAAACATCATTTTAATCTGTAAATGCGAACAGTTATTTTGTAAAAAGAACTTTTATGTTAAATTATATAAGTTATTTTGATCAAAATAGGAAATTAAGGTTGCACCGTGCAATACCATAAGCTGCACAGTGCAGTTGATTTCCTGGCCATTGTGACAAAAACTTGTTGTTAAAAATACAAACTAATTGTTGTAGTGATGTTTTAAACACTATAAATGTTCAACACCATGTATATTTTGCCAAACTTACACTAAATGTAACATAAATTGGCAGACGAAATTTATTGCACCGTGCAAAAAATTAAAGTAAGCAAAAACCTAGTTAACCAAATAAAACAACAAACTATAACTACATCACTGGTTTCTTAGTTAAATTTCAATTCTAAACCACCCATCACATCTCAAAATCACAAAACAAAAATTAGACTATCCAATCAATAATTTCTTTGCACGGTGCAGTTAAATAAAATCGCTTCAAAGCATTTATGGCAACTTAATCACCCCCAAATGAAAAATATTTATCTGTTGTACAAAACAAGACCTCAAAACAGCATTTTTAAGCAAAATAAAGGTATTGTTTTTGGAATATTATGAAAAGAATGAGTCAGAAGCCTCGGTAAAGCACGTTTTGCAGCTTTTAGAGCTACAATCATGTACTTTGGCGTCTTTAATATATATATTTTGGTATAATATTTTATGTAAATATAAAGAAAATTGAGTTTTACATTCAAAAATATACGATTTATATAAGTATACATGGCCATCTTACTAAAAATGGCTGGGAAAACAAACAAATTCACATATTATAATTGATAATTATTGTTACATTTATAATTTATTGGTCGTAAAAGAAGCCAATACTAATATATCTTATATTTAATACATATTACAGACAGTATTTTGTGTGTTAATAGAGAAAACAAGTTGATTTAGTTCAAAAATATTGGTTTTATATAATAAAACGTATTTTAAACAGCAATAAGACCGGAACTTAAAAAGGTAAATAAAAGAATAACATCGATCTTGAGTCTTGATCGCAAAATAAAGATAAATATGAGTTAAATCGTGACTTAAAATCATATATAAACAACGCAATTTTGACAAACTTTAAAAATAACCTTGTAAAACGCCAAAAATTCAACAAAACCCTAAGGCAATTAACCTAAAACAACACTATTTTAAAGAAAAAACCAGGTAAATCCCCCCACAAACCCTTCAATAATCAAAATACACCAAGTCATCCTCAATAAACCACATTAAAAACGATATTACAATCGAGTAGAGGCATAAATTCCACGGTTATATCATGAACAACATCTCCAGGTATCCAGCGGTTCGGTTCCCCCCGAATGTCTTTCCGAATCGAAGAGTTTAGATGGAATTCATGGAGAATTGGAAGGCGCACACTTAAGGTCCGGTCTCGCGCACCCCCCTCCTTCCACCACGCGACAATCAGGTCAGCCCAAGAGATCTACCTTTAGTTACGGCTTTATAACACTGTATACATGGCGAATATACGAACATCGACATTCGTATTGAGTGTGGGAACGAGTGTGGAGAAGGCGCGGAGTTTAAAAGTTCAAAATATTGTTTTAGACTTGAACTTGTGAGAGAAAACAAAAGAAAACCAAACTAAACTGATGTTACAATAGTTTTGTGTCACAAACTATTTAAAAGGTTAAGGTAAAACGTTGAGAAGCTTCTGTTCAAGACATCTAAACATTCTTTACCTTCTTATCACCAAAGTATTGCTAACAGAAAAGGAATTTACCTTGATTTCAATCAAAAATAAATCAAACTAGAGTTTGACGCTTGCGCCCAATAAACTGCAGCCTGCGCGAACCTCAAACTGATAAAAATTTTAAAAGAATTTTGATTTTTATGTTATCTCTTGAGTAACTAGATATTGAAATGCAGTATTATTAAATATTTTTTATCAGATTCTTTAAAATATATATTGTACATGTTATCTACCAGCTCAACCGGCAATGTCTCGTTTCTCAATATCCATAAGCTCTTGGTCGATTTTCTTTCGACTGAGCCAGCTTTCCTCTCTTGGAGGCATGGATTCTGGCATCGGCTTGCCTTTGGTCTCTTCTGTGTTGAAGTAGAATACGATAAAGTCAATAGAACACAAGGCGAGAAGGGCTACATAAGGTAAGGGGCTCCAGATGTCGGCCTACAACAATATTTTTGACGAATTTTAAATAGTATTAAACAGATGAAAACTTGGTATGTGATATATACACACTTTGTAAAATATTATCTTGGTGTAAAATATATATAAGTATTATAGTCCAACATACCAAGAAGAATAACTGTGGAGCGACCACGACCCCCAGCCTCGAGAACACCTGCCCAAACGAGAACGATATGTTCCTGATTCCAGTCGGGAACAGCTCACTAGCCAACATACCAGTCGTCACATACATCAAGGTTGACATACCCATAACCAGGATGATGATACATGTTATCAACGTTCGTACTTGAGCTTGTACGTCAAGTACGTATACTGTAATCAGTAGTATAAGAGCAATGATGGATACCACTTCTGATAGACCATGGATCGCCTTTCTGCCCAACCATTTGTAGCGTTTGTCAGCGATAATGGCAGCAAAGTTGACTCCATACCTGAAGATACCCATGAAGATGGTGTTCAGGTAGATGGAGCCACTCAGCTTCTCCATGTTGAACAAGAGGGAGTAGTTTAACATACTGGTGGTTAACCTACAAGTAAGGTCTTTAAATTTTAGAAATCTGTATGATTTTGTAAAATACGAAGTAGCGACCCTTCAGGTTTCAAAAAAGGTGTAATTACTTACAGAGTAAAGGCCAATGCCAAGGTATACCGCGTCAGTTTGCAGGTATAGAAGAGGTGTGCAAACGAGTATCGTTTCTTTCGTTTCTGTGCCAAAAGGGCCTTCTCGCTCTCGACTACACGGTCGAGAACTTGCTCAGCCAGCACAACACCATCGATACGAGCGATACGCTGTAGAGTACGTTTGGCTTCATCGTAGCGATGCTTCTGAAGCAGAAAACGAGGCGATTCTGATAAGAAACTGAAAGGTAGGTTTATGTATTCATATTGGTATATGTAGGTTTACATTGCATATGTTCGAGATAAAGATATATGTAATACCTACAACAAGAAGCCCCAAGCAGGCACAGCCAAAGCAGCCATCAGAAGAGACAGATGCCTCCAGTTATAAGTGTACCATGCCATTCCAGCAAAGATAATCATATTGGGCGACCAGGTGATCAGATTTGTCAGCCAAAAGCGATGGTTTTTAGGTAGATTCTCAACTGTAAATACCATTTGAATGGCCATAAGACCCCCATTGAACAACTGTGTACTCGATCTCACAATGGTAAACCAGAACAAGTCGGTAGTGTAAGTTGTGAGTACCATTGATATTATACATCCAATGATAGCTATCAACATTATTCTTCTTCGACCGTACAGGTCAGATAACTGACCGAAGATCACTGAGCCAGGTATGACAGCCAGCATTTGCCACGATATACTACTCTTTACTTGTCGTACATCAGAGCATATATACGACCAGTCGGAACTGATACTGTTAAATTGTATCGAAAACTCTGGCACACAGTTTTGTTTACTGCGAGCGGCAAGGTAAGCTGCGCAGCGATCGTTACGATGTGTTATGTTCTGGAGGTCTACTGTGCCACATTTTATTAGGCCTGGTTCTACGCCTATAAGGAGCATATGTTAGGATAGAGTACAAGGTCAAGTAAGGGTAATATAGCAATATATTAAGTTGTTCAACTAATTCTGTGCCCCCTCTCAGGACAACTTAGATAATGTATGGTACGGAAGGGTAAGGTACGTTAAAGCAGAGTAGAATAAAGTGAAGTAGGATAGAGTAACATAAACAGCTCAAAACCTACCAGCATACATCATGTAGAACATGTTGCCCAACTGCATTAAAATCAAAAATTCTGCCGTTATAGACACTAACGTCGTGTACTTGCCAAGTCTGAATAGGTCATCTAATTTTAGTTCTTTCAGTTCGGCCGCAACTTCTTTCTTTACAAATTCCTCCGACTCTTCCATGGTTTACTGTAACCTATCATATGACAACTGTTAACATATACAAAATGTCAATAACTAGTGATATAACGATACATATACCTTTACTCAATACTGTAATCAATATACAATACCAACTATCTTTATCCTTCAAGTACGATGCTTATATTCAGAATAAGAAATTAAAAAGCAAATTTTACAATACTGTACCTTAAAATTATAAGATACCTATACTCAAACTTTCACTGAAGGTACTAGATTTATATTTTCTTATAAATAAAAAAGACTACAAACAAGACAAAAATAAATGTGTTATGCACAATGAGAAGAATGTGATAACATGATAAGAGTGCTTAACTTCAGATTACGTACACTTAAGCACCTTACACATGGCATCCTAGTCTCAGCCTTGTTCCAAGACAAAACCAACATAACGATGAAAAAGGTCCAAACTTTTTCAAACATCAAAACACGCATAATAATATAGGTATGCTTACAGTCAGTGCCGGGCGGGGACTTTTGGTCTAAAGGCGGGGGTCGAAAAAATCGGCACAGGTACCTATGCCGATTTTTTGCGAAATTTTTTTCCAAAAATCCGCAGGGGAACCACGTTCAACTTTTTTCGAAAAATTTTTTTTTCTGGGGGGGGGGTGGAGGGGTTCCCCCCCCCCTCCCCCCCCCCAGAAAAAGTCCGGCCCTGCTTACAGTAGTAAATCCTCTCTTGATATAATTACACAAAAATTCGTACTGTATCCTTTACAGTAAACTGTTTTTTAAAATAATGTAATTTTTACTATATAAACATGCAATTAATATCATTTAATAAAAAAGTCGTATAGTTTTGAAGCATAACAACTATAAACCTTGAAGCCTTTAATTAACTGCCATTACTTTTCAATGCCTCTTTAAAAAAGAACTCAAAACCAATTAACAAAAATGATTTTGGTTTCCAATCAAAATACTCTTTAACCTTGTAGAACATTGCAATACATTGTAACAAGGCCGACGTTAACACGCGACAAATTAACATTAAGGAAGTGTATAGTCTAGAAAAAGTATGTCTGATCAGTGATTTTACCTACTCCCAACTAATAAACATAAGGTATAAACAGACGTTTTGTACTGATTAATACACTCAATGTAATGAATTTTCCGCACAAATTAGTACTCAAAATTTTGGTCCTAAATAGTACCCAAAACCATGAAAAATTATAATATTAGTACTTCTTGGCTTATGGTCTTTGTATAGGTTTCCGAAAATATATTGTAATCTAGACAAGTAGGAGAACAGTGTTATCAGTAAAGAAAGGGAAGGTGTTATCGTTGCTCAATTTATCAGAAAAAACGACTGTATTTTACAATTTTTGCAAACATAAAAACGATAATGCCTTAAAACATCAAATATATAGTTGTAAACTTATTTAAAAATTGATTTCAAACTTTAAAAATATTTTAAAAAAAATATTTTTAAAATAATAATTCACGTCACTTCAAATGATGTAAGCTAATGATTTTTAAATTATGAGAGCTAGCAACAACATATTTGTCATAGGCAAAACTCATGTGTATTTAAAAAAACACAAAACAAGACTCATGGCTTGGGAAGAAGCCTAATATTGAAAAGACAAGAAGCGACAAACCCGGATCTCTATAGCCTTTTTTGACCTAGAAGATACTTTAAGGACTCATGAGATGCTTTAACAGACAAACCTGTTTACTCCGTCTCTATTTTTACCAACTCTCATTAATTTCCTACCCAAAACTTGCCAAAATTATTAAAAATACAAACCCCCTCATCACCTTGTCTCTAACCTTTCATACCCCAAACATCCAAATTTTACGTTTTTCCAACCGAATTCGCAAACAAAACGCAAAAAGATAAGAAAGAATGGCAAAAGTGTATCAGACATAAATGGTGCTGTCGCTCTCTGGACGTTCAACAACATATTCCGTGCTGACTCCGCTTTACCAGAAATTCGGCTCCGTTCGGCGTTAAACTAAGCTCCGACTGGAAATTTGGTTCTGGCGGGACTCGAACCAACCACTTTTCGCGCCGAACAAAAACGCGCTCGCCACTCGGCCATAACGTAACTTGCAGAAGGCTGTTTATAAAGCTTGCAAAGAGAAAAGGTCATAGATAAGTGTATGCCAAATGAAAGATGGAAAATGTTGTAGAATATTGTGGAATAGTATTTTGAAAATGTTATTGAGTTATATAGTAGTTTTACAGAGTTACCCTCTTACTTTCTGAGGAAATAAAAGTGTTTTGCAGATAATTACAATTCCAAGGTCATAAATGACATCAGCCAGCCCACTCCCAATGTAAATAAACCTATCTTCTACTGTAAGTCTATTAAAGTTGCTGTTTAACCACGTTTTTCATTATTATTGTTAGGTAATTGTTTCTTATTATGTATTTATGTCCACTCACAATTTTGTCAAACTAAAACAATATTATTTTTACGTAACAAGATGTAAATCAACAAGCTAATCAAAAACTATATTGACATTGACAGATCTATGTGTTGATAGGACCAATAACAATAGCTTTAACCATTTCCCCTTGACTACACGTCTGTTTCTCTTCTGTAGCCGGCGGTAGCTCCAGAAGCAGATTCGACTTTGTGACACTCAGTAACCGAGATGATACTTGATTCGTTGTCAACACATCGGCCCAACATTGACCATCTTCTAGTCTCAACACAGCTCGAGCATACTCTGGTCGTCTATCCAGCTTCAGGTCTCGACCCAAGGATACTGTAATTTTAGAGATCAGGGACGTTGTTGTAGGTGAAGCACCATTTGATGATTTTAGTTCATTCGACGATGTTTGTGTAGAGTTTGAATATTCTTTTAGGTTTGATATTGTTGTAGAGACAGAAGGATTACATCCATCATTAATTCGACCACTTTTTCGTTTCAAAAATGGAAATAAGAAGAGATGTGAAGATACAAAAGCACTGACTGGGTTTCCAGGTAGTCCGAAGACAAATATCGGTCGGTTATGCAAATTGCCAACAGCGAAAGTATTGGGAAGACCTGGCTTCATAAACACACGACCGAATTTGATGTCGAAATTGAGGTCGTGCTGCAGAATTGGCTTCAGTAAGTCCTAAGCAAGGTATCTTTACTCTACATTTTTCTTTTTTAATCGTGTATAAGCCTCGTTATCGCTTTTACTACAACAGTAAGATGACAAAAGTGTATACAAAAATGATTTTCATGCAGTAAAACATTTTTTACTATACTGTATATTAATATTATATTTTTACCTTATCTCCCATCGAAACACCACCAGAGAACACAAGGACATCACACTTTTCAGCCATTTTCTTAATATGATCTACCAATGTTTCTCTACTGTAACACAAATTTTTTTAATTTAAAAAGCACTTCAAACTCTTTCACAAACCTTATTACTCTTCAATATCCTAATAACTAACATATCAAATGAATCAACTTACTCATCCTTGACAATGCCACAATCTACACATTCGTATCCTTGAGATCGCACCAGTTCTATTAACATTGGTCGATTGGAGTCCAGTATATGACCTTCTTGTAGCTTCCCATTGCTTAAATTAATGTCAACAAGCTCATCTCCAGTTGATATTACTCCAACCACTGGTCTTTTGTATATCTTGACCTTGTAGTAGTTATTGGCAGCCAATAATGCCATTTCTGGTGCTGATATAATCGCAGATTTGTCTATTAAAACTTCATCTTGTTTTATATCACTTCCTATTTCACTAAAAAGTACGATAAGTTCATATTGTGATAAATTAAACGGTTAAAATAACATAAATCTAGCTGTTTTGAATACTATATTAACATTATTTACTGTAGTAACTCACCGTATGTTCTGACCGGGCGTTACCTTCAAAGAAATTTCTATCTCAAGCTCTTCTGTTTCCTGAAATATACTCCATAGATTACTATGCGATATACTCCAACGTTAGTATGTTAGTCATAACCAAGAGGAAATAACTTACATTATGCTTTAACAACTTCGTATATTCAACTGGTACTACAGAATCTGCATCGTCTGGTACAATTCCCCCAGTATTGATACGAAAGCAATGTTTCTCTGGTATCTTCAGTGACTTGGCCGACTGTCCAGCTACTATACCTCCAAGAACTTTGAAGTCACCAACTCCATCTGATGCTGAAATTAATACGTAAGGCTATAGCAAGCAAAATTTTATAAAACAGACGTCGCGACGCGTCGTATTATAGCGTATCAGTACCTTTGACAGCATATCCATCCATTCTAGACGTCTTGAACCGAGGATGCGGCCATGGCGCCGTTATTTCTTCAGCTATAATGTCACCTATAACAACATCATTAATATCTTCTTCCATTTAACCAACCTTATCCTCCGTATTTTACATTTCGAGCACCTAATGTACTGTTAACTTACCTGTTGTCAATTTTTTGAACTCCGCCTCTTCCACAGTGACTTCGTGAGCTTCTGTAGCCAATATCTGATAAGCTTCATCCATTGAGATAGCTCTCCATGTGCTTTGGCGAGGTCGATGTATTACTGACGTCATTATGAATATTTAATCTGTAAGATAACATATCAAGTTAGTCAGGAGAAACGGTTTAGTAAGAAGAAACATGATTGTAACTTTACATCTTAATATAAATAATGTTGTAAGTAAAATAACTTTTTTCTTAGTTATAAAAACCGAAAATAAATTTCAAATAGCAAAAAGCATTTATAAAAAGTCCTAAAAAGCCCGCTTTACCTAAAACAATATTATTTATGTTGTTGTGATAAGACCGCTGATAAACTCCCAGACCACCCTGACGTATTACAATAAATTCTTAGCAAGAATAAGTAAATAAGCAAAATAAAAAAAATTGCTAAAACCTTAAAATACTGAAATCATCGTTTTACTATACTACCTGACATTTTACTACAGCTTACAATAACATTTGTTACCTAAAAACTTAAAACCAATATAATACGTTCCCAAAGAATAGTAATTAAGCTTTATTAAAACTATAAATATACACCGCTAATTCCAGAATATGTATACGACAAAGTAATACCATAAAGTTACACAAATGTTACAAGCTATATTACTGTAGATTCTAATATAAAACAATACCATTCAAATGAAGATAATAAAAATACAATACAAGAAATCACAAAAGAGATCCCAACCAATCGGAAAAGTGATATAAACCGTCGAAGCACGAGATATAAAGAATATTCTGCCTGATCTTATCCATCTTTTGCTTAAAACGGCTTTTAAACTAATTTTTTGCTGTAAAACAATATTTTTATTTAAAAGCTATTAAAAACACCATTTGTAGTTTTTAAAAAATGTAAACCAATTACTTTTTAGGCTTCTTACACAGTAATTTACCCAAACCAGTAGTTCTTTCAATGAAAAAACAATAAACAAAAAGTGTGATCTGCGCCCTTTGTTCGCAGGCTGCAAGATCTTTTATGCTGAAAAATCGGTGAAAAAGAGAAATTTGTAGAATCCAGGCAAAAAGGTGCTTCTACGGTTTTTCAGACAATTCGAATGTTGCTACAACAGAATTCACAAAAAATATATCTAATTATTATGGAAGAAGACTGCGTAGATATGTTAATATTGACAGTATTATGCTGAAAATGGATAATTTGATGGATTGTAAGTAAGTTAATCAACTTTTAAGTAGGATAATGCTATAATAATATTGTAAGTGATCAATATTGAAATATATACAGTTCTATCTAATCGTCAATCTCTGGCTTTTCAGCTGGCAAAGCGTCGAACTCGTTCCTATCGACTGACTTATACCTAATTGCCATGATGATGAAGATGATCATAACACCGAACATCATACTGGCATAGAGGAAGAACTCGGCAGCTGGATCTGCTACTAGTTTGGAGCCAGAGATGCCGGCGTCGATCAAATTACCGAAGAAAGTTGTCATTAGCCAGGCAGCCTGGAGCACCGACTTCATGTTTGGAGCAGCTTCGGCGTACGAGAACTCGAGACCGGCGATGCCGAACAGAATCTCGCCAGCACTGATGATCACGTACTGAGGAATCTGCCAGAGGATGTTGACTGTGTTTGGACGGACAATGGTTTGTTCTCCATTCGACGTGATATCTGAGAGATCAAGAACTACAACTGCCCCCATGTCAGCGGTAAAGTCTCTGAAATGTAAGGTTTATTCAAGATGTATTTTTTTCTGTAGTTTATGTTTTCAATAAGCCGTAATCTTAATATTATACTTCATCGTTAGTATAAAATTCAACTTTATTGCCTTACCTTTCATAAGGACAGTTCAAACTGTTCAAACTGCATCCGCTGCCATACTTTAACCTATATCTAGGTGAGCTGACAGACCCAGGCTGTAGATCAACTTTCTTTCCAGCTTCTATCTGTACCTCCTGATCCAGTTTGCCATTTTCATTGTATATAAACAAAGGTTGACCAACAAGACCAGATCCAGGTGGAACAATCAAGAACAGTCTAGTTCTCAGGTTTTCTGGTTTTTTGGTCGAATAAGGGAAAACGAAAGACTTTATCGACCGGTTGATTTCATAAACTCCAAGAACGATAGAATCTCCTGGTTGTACTGTGACATTCATGTTGGTACCATCGTTGTTTGGTACAATATAGTCGCCAGCGGGCCATTCGTTTTTGCCGGTTTGGAGGGGTAATCCAGTTAACGTGCGGAGATCGGCGGAGGCGTTTCCGAATCTTTGGACGAAAGCGTGGCCGTCAATTGGAGTTGGCTCGAGAGAGGGTTGGAGACTGAGCTGAAACAAGAAGACTTGGTAAAATATTGAAGATTATGGGCTTTAGAATGATATTTATAAATAATTTTGATGTTTTTCGATTATTTCGTATTTCAATTTTTTTGTTTTTTCAGCTTCTAGTTCAAACTTACTTCAACAAAGCCAGCCAAGACAAAAGCAGCAGCAGTCAGAATCCCACCAGCAGCCATCTTCCTCAGCGGAGTAATGGGAGTGAACTTCCTGATACAAGGATAAATGTAAGCTTCGAAGATTGGCACCATGAACAAGATCAACAACGGATTCAGAATCTTCAGCTGATCTGGAAGGATCGTGAATGGTCCTACTCTGCCATTCAATTTGATGCTCTGTTCTTGCCAAGTTGATCCCATCTGATCATTCAAGGCCGAGTACAACACCACAGGAATGTACATGACAATAACACCCAGCAAACTTTTTACTCCGGCGATCAGACTATGACTAAACTTGCCATCGGCATAGTCCAGCCAATGTTCACGTTTGTCGCGGCCCGTAGCTGTGTGTTTGACCTTTTCGGCTGCCGCATAGCCAATACACTTGACTACCTGACCAATGACATTGCCTTTGTCCGCGGGCACTCGACGATAGTGACGTACACCGCTCAAGAAGATCAGAAACGCAAACAGCATAAAGACACCGGGAACGCCGAAGGCCAGAGGGTAACAGTAATCGGAGCCGAGGCAGGAGACACGACCACGAAGGATGGGGGTTAGGATCATACCGAGCAGAGAACCAGCATTGATAGCAAAGTACCAGAAGGAGAAGAAGCGTTCACGGTCCTTCTCGGCGTCTGGACGGTCTTCGAACTGAAAATATGATAAAGGTAAAGCTTATTAATGTTGGAAAAACGGTAAAATACGATAACGGCATCTTTAAACACCTACCTGATCAGCAGCAAACGCACTAACACAAGGTTTAATGGAGCCAGTAGCCAATGCGATGACGAATAATCCTCCAAAGTCAAACAGTGACCGTACAGAGTGTTCTAGATTAGGTACAGCACCGAACGATAAACAAACATGACCAAGAACGTATACTATACTACCCCAGATGATAACTTTAAAGCGACCAAAGTAGTTGTCAGCTGCTACTGAGCCGAGCAACGAGGAAAGATACGATAACGCTATGAACATGTGGTATACGAAGAAGGCTTTGCTGAAAATAAGTTTGTTGTACACAGGGTTTTTGGCAAAAGCTGGTGCACTTAGTACTGCTGATTGTGTTTTTCGAAAGTTTCTATTTCCTAAGGTGATCTGACTTTGCGTAGTATGGCTGTTTGTACTACTATGCACATTTTAAAGATGATTTTCAGTAACTTACCTGGCAGTCATGTTGTGTTCGTAAAGCAAATAGATGACCAATATTGCTCTCATACCAAAATACGAAAACCGTTCACAGAACTCATTGCCAAGTGAGTAAAATACGGCTCGTGGGTAGCCGCGTACGGTGGCTATTAACCCCTTTTCCGACATTACTCCTGAAATACGAAGAGTTACAGTATATAAGTTTATAACATAGTTTACACGAAGATATGACAATAAGTATTTTTTATTGTAACGGACAAACTACAGTAAGAATAATGTAAAATACGCTTGTATAATCTGCAAATTATTTTACAAATTTTATCAAGCAATATTGAGTAGGTTAGTTGTTCATACCTAAATTAACAAGCTCCAACCACCTTAAAACTTTTTCACAAAGTTCATTTTCAATAAAAGTGTGAGTGTTAACATTAAAACAGATTGAATTAATTACAAAAGTAATAAAACAGCCCAATCACACTTTTGTCAAAACATGTTTAGTGTAAAGTTGTAATTCTCTCAAAAATCTCGAGAATTCGATTATAATTGGATTTGATGAATGGCAATTAAGGTCGTGATACGAACATAAGCGGTTTACTTTGTTGCTTTACACGAAGTCTTGTTATTGGTGGGCTGCAAAGGTTGGGTGATGTCATCGTTTTGGCAGGGTAAAAAAAGGGGGTAGATATATAGATATTGGGATAGAGGGGTAGATACAGCTGAATAAGGAGGGGGGGTTGGGTATATAATTAGGTAGAATAGGTAAGCAAACATGACCGAGTACAGATACTATACGACCCCAGAAGATAACTTTAAAACTACCAAACGAATTGGCAGTTGCTACTGAGCCGAGCAACGATGAAAGATAATTATTACACAAGACACACACAAGTTGTAAGATTTGTCGACCGGTTGATTTCAGTTTTTTAAGAAGAGGGTGCTGTGTTTTTGAAAAATACGGTGAAGGGGTCCCCTATCCTATTATACGGCCTTGATCCCCAAATATATTATAGTTTAGCGATTTTACTATTATAATATCTTATAAACCACGGCACCCAAATCTAATTTGTAATAAAAAACTGCAACGCTTACTAAGCCCCACTATAGTATCATAGCGCTCAAAAAATCGTAGGATAGTCAAAGTAGAAGCCCACATTAAAGTTGATTGGAAAGATAAATAAAACGATCACAAATCTTTAAAGTAGCTCCGTCTCAAAGTTTCAAATTTGAAAAATAAAAAATGCAAACAATCCCTCTGCTGCGACGTTTAAACGTTTGTAAATATTGACCAGTTTACGGTCTCAATAATCATTTCGACAGTTCAAGGAGAATATTCACCTTGTTTGAAATGAACTCTAGGGTTGGATTTCAACGTTTTTAAGGTAAATATTATGATTCTTGGGGGTTATTATGTAATGTGAGGGGTTTTAGTATAGTAAATTGATATACGTAGGGTTATGCTACAGTAAAATGAAAATCTTTTGAAAATATTGATGTCATAGTACATTAAAATATCCATGTTATAGATTGATTAAAAGAAAATGCGACATGAGTACCTTAATATTGTAACACCCAAAACAATAAAAAGTTATAAAAAACACCCTGCCTTAACAAAACCCTTTAAAAATTCCCCAGAGACCATTAAGAGGTCACTTTCACTCCGATGACACAACTGATGGTATGTTTGTTAAGTCGCGGTTTCACGTCGTCGCTGGTCACGGCTATACGTCAAACACTTATATGATGAAGTAAAAGTTACTACATAGTTAAAGACGGATCTATTGCACGATAATAAGATAATTGTTGTTGCTGAAAGATTGTGTGATTGGGGAGGATGCGAGAGAAAAAAGGAAATTGGTTGCTAAAGTTGGTTGAATTGGGAAAGTAATCAATTTCAACATACGTAGTAGTACAGTAAGATATGAAAAGTACTAAAATAAATCAGAAAAATCATATTTTAGGTTTTTAATACCTAAAAACGACTGTAAGACTACAAACAGATGCTTAACTGATCTAAAACAAGATCCATTACCCAAAAACCACAAAAAACGAGCCAGATACGTTAATGCGGCCATTAAACGAATAATGTCCTTTTGGAAACAAAAACATCTTCAGAAGGCGGCAGAAGAGGTAAAGGTTATTGTACTGGGAGTAAAGACCATTGTTACTCCATCACAATTACCATGTCTTTTGTAATTGAAGTAGAGTATACAACGTTCGAAACGAATTATAATTTTGTTGCAGGAGTACGGTAAAACATAGATTTAAGTTTTGCTGCATAACTTTTTTTGGAAGGTAAAAAATGTTATCTAAACTTTTAAAGTTACAGTATTCGGCTCAAGGTTTTAAAAACCACAGTATGCTGCTTAAAATTCTTAAAATTTAAAACTATAAATAAGTTGAATAAACCCTTTATATTAGAGGTGGAAAACCAAAATATCGTTACAAATTACTCATTACCGACCCAAACAATTCAATAACAAACTATGAGAGTAATGTAAACGGAATTCAGCAAAGTTGTGATCTCAAAAACAAGAAACAACTTTGAGAAACAGTTACTTCAATACCAGTAAGAGATGATTAATAAACGAGTAATATGGTTTGTGCTTCGAAAAAGCAGTGTATTTTACTATCAATGTTATCTTTTAAAGATGTAAGATCAACTTTTAACTTTGACTTAAAAGCACACAAGACTTTTACTTTTGATACACGTTCCAATGGGTTTACAGACAGCTTTTTAAACGTACATGAAGCTCATAAAAATACACAACGGGACACATAATTACTATAACAATTTATAGTGTAACGCTTCAGGTGATAAACTTTGTTTTGTATATAATTAAGACTACAAAGTCAATCGATCCATAGAAACAACAAAACAATAAACAAACCAAAAGATCAAAGTATGTAAACCCTAAAATAACCTTATTTTTATCAAAATAACTCTACTGTTAACACAACCATAATATCGAAAGACCTTGAACACCCAAAAATGTGTGAAGATTCAAAGCAAAACTGTTAAAAGTGACCAAAAAGTATTCGAAAAATGCGCGAAAATAATCAAAATAGGTGGGTTGATAAGTGACAAAGTGATAACATCAGCTGATCAGTTTACACTCACAGGTGTGGTAAGATTTGGTAGGTAATCATGTAAACAGAAAGTTGTTTTAGGTTTAAAGTAATGGTTTATGAACTATAATTAGTCACCATTTTGTACTTTGATAAGGAATAACGCGTAGGATAGGGTAAGTTAGGTTACTATCGGGTAGATATCGTAGGGAAGGTTATAGTAAAGTGTGATGATAGACTAAATGTAATGGCAAAGTAGGACTAACATTGTCAGTTAATGCAGCCAAAGATATTTTTAGTCAAAGTCGTTAAAGCTACGTTAAATTCCAGTGTAAAAACATAAAAAGTAAATTGTACTTTAAATGAAAGACAAAACTGTTTATCGCCCCAGGTTCAAAAAATTTCGTTTTTGAGAGAATTCCGAAGATGTTTAGCGTTGTAACAAATGCATCAACAACAACCGTTCCTAGAACACGTTCTGACGTGAGATACGTGAGTAAGAGGGGGTGTCATCTTGAGTTAAGTGTACAAAGGTAGTAAAAGGTAGTAGTTATAAGAAACGAGTAACAAAAACTTATAAGTATAAAAAACTAATGACACGGCTTTTCATTTTAAAATTAAGTATAAAATAGTTCAAATAATCTTGAGCCACATATCCCCAAAAAGTTGCTTTGAGGTGCGGCACAGAATTACATGAACAACTTAATAGCAAAAATTTTGCAAATTTTCCAATAAAATTTTAATTTTATGGAAGCACAGAACGTGAGAACTGAACAATTGCTCATTTAGGGAATACTGACTTTGAACCCAAAGTAACACTTTGACAAATTGTAAAAAATATTTAGATTGCAAAAACAATTACCGTGGTTTCAGTGGTCAAAAGTCAACAGAATCGCCCTGAATTCATGGTTGAATTAGCTGAAATCACAAGTTCCCTTTTGACCGCTCCATGAACAACGTTCTACTGCGCAGTAAGTTTTTTGCAAAAAATAAAAGCTAATTTTGAAAATTTAAAGTGGACTTTGAAAAATCATGAAAAATATTCTACTAGAGTTAATTTCAAAAAAGGAGCGACAAAATGAATCTTGATATAGTAGTTTGTTTTCTAGACAGTAAACAGTCATTGTAAACAAGAGTTATTACTTGAGTTACATGGTCTGTAACATGGTATTATTAACTGTAAGGGAAGTATGATCATTGAACGGCTTTGTAGCTAAAATTCTAACATTTGTAAGCTGTTGAAAATAAACTACAGCACCAAAAATACTGCTTTTTCATCGTATAAAATATATTTGCCCTTAAAACCAGAACCTAGTGCTCATATGTTAATATAAAAATTTTGTCTATAGGAATTTATTTTTAAAATTCGAAATAAATTGTGTAAAATACTTCTAGTTTGAAGGCCGACTTTGCATATTAAAAATCAGCGCTAATTCTGATGCAATATGTTATTATATTCATCTGTTGTTAATGTTATGATACTTTGTACTTATAGTGCCATACTACAAGTTCCTTTTCTCAAAACACAATCATAACATATTTGAATAGTTATATTTTGTGCTTTCTGCTACATTTAAATCTTACAAACTCTAAACTGTCAAACAAGTCTGAAACTCAGTTAAGCGTTACGCTGTATATACACTACCTTAACGTACATATAAAACACGTTCTGAACGTACATGTTATACTATGTAAAAATGTGCTTACAAATACTATTTTTTGTATATAAACGCATGTTCACGTGAACTTCACAACAATTGGCTAATAACTTTTACAGGAACTAACGTCGCAGTATCCAAAATACATTTTACAATGCTATTTGCTTTCACAACATACCAAAAAATCCCTATATCAACATCACCAATATACTTTAAAAAGTGATATAAAAAGAAAATGTTTCGACGATCGTTTTTCGTAAAATTTCTTTGAAATCTCTTTCCACCAGCATTTCTTTTGAACATAAGGAGTATAATAACACTACTATTCTGACTCATATCACAGTAAAATCATCTTGTACCACAAACAGTAAGTGTTTGCTCTTAAAGGTTTCAAATTTGAAAAAGAAGGTATTACCCCACTTTACTATCGACCAAACAGGTTATCTTTACTACACATTTAAATCTTTAAAGATGTTGTAATTACCACACAATGAGTCGACACTTTTTCATAACTCAAGCAATTAACCTCTCTGGAGCCAATGTTACAGTGAAGAGCTACTGATACTTGTTGACAAGTTTAAATTAAGTAAGAAACCAAAACAAAGTAGAGTTTTTAAACAATCAATTAAAAAAGAAAGCTAAAAAAACAGCTAGGTAATTGAGTATTTTCCCAAGTAAAACCTTTCCCAGCTAACCTTGATTGTTATCATAACATATCAAGTTCATGTGTACTTATCAAAACTTTCTGATGAACTTTGTAACCTTGAACATGTTCTACTCTATCATTCTTTCCAGAATTCATAAATCACTAGTTTTCTATCTACTACAATATAGAAGCATACCGTTCTGAAAAACGAAGTATTAGTTTATTATTTAATAATAGAAAACCGAAATTACAGAGTAAAAATTTTAAAAGTTTTAAAAACAGTAGAGATTCAGAAGACAGCTACACTGATCTGTGACGAGAAATATCACATGAAAAATTATACATCATCAACATGGCAAAATACCTTCATATCGAGCAAATTACTCTAACATCTTGCAAGTTGCTACTATATCTTAAAACGTACTATTTTTGTAGATTTTAAGACATACTGTAAATCTGCCCATGTTTTACTTTTGCATTTCGTTTATCTCCCAGAACTTTCCTCGTTTCATCTTTTCGAACTTGGTCTCGAGCTTTTTCCTTCGCTGACGCCGTCTCTGAGCTGTCGACATTTCTACCATATCTATTTTGCCAAGTTTTGTCATATCCTGCAATGAAACACGTTACTATACTATGCTTTCTATCCAAAGGTTACAAAATTATATATAATACAGTTTTATACCTAAATTTTAAAAATTTTGACACAACAATTTGTTTTCCATACAATAAACAAACTTACAATCTTAACATCGATCTCTTCCTCAAACTCCTCTTCATCCAACGGTGATCCTTCGACAAACGGACTGCTGGCTTCTGACTGGTCGTTGACGAACTTGTGATACTGTTGATGAAGCTGATACTGAGAAGACTGAACTCGTTGTTGATTCTTTTCTTCGAAATACTGATGTGGGAATTCATTTCCAGAAGCTTGAGGTTCTGGAGCTTGACTATTCAGAGATTGTTCTAGCTGCATTAATTCTTGTAGGGTATCGTGGTCAATCTGTTCTGTCGAATCATCCATGACATTCTCTTTTAAAGCCTGTCGCTTCTTCTTCTTTCGTTTATCTCTATCATCATCTTCGTCGTCGCTTTCTATCGGCCGTTTTCTAAAAAAATTAATTTCATTATTGTTAATTTAAAAAAAAACACTAATTTAGGTAACAAAACAAGTCTGAAACTCAGTTTAAAAAAAATTTTAGAGCTATAAGAACTTACTTCCTTAACCGTCGTTCTCTATCAGCTCTGTGCGCAGCTTGAATCAACGCTCCTCGTTCTATCGTGTATCCTCGAGCGGTTTCGACAACTAAATTGACAATAATTGTTTAATGAAAGCTCAAGAACTTACGGTTCAGAGCTTCATGTGAACTCAGACTTAATCGGTCAATCAGGTAACGACATATTAGATATCCAGACCTGTTCACTCCATCAGTACAATGAACACCAATCAAACTACCTGAAAACATCCAGAAACTAGTATACGAAACATCTGATAAGCAGTAGTACTCTAATTATGTCATTTTAAACGTAAAGACAGCTTTTTACAAAGCACAACAAGATGGCAAAACACAAATTTAAAGTTTAACTCACTGTTATCCTTATTTCGTTCCAAAAAGTCGTCAACCGTCCTCATAAATGACTTTACCACGGAATCACTTTCAACAAAACTCCTTCCGTGAATTGGCAGCTTGTAGTATTCAATACCGAGTATTTCTACCTCACTACCTTCATAATATCTGGCTGTGTTTGTTGCGTTTATCACTAAACCAACATCACGTCCAGCAAACAAATTCTAAAATAACATCGTTTAAATTTAAAATGACTTGTGAAACCAGTTCTATATAAAAGAAAATGCCTTTTAAGCAGGTGATGAACCTAAAGTTACAAAAAATAATTTTAAAAAATTACCTGTCGGTAAAAGTCTCCAACCGTAAATCGCTTTGATTTCCTGTATTTGCAACATAATTCATGGCATAACGGTGTCTTAAAGGCAAAAAGCCTTGTTCCTTCTACTACCTTCCCAATCGGCTCGTACTTCTCCCATCTGAAAACACAAAAATCAAAACCAGTTAATTTAGGTAACAAAACAATATCAATAACAAAGACAAAACGACCTTTAAAATAAATATATGTGAAAAGTTTCACAATTTGGGTACTCAAGCTATCAACCGTTTAATCAGCTTTGTAAACAACTATAAAGTTCAAATAGTAATAAAATTTAGGTACCCAAAATTAATAATTTATAAAAATAGTTTTATACTAAGCAAAAACATGTATTACACCATCTTAAACCGTATTTAAATTTAAAAAACTGTTTTCCTTTACAAAAAGAGTTTCTTTACAAGCCAAAAACATGTAAATCAATACTCTAATACCTAAAAAACCAAAAATATTACTATAACAAACTGAACACCCAAGACCAGCCCAAAAAGAAACGAAAAAGACAGATATCGCCAGTTGTAGCACACAAAACCTCCAATACATGGCAAAACAAAACCCTGAAAATAGTATGAACAATAATATAATCCATGATGTCCAAAATTCCTCACTCTTTGGGCAACTTTCGAATGGTTCGAGGCATAATAATATAAAGGTGTTGTAGATGTCAGAATGTCGCGGTCGATCAATCTCCAGATGTCTTGACAAAAGTGTCTTTGGCTATCTTCCAACTCCGCGACGATCGCTGAAGAAAAAAGTTTTTTAGAATTTATAAAATTTAGACTCCGCGTCGGGACCCATTGAAGATCAGGCATTTGGCGCGCTTTCGAACAATACTTTTAGTTATTTTAGTTTGCGCGGGAAAATAAATTTTGTTTCGGAAAAAATAAAAATTTTTATAGAAAATTGGTTCTATAATTTTATACTGCCTTTTCTCATAAGTTATCCTTGTTATAGTGCTGTAAATTCGTGAAAATATTTAAAATACGATGGCTGACGAAGTAATGGAAGTGGACGTAAAGCAATCCTCTAAAGAAAACATTCCTTGGTTTGTTTATTACTGTTCTTATGCTTTTAAAGGTTTTGAATTATATTTTCCAGGAATATATAGATACTGTTTGTAAAAAGCATTTATATAGCAATTTAATTTTTCAGGGTGGAAAAGTACAGACCAAGAACATTGGACGATGTCTGCTGTTATCCAACAAGTCTTAAAAGGTTCAAGTACTTTGCACAACATGGAAATGTGCCTCATTTGATTCTTGCTGTAAGTTTTTATTAGAGTTTATATTTTTAGGTCGAATTAAATTGAGGACATTAGTTTAACTGTAATATCAAGAAGATATTCTCTAATGACACTTTTAGGGGCCGCCAGGGATTGGCAAGACAACCACTATTCATGCCATGGCCAGAGACATGCTTGGGCCTTTGTATTCAAAGGCTGTGCTTGAGTTGAATGCTTCAGACGAAAGAGGTATTGATGTTGTTAGACAGAGGATCAAGAACTTTGCCGAAACTCATGTTACTTTACCGGCTGGCAAACACAAGATTATTGTGCTGGACGAGGCTGACAGTATGACGGAAGGTGCACAACAAGCTTTGAGAAGAATCATGGAGAACTATTCGAATACTACAAGGTTTATGTTGGCTTGTAATCAAAGTGACAAGGTTATTGGTGGGTATTATTTGTTTTTAGGTATAAAGAGCATGAATGTTTTGTCAATTCTGTAAAATTATCGCTTTAACTTTAGTTTTTATAATGTTTTATTACAGAACCAATCCAAAGTAGATGTGCAATTGTAAAGTATGGTAGATTGAACAAAGAGCTGATGCTTAAAGGCATTAAACGTGTGGCTGATGCTGAAAAAGTGCAATATACAGAGGATGGTCTTGAAGCTATCTACCAAACAAGTTGTGGAGATCTCAGAAGTGTAAGTTTAAATTTTATTTTGAGTTTGTAATTTTTATGTATACTAATATTTATGTATAAAATATTGTTTTACTAAAGGGTTTATCTCTACCTTTTAGGCAGTAAATAACCTCCAATGCACAGCCTCGGGTTATGGAAGAGTGACAGCAGATGTTGTGTACAAAGTTTGCGACGAACCAATGCCAGATGACATTGTCAACTTCTTCCAGCGATGTCAAACAGCTCAGTTCAAGTTGGCCGTTCAATACCTGGAGAAGCTGCGTCGTGACGGATATGCTTTTACAGACATTGTGTCAGTTCTGAGTAGAACGTTGATGAGAGTAGACATTCCTGAGGTATTGAAGTACGAGTATTACAAAGTAAGCTTTTTTGCATACCGAATTTATAGATAACAAGTTTATAACATATTATTCATCTTGTAAATTGGTGTTTTTGTCAGAAAAATAGTAAATTAGGTACAAAGTTAGATGCTATGTTATCTTATGACCAAAAAAGACTGATGCTACTATGACATATAGTACTGTTGGTGTAACTTTTATCGGTCTATATTAAAAAGGGTTTGTGATAAGGTGGGTTGTACTAAAGGCGGTCAACTTTATCAGATAGCTCTCCCACAATTGTAATTACAATATATGTAATAAAATAAATGTAAAAACTTCTTTTCTCAACTTGATGACATTTTGTATTGCAGATAATCGGACTTTCTCACATGGACGCTCTGAAAGGTAACGATGGCAAACTACAGCTTTACTCTTTGGCCGCTCAGTTGTGCACTGCGACAGAAAACATTAATAAATAAGTTTGCTACTAATCATATCATATGGAACATGATATATGATACTCATTTCACTTTTTTAAACCGGGGTGCTTGTAATTTATAACGTTTGATTAAAGGGTTTAAAAGTAATTGGAAATTCGGTTTCTTTGTTGGCTTTGCTCATATTGATCAAGTTGATTTTTATTCAAAAAATACTTTATTTTTCTACTTTATTTTGTTAAGGCTATCCTATTTACTTTATTTGACTATAATTAAGGCGAACCAAAAGCATCGTGCATAAACAACCCAAAGTGAATGCATCCGGTAAGTGTTAGTAATGTGTAAGTAACGATCTGAACTATCCCTGTTTCTTGTGCTATTTGCTCTGGCTTCCACCAAACATAAGGTTTCGAGAACTTGAGACTCTTGTGACACACGTAGTAGATTCGTGGGGGTACGTTGCAGAAACGATTCATTCCTGGCGAATCCGGATCCACCGAATCTGATCTGAAGAGTTTAGGTAATATTATAATTTATTACGATTCTAAAGGATTGTAAAATATGGGTTCTGCTTTGTCGAATAATTGGTAAAATATGCTAATCGACATTTACTCACCCGCTGAGCCAACAGAATATCCCCAACGTGGTAACAGCGACCAAAGCCGTACTCAATGCAGCTCCAACGATGGAGAATATCTGTCGCTGAACTGATTTCTCTCGGAAATGCCATGGAACTGCTGCTTGGGCCAAGCAGAAGCAGGCCACGATGGTTGGGAAGTAAGCGAAGAAGAAGATACAACAATATGAGTGATATGCATAGGAGATTAGCAATGTCGCCAGTCCAAATACGACCTGCCAATGTGGGGGAGATAGTCGAAATCTGAAAGATTAAAGTTTGGAGTATTGATGAGTCTTTTCTGGTTTTTAGTTACATTAGGTAATAGTACACGCCGTATTATGCGCTTTACGGTAGATCATACTAGTTACAATCGTATTTTACAGTATTATTGTTAGAAATTACATTGTTATATTTAAGATGTAAACTACGTTGCTAAAGCCACTCACCTTGTTTCAAACGCACTAAAAGTAGTAAGAACACAAGATGCACCAAAATGAACGAAGGATACGATGGACAAGAAGGTGGTAAGCCCGATTTCGAACGTTCTTGCTTGGTCGAACCCAAGTTTGTTCAACATATTATGTTGTAGGTCGTACATGGCATCCTTACAAGCTAATTGTGAGCCTAAGGTTCTGTTCAGAATACCTGCACAGAAGTTACTACCGTTGTCTTGTACTGCAATATCAGTGTAAAAAAGCTAAAATATTTTACTTACAATTCCTGAAACATATTGTTTCCGTCAGAGTTGTGAGGAATACTAAAAATGAAGCTAACCCAGACAGAAACTGCATCATTAACTCGCATCTGAAATAGCATTTTATACTTTTTGTTATGGTTAACGTAACAAGAGGTAGATTTAAATTCATGAGAGGTAGTGGCACTTATAAAATACGAAAACAGTTTTATAATACCTTTATACCTGGCTTAAAAGAAAGGTAACTTGCTTGTTTGAATATTGAATTGTGAGAGCGTACACTGAGGTAATGCATGATATGACACCCGAGATAATAGGTAAGAAGAAGGCGAAGAAGGGAAGGCAGAAGAATAAATACAGAAAGCCGGAGATGAACTCAAACTGAAATTAATTTTTAAAATTAGATTTATAATTTAGTAATACTTTTTAGTACTAATTTAGTACTAATGCTACAACTGTATGCAAACAGTATAAAATGCCGAAAATAACTATTGTAGTAAATTTTTGAGTATAATGTTGCTAAAGTGAACTTACAAAGCCTAGAATACCAATCAGTGGGTACAAGGTCCATAGAAATCCGGTGACATTCATATGAATGTACTATTGGAGCACTAGAGCAAGTACGACAGTTTGAGGCCAGGCAATAGGTAACGCTGATTTTTAAAACCTAAAGATTAGTAAATGATAAGTAACATCTAAGAATTGTATACGTTAATGTTTTAACACGTATATGCTACTACAATATTATTTATCAGAAGAAACAGCACTGATTTGCAATAAGTAAACATTAAACCCCCATACTCTGTCTGTTCCTCATAGTTGCGCAGACAAACTACGTACTCTAAGTTTCAAAAATAGCCCATGTTTGTGCTGGAAAAGTAAGCAAACCCCCTCAGGGCGTATATTCTTATCCAAATGTATTCCTTGACAATTTAGCTGGGCCATTTGTTCCGGCTGAAAACATCCCGCGCATTTATCTTCCCGTGCTCAATGAATCAAACTGAGTAGGACGTACTATTAATGAGTACGGACGAGAATAATCGTTCTGGCAATACCGCATATTATACTGGAGGGTGATGGATTGTTGTACTATTATGTTTTTTTATAGATTTTTGAGGGAAAACTGTAAGTCTACGCGTTTTACAATTATTTTAAGTAAAATACGATGCACACATCAAATTTCTTAGTATAAATAATGTACTAAGAGTACTACGATCAAAAAAATGCCCTTTAACTCATCAAGTGTCATATCTAATAAGACTAAAATGTAACTATACCTATTTGGATGCCTATCGCCTTCTTTAATGTCTTTGAGCTTCAGAATTTCCGACAAAATTTCTTTTTTATTTTGCGATGGCAAAAATACGATTACATAGAGCAACACATTCGAAAACAAAAGGGCAAAACACTCGAGATGGCAATCAGAAGATGACTTTTCAAGTCATAAGCAAAATCGTATTTTTAAATTTGTATTGTAAGTTGAAAAAAAATTGGGGGCATTCCTAAACGACCAGTTGATTTCTCTAAACAAATAATAAGCCTACAGGGGATACCAATCAAAAAAAAAAATTTTTTCTGTTGTCAAACTTTTAGTATGAAACCCAAAGTACTGAACTATGTCCCATTATAACCAGAGTGTCACACTAGCAGGTAATTTTTGATAGGAGTTCTATTACAAAAGACGTTCAGAAGCGGTAATTATAAATAGGGTGCCATAATACTACCGAGGGTCGTATTAAACAGGTTTTATTGTATTTGCTTTCCGTCCCTACTTCATCCCTTCTCTTTGTAAACTTATATAACTAACATGGCACTAATGCAACCCCTTATATAATAGTTAACATAAAACACAAGATATTAGTATTGATTATATTAAGAGCCTACAAAACTACAGTAAGAGGTATATGCTACAAAACCTGCCAAAACAGTTTCCCTACCACATATAATACTTCAACCGCCCTTTACAACGAATGAAATGTGTTCGGATAGACCTTCAGAATCCATTCTGGACTAAAAACGGCTTTAAGTTTGGTTTGTTTGTCCCGATGGAGTTGAACACTTCTGGATTCTTTACACATTTTCGAGATTAAAGAATTGCCTAAAAGGAATGACATAGTTGGTATGTGTTGATTCTTGACCAAATGAATTAAAGAGCTGAACATATCTGGCCACACATACCATGTTTGTCACTTTTATACTTAAAAGTATAGGCCTTTAGTAAAATAGGTTCAAGGCATGGTTAATATAATGGTTTTAGGGAAAATATATTACTGTAGAATTACAAAACGTGTAATGGAGAGTAGTATGAACATATACTGAAGACTAGTCATGTATTAGTTTTTAAATGAAAAGTTACTGTAATACGCAAAAAAAAGTAAAAAAACAGACAAATGCTTACGTTAGATGGTAAAATACGAGGTAGAAAGGTCCGTTATTAACAACAAAAAATGATCAAAAATACAAATATACTGATGTAAACTACATTGCTCAACATACGAAGCATCCTCGACAGCCTTCTCCACTGTTTTGTGGTTTTCCTTCGAATGACGAAGCCAAATCTTGTTATCCTCTCCCCTTCACTAATAATGAAATCAGAGCTCTTCGTCGTGTACATCTACTCTCGAAATCGGACACACAAAGTCAGTGTTTAATTTTGATATGTAATTGCCGAAACGTCATCAAAAGTACGCAACATAATCAAGTAAAAGTTCGTGGTTCAGTACTATTATATGATAATACTATACTTTGATGTGTCATCTAGTAAATACTGTTATATCATGTAGAGGTAATCAGGACCGGGCGCTGGGGGGGGCGGAGGGAATCCCCCCCCCCAGAAAAAAATTTTCGAAAAAAGTTGAACGTGGTCCTCCCTGTGGATTTTTGGAAAAAAATTTTTCGCAAAAAATCGGCACAGGTAATGACCAACGCGTTTCTTGTAGCCAGCTCATCTTATATTATAATACTGTAAATTGTTATTTTATCTTTCAGAATAACATACTGCATTTCTTTGCCATTTCGCAATGTTTATGTAATACGATCCTGCTACTATCTTGCGACTTAAAAGCTTCTCTTTTATTATAAGGACTCACCTTGAAATACAAAAATTGAGGGAAACTCGTGAGTCACGCTCTTTTATTGTTTGTACCCTTAGGCCGATCTTGCTTTTTCTTCCGAAAATTATAATTTTATTGTTTTATGGATCTATTACTACGCCAATCTGGACCCACACTTATCGGAAATCGAATTCAGGTATTTTTTAACAAGTTTGTTCAATTTCAATACTTTTTTGAATTTTTTAAAATTTTTAACTACAAAATTTATAAAAATCTTGTTTTGTTGTTTTTGATACACTTGTTTACAAAAAAATGCTAAACTAAATATAAGGTTTGTTAAAATAAAAAAGCAACTAAAAGTAAAAATATTATTCTAGGCAGTTGTTTTGGTTTCAACTTATGGATTTCTGTACCTGAATCAAGTACTCTTCGTACTGTTTTTGTCTCAAAATGGTGTCACAGACCTTCATAAAAATAGAAAGTTAACGTAAGCTTCAAAACACTATACATGTATTTAATATTATATAAAATATACTATTCTTATAGACAAAATGATAAATGATTTTAAAATTTTTTTCTTAAACTATTGGTTTTCAGATTGATCAGTAAAAATGAGACGTTAGGAATTCTTGACAAGCCTTTTTTGACTTTTGAGGTAAGGTTTTCTTATTAGATTGTTCAAATAATTCTGTGCCTTCTCTCAATACAATTTTTTTAGAGTCAAGGGGCACAGAATTAGTTAAACAACTTAATGTAACAAATAAACCTACTCGCTATACCGAACGTATTTTACATACACATTTCAGTTTTTACATTACAACTTTATCACCAAAAATGCATTGTTAATAGTATTCTTTACTTATTCTGTTGGTAATGGCATCGGTTACTTATTCTCTGCTTTGTTGTCTCAAAAGTAAGTTATTTGGTGTTGAAAAGTACGGTAATTTGATAGATGCAAGTAGTAATTGTTAATATTATTACTATTCATTTAAACTTTAATTTTAATATTGTAAGGTAAACCTGCGTATTTTAAAAATTAAACTTACAGTTTATCACCTCGAAAAGGTCTCATTATATTTACATTTGTTCATGTCATAACCTCGTTCATATCAGCTGTCTGTCCTATCTTTTGGGCTTACAATGGCTTTAGATTCTTCAGTGGATTCTTAAGTGGAGCAGCTTCACATTGCTTACTTTGTATATGTAAGTTGATTAATTTGCAGTAATTTTAAAATTTTTAAAAGCATGTTGATGTAGCCTTTCTTAACTTAATGATACCAAATCCAAGCAAGTTACACAATATTTAAAATTTTAGTAGTCGACTGGTCATACCCAAAGTTCAATGCAGTTACCGGTCATCATGTTAACGTTGGAAAAGTCTTGGCATTTCTGTTGTCATCATTAGTAATATTAGTAAACCTTGGTGTACCATGGAGAATAACATTACTTGGTCAAGGAATTCTAACTTTTATTGGATTTGTAGCAACGATGATGTAAGTTATATTATCATTTGTTCAGATTTTGTAAATTGTTATTACATTTTTATATTTCAAAAAAGTTTGAAGAGCACATTATATTTGTAGTTACCTTATATAGTAAAATAAAAGCATATTAGACCGTGTAACCTATATATTATCATTCAGTATCTAAATTTTATATCACATTCAGATGGGTTCACCAATCGCCAAGATGGCTAAAGGAAAGGAATGAGTTCAAACTGCTGATGGAAGAAGGAAAACAGTTTGCAATGCGAATAAAATACGATGGACGACCATTGTTGGAGCAAGACTACAATGTAAGATACATATATACCGCATAGTAATATTCATACATAAGTCCTAAATAGTAAATATTTAATTTTGTAAAATACGCATTTGCCAAAACATCTACGTACTGGACTGTTCAAATAATTCCGTGCCCCTAACCCCGAACATTTGCTTTAAGAAAAGGCACAAGATTATTTGAACAACGTAATTCATCCCACGTAGTCAAAGCTTCTTTTTGTAAAATACGCATTTGTTCAAAACATCTAAGTGCTATACATACAACTATAATATCAAAATTTTTAGGCAAATGAACCAAGTTACCATTTAGAACATATCACACCTGGACTGGAACGTGTTTGTTTAGTTTTGGCTTAGTAAGTAAAACATATATTTTAAAAATTTTATCGAAAAAAAGAAAAAATTGGGCTTAAACTTAGATTAATGATAAGATTTCAGTGGCTTTTCCTCAAGCGGTGAACTACTAGTACAATCAAACTTTAAAGTCTCATCTTTTGACTTCAAGTACTGCCTACTCATGTTAGCAGGTAATGTTGCTCTTAATATGAAGACTGTTAATGTCATTTCGTACTTTAAATCAAAACATTAAGTTTCGTAACAAAAATAATAATTTAGGCTTATACCTAATCTCCTACCTACTATCAATCCCCTCCCGTCGGGTACCACGCTTCGGAGTATCATCAGCTGCCGTTTTTGGATCGATAATAACATTTCTCATCATCTTAATCAAGAAAAAACCATTGGCGACATTGATTTTGACTATTTTTAAAAATGGATTGGCAATAACTGCCAACCAGCTCATGTTTATGACATTATTAAACAGCTCTACACCGTTTGACGATCCAACCAACGCTCAGTTGGTACACTCTAGGATCAAACTGGTCGTGTTGGCTGATTTTGCCGCTGGAATGGTCTTTCGACCAGCTGCTTGGTATGTTCATGTTACGGTAGGTTTTATAGCCCTTTTCTAACTTTAAACTTTTATCATATTTGCCAGCTTACTACACTAACCTATAGGCACTTTACTACTGTAAACTACGTAAAAATTGAGTATTAAAAGTGCAAACTTCAACTCCAATATCTGTCTCTAATCTGTTTCAAATTATTTTACATAAACCTTCTTAATTACCCTGTCGTACCACCCTCGCGGCAGCAACGTCGTATCTCCGCAGTAGTTTTTTTTATGTGAAGTAATCCAAAAAAGTTGTACAAAAAACACTTAAGTCCGTCGCTTTTTATGGGCGCGACGACCACACATCGCGACAAAAACGAGCGATTTTACGAGTTGTACGAGATCGTGGGTCGAGGTTTCGAGTACGGTGGTACTACGCCTTGAAAGGGTACTGTAGTTTTAGTGCCAAAAAATGCAACAATTTGCTTTATAATATTACTTTAACAGATGTACGTGTTTTGACATGTAAATACCATCAAACAAATCATTTCAAGCTTTTTTAACATCCACAGTAATTCAAACTGAATTTGCATACTGTAATGTATTTTCTTATTCTCTTAGTAAGATTCCATCTACTTCAGTAAAAAACCAAAGTTTAACCGAGTCAAAAAGTCATTAAGACGGCTTCAAATCAGCCAGAAATGATTTTATTTCAAAGGGAAATGATTCTTGTCGCTGCGGGATGCCGCCGCTTCTGTAAAATAATCCACAAAGACCTTGAATACAACAACAAAACTTTATTCAATGCAACACTGACTTCGTATTTGCATAATTTTAAAGTTGAGTGCACATACGTTATTACGTAGTCAAGTCATAATTTTATCGTACGCAGCATTAAACTAACACAGTTAACATACATATTAGGTTGTTCACTTAATTCTGCGCCCCTTCACAAACTAATTTGTGGGGTACGGGGCGCAGAATTATGTGAACGACCTAATAGAAACGGTAATTAATGACCTGAAGCATACCTTACAGTATTTTGGAACTTTAAAAAATTACTTTACTATAGTAAAATCAAGTCATAGTAAGATAAATGCTGTATGTTTTATTACCTTTCCTATTCTCCATGATGTCATTTACCAATTCAACTTAAAAAATTTTAAGGTTAAGCCCTCAAGCATTTCAAAATCTTCTCAAAGCCTTCAAAAGACCTAAACTCATAAGATGCAACAAACTGTTGATCTCAAGGTTGCTTCTCGCACCACGTGTCTAGACAACATATTTACTCGCCAAATTTATCTCAAAGGCGTAATCGAAAATCGGACGATAAATCAAAGGATTAGCCTATGTTTATATTGCAATCCATCATCGCTCCAAATTTAGGTTAATGGCCATTGTCCAAAGAAGCGGTCGGCTTTTCACACAGCCTTTCTTTGTTTAAAAACAAAGCCTTAAAATGAAGTATCAAAAGCTATGGATCAGTAAATGATGCACAGAGTAATGTAATCTAAACTAAGGGTTCGTAAATAGGACAAGTGCTAATGTAACAGATATTATAGGTCAGTTAAGAAGAAACTGTTAGGCTAAACGTTTAAATTAAAACCCATGGATAAAATTGTTGTCGTGGCATCCTCCAACGTAACCTATCTATACCATAGATTGTCGTATTAGTTTCTAAACATACTATATGAGTTTTGTTGTTGTAATTCTATATTATTGTAAGTCATTTTATCTCTATATACATTAACTATAAATTTGCATATTAAATGACAAGAAACAACTATTATATGTCATTTCTGACCTTTGTCGCCATAATCCCATGAATAATATTCAAATAAGTCGTTTACAGTAACATTTTAATGACATCCCCTTTTCGAGGCACCGACATATTTTACGAGGCGCTATAAAACGCGACAGCTGTTGCCAACTCCACGTTTGAAGCGCGACAAGCCTTTGTGTCGCAACTCATTACTTTTGTTTCTTTCATAACAGTCATAAGATACGACGCAGTACGGTACGACGAGGGTGGGAAAGGCAGATGTTTAAATGTTCTCGGCAACAAACATATAATAAAAGTAGCAAAACAAGGTCATATAGGTTTGATAATGTAATAACATACCTCATGATAAGTTAAAAGCCTAAATTTTAAATTTAAAACTATTAGCCATAAAACTATAGTAAGTTAATAATAAAATAGTTGCACATAACAATATCTGTTTATACTTTATAGTTATTTTCTTATTACATCATTCATCGCGCAGTATAATCGTATTTACCACAACTTGAAGTTGTTATTGTCAACTAAAACAAGCATTGTTTGTCTCCGATCGCAAATAGAGAACGGAATTTATATTATCCATCAAGTCTGTGAAAATATAAAGAACGAATTCGCTCTCAAAACAATAATATAGCTCATTTGAAGTATAATTGTTGTTTAGCATAATAGACTAATAGAAATTAAAATTTTTATAATTCGAAAGCTTTTGAACTTGAAGATGCAAAATTTTGTCAAAAATATTATACAAATAACAAAAACATTAAAATTATATTTTCAGTTCATAGACAACCAGTTCTACCTTAATCTAGCTCTAATAGCATGCTTTATTGGTACTATTGTGTTTGGTGCCATTTCATGTCCATCAAACCCGCAAAATTCGTATGATTTCCCCCCCCCCAGAAGTTCAAAAAAAAGTTGTTGTTGAGAGATGCGAAACAGCAAAAGTAGAACAGATTGATAGCAAGAAAAACAAACTCAACAATCGACCCTCAGTTAGCTTCGATATACCAGAGAAAACACCACCAGTAGTTAATATACCTTTGCCAGAAGACGCTATTGACATTGAAATGTAATGCACTTAATATTACACTTATTTTTCTCTTAAGAAAATTTATAAACTTTAAAACATAATGAAGAATCTAGTTATACATGTCTTTTATGTTAACCTTTCTTTAATGTTTCCAAACTTACCTTATAATGTGTTTATTTCAAACAATAACAGAAGTTACCCTTTTCAGGTAACAAACAAAAACATCTATAAAAAAAGCAAAAAAATCCGCGTACAACTAGTAAATGACAATGTTAATGCAATTTTACATTGAAGTCGACCACATGCTACTGTGATACATTACCTATCTCTCGTGTATATCAGTAGTATATGGTAAACTGCAACATATATGCATAACAAGGAACACGGTAGAAAATAGTAGAATACAACAATAGAAAAATAAGTAGTAATTAGACTAAACCAATAAAATAGTAGAGGTTTAGGTAATCATACGTAGAAAAATAGGTAATAACCAAAAACAGTAGAATTTTAGGTTATAATTAATACTTAGAATAGAATTAGGCAATAATTAGAGCCCAAAACTATTAATTACACAGTAGAAGCACAACATACGACAGATCATAGTAGAAAGTAACATACCACAGTAAAGTTTGACAATTTACTATGATGTCTACATATTACTGAAAGATCAGACCTCAAAGCTGAGTATGGATCTAGTCATATCCATTGGATAAGTATGACTGAGACGCATACTCAGCTATGCTACCTGAACCACAATAATATACACCATGACCCGCCATATATCGCATTATACATCAATATTTTACTATAATCTAAGCCAAAATACTAATTACTAACTATACCAATATTATTTATACCTATAATAACCTTTTACAAAAAATTTAGGTAACAAACTTTCGAATGTTACCTAAATTTCACTGTAAATCCCTCTCAAAACCCTAAAAACAGCCAAAAAACCAAATAAAACCTCAAAAACAATACCTAAAACAATAAAAAACCCAAAGACAACCCCAAAAGATAACCCCCACCATCACCACACCCAAGCCGGATCGACCAGCAATACTGCCCAGCCGTCCAGCAACGCGACATTCGCCGAAAATGACCGAAAAGCGCGCAATTCCCGCCCATTTCGCCTTCAGCAATGCCGCCGACTTTTGGCGCGAAAATCGACCATTTGAATTCGGGGCGGGGCCGATCGGGGAATATTCAGATTTTTACGAGACAGAGTCGACTTTTAGAAGAATATCTTATCGGAATACATAAAATACGACATAAATTTTTGAATTTTGAATGAAATCTGAAGAAATACGACGAAAAATTGAGATTTCAGGCCATTTTGTGTGAAACATCGGTCAAAAAGTTTTTAGAAATCCTATTTACATGCCAATTTAGTACCATTTTGAAACTTTTAGGTTTTAATTTTGGCTAGAACAATATTAAAAGAAGATATACAGCAAAATTACGGTTTTTGAACGAAAAATCATTATAACATCGTAAATAAAGGTTATGTTCACCTTGGTTTAGATCAGAAAAGCTCAGAAGGTTACACAAATTTTAAAAACTTTTAAATTTCAAAATAATACCTAAAAATTGAAGTTCACCATAAACTTTTTTAGTTATTTTAACCTCAAGAACAACATTCCCGACCCAATTTCCAAGAATGCGACAATTTAAACCCAACTTAACAATAACAAAGTGCAACCAAGCCCTAGGGCAATGTCGCGATTTAAAAAACCAGCCCGCTTTTCAATTTTTTCAAAAAATTTTAGAATTTTGGTCCAAAAAACAGTGGGAAAAGCGTCTTGTCGCGCACAAAAAGCGACAAAATTGTGAAAAAGTCGAGAAAGAGCGACAAAACCTTCCCTTTCACGCAAACGACGTCTTCTTGTCGCGCGGGAACCAAAAAAAAGTTTGCGTGAGCGACGACGGACAAGGCCGAACCCCGCTTTCTGCCCCCGATTCTCCAAAAAGAACGTTTGCAGGCCGCGCGATTCACAAAAAACAAACGCACCGTGCGTTCGTTTCCATTTTATTGCACAGTGCAGGCACTTCTTATCGTCTGCACGGTGCAAAATGTCTTTTTTTTATCTGCACAGTGCAAAAACCTTGTTTAATCTGCACGGTGCAAAAAATCGTAAAAATTTGCACTGTGCAAACAATTTTCCTCTTCTGCACAGTGCAATCCATTAATGAAACTGCTCGGTGCAGTTTCTTTTACTCTGGCACCGTGCAAAAACCACTCAAAGCATTGGAATGCACTGTGCAAGCCTTTCTTTGTCGCAAAAAGCTCTCCAACCCCTACCCACAACTGGCGACAACACGCCAATGTTGACTTGGAATGCACAGTGCGCGAAAAACAGCCAGCTGTCCTCATTTTGCGACGACATCCGCCTTGCTCACCAACAGTGCGAAACAGATGTCGCGCATTTTGGGGGATCGCATGACGTCGCTGATCGATGATCGCACCTGTTGTTGGGTTGGAGGTCAAGCGACACACGCGATGGGGTTCAGCGACAAGAGCAAAAGGGTTGCGACAAGAAGGAAAAGGTTGGGAAAGAGTTGGAAAGTTTGCGACAAGACCAAGAAAACAGCGACGAAGAAAGAAAGTTGCGACAAATTGAAGAAGATTGCGACAACAATGAAAGTTTTGCAACAATTTCAAAAAAATGCGACAAAAAGAGATTTGAGACAGCCCCAAGAACTTTGCGACAAGCCAAAAAGCCATCAGAAAGTGCGACAAAGGGAGTTTGTCGCCGAAAGAGATGAATCTGACTGCACAGTGCAATGGATTCGCATCGCTCGCGGCCATTTGTCGCGGAATGTCTTTGGAGAGACGCGACACGGTTTGGCGACAAAGAGAGGGCCTCCTGCCTCTCAGCAATGACTTTGGAGGTCAAGGAGGGAGTGAGGGGACTGCACCGTGCAGTTCTTTGTTCTCCTTTTAGGGGGCGGCGCTGTTCAGGGCCCGCCTCGCGCCCTGGCGCCGGGACAATGGCGGGGACACTGGGCCAAGGGTTTCCGGCGTACCTGGGCCAGGTTTTGGCATTGTTCCGTGCTGACTTTGTCGCGATTCAAGGCGCATATGGGCCAATTTTGTCTAATTTTAAGGCAAATTTCACTAAAATTAAGAAATCGCGACATTTATGGCCAATTTAAACGCAAATTAGCCATTTCAAAGCATCGCTTACGCTGGCCAAGGTATCGGCGACAAAGGGTGATTACCTTGGCCAAATCGCGACAAAGGCCGGCTACCTTTGGCCAGGTCTTTGTCCGAGATACGACAGTGGCTGAAGACATAATATGCAAATTAGGTCAATGATTCAAATTCCTTTTGTTTACATAACCAGAATTAGCATAACAGTCGTCGCATGGGAATGGGTTACTGTGGGCGTCTTGAGTTCCATCTTAAGCGACTTGAGATGGCTGGCGGTCGCAGGTCAATCGACGTCACATAGGACGGTCAATGGTCGTACCTGCGGGTTATAGGGCATTAAGCAGGGTCAGAAGAATGGCTTGGAGATGGATAAATCAAGGAAATTAGATGAAAGTTACAGTAATCATGGTAAAATACGGTGTTATTCTATATTATCCATGAGGTTTACTGCATTTTTCCTTCGAAATTGAAAGTTTAAAACAGTTAGAGCGATAAAAACAAGTAAAAATATGAAAAACATCTCAAATGCATCAAGATATACCAAAAACTTACTATTATAAACCAAGATATAACTATGAAATTGACAAAAACAGCTCGAAAACATTGTAAAGTCAGCCGAACCATATGTTTTTATCAGATATCTCGCTTCAAAACCCCCTAAAACAGTCTAATTTCAGCCTAAAACAATATTATTCTAGCCAAAAACCACTTTTAACTCATATTCTTCCCTTCCAAACACCATTTTGTTACCTAAAATTAAAGTTTAACACCAAAAACCGCCTACCGTATGCACCGGGAACTTGTAATGATGAGGTACCGTGTAGACGATGCTTTAAACTTCTCGGAAACGTCTGAAGGCGTAACCGAGATCTGATCCCAGGGGCCGATAAGCGATTCCAGAGTTGTTTCAACCAGTGTCGCTGTTGTTTTTTCGTGGCTTTTTTCGAAGACACAAAGGCGACGAGTTACAAAAAAAGTAATGGGAATGGGTTTTGTTAGGGTGGGGTAGTAGGTAGGTACCTATATTGCAGTAGAGCTCATAGGGGTCTATATTATAGTAGGGTTATACAAATCTATATTATAGTAGACATAGAGACATTTATATTACAGTAGACATGATATAAGTTCAAAAATGTTTTTCTAAACTTAAAAAAAGATTAAAAAAGTTTTAACTACAGTAAAGTGATAACAACATTCGACTATAACGTCACTTTTCATAAAGTAATGAAGTGGTTGATACAGTACTTCCAGTACTACATCGTCATTGACCCAGTACTCAACGTACTGCACTACATCGTCCTGGATACAGCATCTAACGTACAAGGCTATATCGTTATGACAACAGAACTTCCAGTACTAGATCATCATTGATACAGAATCTAACGTACAGTACCACATCTTCCAGACCTTACTATAATATAATTTGAACAATACCCACAAAATCCCGCTAATGACCATGAATTCAGCTATGCCATCTCCAAACGTCATTTCTTTACAAATTTTTTCTTACTTTTGATCAAAAACCTAAAGTCAGTTTAATATTAAACTGATTTTGTAACAGTGCATTTCAGAAAAAGTCTATGCTTTTCTTGGAAAGTGATTGAACATCGCTTATCTTGTAAAGGCTCAAAAAGACATTTTAAAAATTTTGTGAAAATATAGTAAAAAAGTTGAAAAAAGAAAGTCCATCAGAGTAAATTTTAGTTTCCTTTCATTGAAATAGTTGATAAAAGTAAATTTTAGTTAAAATACTATAAAACTGGTCATACTACCGTATCTTCCATCGTACCTTTAAGTTGAAACTTTTAAAGTTCAAAATATATTTTAGTGTTAGGTAGCGCAAAATTAAAATTTTTTTTAATTTTTCAAATAATGGCATTTTATTTCACCTCGTTTACAAGCTTTTTTGAAACATTCTCAAGAGTTATTTCATTTTACAGATAGAATTACAACCTTTCTGAAGCTGTAAAACAAGTTTCTTCGTTTATAATGTGTTTCTGTGTGCTTTAAGCTTGATTTAAAATTTTCATCAAATTGAAATTTGTTGGTTAAGGCAACCTTTGAAAGTAATGTAGATGTAAAATACGAAATTATGCGAAAAGCGATTAAGAATACGATGCATATTTCACTCGCTTTCGAAACTCATTCCAGAAAGGAATGGCACACGTTTGACAAACGTAAAACATAAAAAAGGCTGGAAGAAGGGCGACGGGGTACCCTCTTTTTGCTCGGGCGTGATTGATGAGCCGGCTTGCTGAAAGTTGTGTTCCCCCCCCCCCTGTTTTACGAGTTTCTGAGACTTTCGAACAAAAAAAGTCACAGAAAGGTTTACGACCCCTCCTCACCGTTATAACGGGGCCTGAGAATTCCTGCGGGGCATACGGTAACATCTGCTAAGGCGATGGGGACGTGAACTTATGGAACAGAGATTAGGTATAAAGTTGGCGATAAATGAGGGTAAATTATGATAAAATATGACTGCAAAATTCAAAAAAGATCAAGACTTAGCTACAAGCGACAAAGCAGTCAAAATTTAAAGAAAACAAGACAAAAGAGGACCTTATAGTAGTCTAAAGCCTTTTCAACGTCTAACTCAATATCAAAATACACAATTTAATATTGAGAACGAAAATAAGAGCAAAAAAGAAGATATAGAGAACAATAAATTGCCAATACCATAACATAACAACCAAACATTGTCCTAAAACCCAGAAAAAAGATCAAATTTCGCACAAAATTTGAATAGATTTCCCAAAAAAATGAAATTTTCGAATCAAAACCCGCCAAAATTGCTTCGAAATTCGTTTTGAAGACATTTTGTTTATTCGCCTTGTATATGATGGTCGGCTTCTACCTGCTGAACTATGCGCTGATACCATTTCTATCATCGATTTTTTTGCTCATCTGTTCGAAGCCATCGAAGCCGCCGGTCGTCACACATAAATCATTACAAAAGCCTAAACCCGGAAAGAAAAAGAGTAAGTACTGTGGTAGGACTGTTATGTTGAAGTAATAAATTACACTATAATAATTTTTGTCATAATATTATATATGTCCCATAACTAGGCCAAAAACGTTCAAATTTTACCGTTTGGTATCGTGCAAAAGACATAATTAGTATCTTATCATAGCTTTCAACCCATTAATACCATTCTTCAACTTCAGAAGAACAGAAGGCCAAAGATAAGAATGTAGAACGAACAGAGCGAATCTCAATCCATGGGTCCGTGGACGACGACAATGATGACAGAAACGCTCACGGTGACAAGAACAAGCGGAGCAAAACAAGTAATAAAGACCTAAAAAGTGGTAAGGAGCTGAAGAGCGACAAGGAAAACAAGAGTGGAAAGGACCCGAAGAGTGATAAAGACATTAAGAGTGATAAGGACATTAAGAGTGATAAGGACAAGAAGAAGGATAGTAAGAGCAAAGAGGAGCTGGAGAAGAAAGGAAGGAAGGGAATGAAGAAAAACCAGAAGGAACGGTCCAACGAGAGCAAGTGGAGTCTATCGGCTAGTATTTCGCATACTCAAGATGATCAGGTATGTTCTTTATTGTTATACGTGTAAGTTTAGTCTACTATGACATGTTTTTACTGTGATAGCTTTCGGATTTTCAGTTAGACGACAGTCAACGTAAAAGTCATAAAGCTCACAAGAAAAAGAGGAGTGAGAAGTCCCATTCTATGGCTCCAAAAACCCACAAAACTCATCGTAAGTCTAAGAATAACCTAATCTACTACAATTTCAGGTTCTCCGCTCCATCCAACACAAGCATCTTCGAACGACCGATCAAAGATGGTGCACAAGACACAGTCAAATGAAGAAAAGAGCAGTTCGTAACCCATCTTCTGTGTTCTTGATAGCAATAAAGCTTATACTGTGTAGTGAACTTGTTTTCTATTATAAGTTATGTACGTACTTATGTTATCCACATTGTAAACATAAATGCCGTCAAGTAAAATAATATAAAATCGAAAAAGTAAAAACGAAATACATTAGCCTAACAAAAACCATAGTAAAACAAAATACGTGGCTTAAAATTAGCATAAACTGTTCCAATTTGGCATATTTCAAAAGTCAAAACTCATTTTGATACTTTTTACTAGATGGAGTGGTTGTGTAATGTATGTAATCCTAACTCTTCTATTCGTCATGTTCATACCTACATCTGAAGGCCCTGCAACCGAAGAAGTGATTAGTATGGCTGCTATTGGACTAAAAGTCATCAGGAATTCATGTCCAAGCCAGGATTATTATTGTCGACCCATTTTTGTGAATATGACAGAGGTAGGTTATTGAGACCAGGACGGTAGTTATATTAAACTATACGATTCAGTATAAATCTACTGCTCAGAAAAACTCTATGGTTCAGTATACTTATCCTTACTTAGAAAATTGTCTTTAAAACCCTGATTTCATGCCTTTCAGACCAACTTGACATCAGAGTGTCGACGAACTTTTATGGACCATCCAACACTCATACCTGAAGGAAGCAATGCTACGTAAGTGATAACTTCTATATACAAATAGGCGCCTTTTCATTAGTTTTAACAAAACCTTACTTTTTAAACCCTTTTTTAAAACATTAAACTTTTTACCTAATTTAGACTATTCCTCAACTATACAAATGAACACAACCACCATTTGAACATCAGCTCCCTCTTAGACTGTTTCAAAAACTTGGTAGACCAGACATACAACATCATCTACATAGATGAGCTTGATAAACAAGAGACCGTCAAGATAGCCAGGTCTTCCATGAGTACAATTGGATTAAACGCAACAATGCAGTATACGACCATAACATTCAACATAACGTTCCCTCGATTCATCGCTAACCAAACTGTCACCGTAAGTTACATATTTGGACTCATAGTGTCTAAATGAATAATTTTAAATTTATTAGGCGTAATTTAAAGCTGTTATTAAGAAATTTAGCTAAAATATTTAAAGCAAAATAAAAAAAAATAAATAACTACCTAAATTTAGTAACTTCAGCCTGAAACAAGCTTCTACTACAATACGAAAGCTCTAAACATTAATATTACCCAACTTTAGTACCGTCGAGAATGTTGTACAGCTATCCATCACGCAAATACATCGTTAGACCAAGAAATTTTTACCGAACAATGTAAAAAGGAGTGTGGAGAGTACTACAACATCGTGTTTTATCCATATTTTGAGCCGCTCACAGTCAGACGGATGAACAATGTCCACTTTATGAAAGTAGACGTTCCTCAGTCGAATTCTCTAATACAATTTCTGGAAATAAATGAGAATATATACGCCAATGTTAACATATCAAGCATAGGGGACATCACGGAATTCATGAGGCATCACAATTATAGTAAACTCGTTCAGGAGGAGTCGAATCAAGAAGAACCTGAGGATCCGAAAAGAAAAAAGGTAATTCCTATAAGTATTGAATTAAAAATTGAAAGCTATAACATAAATTTCAAGCATACCTATATTAATATATCGAACAAAGCCTTATTATCTCATCCATACCTATATTACCCTAATTGATATCAGATCTCCTATAATACCCAAAACTTACAATTATAGCTTGACTTTACAGGCCTATTCAATGTTATACGTTCACGCAGCAGCCAGTTTCATTGTCACCTTCGTATTCTGTTGGGAGATATTCACTTTCTACTTTTGTTGGTTCATTTCAAGGTTTAAAAGGTTCACGAGAGTTCGATACAGACATCACACATGTCCAGTGGACTACATTTTACATTGTAAGTCATTTTTCTTAACTTTATGACGAAGTTACGGTAAAATTCAGCGCATGCTAATAGGTACATCAGATACTAATGCGTACTTTGAACGTACCTATTAGTATTCGGTAAGATCGATCTGTAAAGATAACTTATATGCTTAGAAAGATGTAACTTATCAATAAAATTATGTTAAAAAGCTTGAAATTACCAATAAATTCATCGGAAGATAAGAACGTTCAAAAACGATATTGTTATAGACGAACCCTGGATGAAACTTTCTTCGAAAAGTAACAGCGCTACAAGGATCAGTAATATGGTAAGTTTACCATTCTACATTTTATTACTCAAAAGTAACTACAATTTTGTACCTAAAGTTCCCTACTTTTTCCCTAGAACACTTCTTTTTCATGTGAAATCAACCTTTTTGTTACCTAAAACTCTATAATATGTAACAAGAAACTATCAAAAAGCAAAGACAACGCTCACGCTCATGCACAATTTTCAGACATCAACATCAGATTCCAAAGCCTTTTCACAACAAGGGTCCAGTTTGAGAGAGCCAAACCTATCTTTGGTGCGATCATCACGAACATCCAGAGCCGAGGAGCACTAACCGATTGAAATCAACAATTTCTGAAGAATAACTGTAGTTATTTGTAATAAAAATGTAAACCACGACGAAGGAGACAAAATTCTGTCGATTCTGAAGATTTTTTCATTAATTTTTGTTGATTTTCCTGTGTTTCACAGTGATTTTATTGGATTGGCGTTCCATTGCAACTAATGATTTTATAAGATCGAAAATAATTGACGAAATTTTGTCAATTTTCATTGATAATTTTACAATCTTCACAATAATCTGTCTGAAATGATACTAATATATTACCCAGAGGTCTATTATGCTATTGGAGTAGGTATTGTCGTGTATATCTTCTTGATTTGGCGAGGAAACGGCATCAGATTCCCAGAACCCAAGTATTTGCAAGATGTAAGTTAAGTATGGTGTTTTAGACGGTATATAGTTTAATAATGTGTGCATATGGGTTAGTAAAGTTATGTTATTTGATTTTATGCTTTGAATTATGAGTTATATTGTTGTTAACGAAGACTTGCGTATGTTAAGTTAGTTTATGCGAGGTTTAGGTATCGATTTAGACATTATATAAGCTAGTAAGGAAGTTTTGGTTTAAATTAAAGTATTATTTGTTTAAGATGGATCATTTTCCTGAAAAGAAGTCAAAGAGGTGTTATGTAAGAAGGAAACCGACGGAAAACAATATCAAGGATCAGTTTAAACAACCATTGGCTCCAAAGATGTCTGGAAAACCTGAAGTTTTGTATGCAGAACCTCCAACAATCGGTCATTTTAATGTAAGGTTTTAAATTTGTAATTTATTCAGCTTAAATTATCGAAAGAAGGGGATTTATTACCTGAAATTGTGAAATGTTATCCAAAATTTTTTCTGTAAAAAATCGACCTAGAAATAAAAGCAGATATTAAGGTAGTCAATATTTACTAATTGCATCGTAATATAGGAAAAATAGGTAAAATTGTTAACGAATTACCCAAATAAATATATCTATTGATTAAAAACATTGATATTTTCAGCCAAGACCATTGACACCAAGCCGAGCAGTGACGATGCAAACTCAAACCACTCCGTTACACCAGTCCAGAAAGCCGACTGCTGAGATGAATGTTAACTACGGACTTCGGAGTCGGAATGTTCAAGTGCCTAAATCCAGGTTTCCAGATGTTGAGGAAGAGGCGTTAGTGTACGAAGAGCCGTAAAGTCGTATGTTTTTGTTATTTTGTTTCGAATTTCAATAGCGAGGATAATAAATAGTTTGAGGACCAAATTTTAAGCCAAAGTTTAGTTTTTGCGTAGAACTAACCAATATTTTTAAAATTTAATGAAGCTTGATGTGTAATATATTTACTTGAAGTCTTATTGCATGATTTCAATAAGTTATGTGTAATACTCGTTTTGAACAGACAGAAAAACCAATACGATAGCCAACCTAATAGCCTGGAGCGGTCTTGGCTGGGCCACAGTGGTCGCAAGCGCCTTCTGGTCCCTGGTCGCCTTGTTTGCCCTCTTCTCCTGGAGCTCCGTCCTTTCCTGGCTCTCCTTCTGGTCCTTCGTCTCCTTGTGGGCCTGGGTATCCCTTGGCGCCTGGCTGACCGTCGTTGCCTGGTTGTCCTTGGTCGCCGGATTGTCCTGGAGGTCCGGGTGGGCCTGGTGGTCCGACCTTTGGTGGAGTGTCAATGAGACGGCCTGGGTGTCCTGGGTTTCCTTCTTGACCTTGGTCGCCTGGTGGTCCTTGTGGGCCTGGAGGTCCGAGTGGGCCTGGTGGTCCTGGGCGGGCACGGGGCTTGTTCTGGCCTGGAAGACCGGGTAAACCGTTTGGTCCGGCTGGTCCAGCGTTTCCTGGAGCTCCTTGTGGGCCTGGTGGGCAGTCGAAGCATGGGTTGTATGGTGGAGGTGGGCGTGGGGTTGGTCCTTCAGCTCCATCTTTTCCTGGTGGTCCTTGTTGTCCATCGTGTCCTGGGGTACCGTCTTCTCCTGGTGGGCCTGGTGGTCCTTTTGGTGAGACACCACAGCCGCAGCATCCTCCTCGTGGTGCTCCTCCTCCGAAGCCTTGGTTGCGTCCGAAGCTGCTTGGAGCTGGGGCTGGAGCACCGTAGCCGGCATCTCCTCCGTACGATTGACGCTTTCCAATGGCGTGTTGGCGAGGGTTAGCACCAGCCAAGAACTGAAAGTTTTGTGAATGTAGCGGTTGTTATAGCAAAGGTTTCAATTTGATTATTTAGCAATATTTTAGGTAAAAGTGGGAGAAGATATACATATACTTACTTCAGTACGAGTGATTTCGCGAAGAATATTTCCAGAACGGAGTTTACAGAAGTCGATCTCGCTCTGCATTCCAGATTGGAAGTGTTGAAGGTGGCTGTAGATCATGGGTACAGAGAGTACACAGATCAGTGTAGCCACGGTCGACATCGTGACGCCGATGAAGGCATACATCCGGAATCCGGCTGCTTCAACTTCGTCGTGTTGTCGCTTCTGGTTCTCCATCCTTGAAACAACAAAACTGTAGTTTAAGTGTAGCGTTTACTGTACACGGTTGGTGGTACTAAATAGTACGAAGTTTAAGTTTTTAAAAATGAAACTAATTTTAAAAAATTGAAAATTAAAAAGAAAACCGTATTGAAATTCGAAACGAATTGAAATACAGTTTGAAATGTGACGAAATGATTACCTGATGACCTACTCTCGACGTTCGCTGCTTTATATACTCGGGCGCAGATGAGGTGGGCCAACTTCGAACATTTTTTACGTTCAAGAATCGTATTACAACGCTCGGGGCGGCTCCGATGTCAAGCAGTTATTGTCTTTCATCGACGAAAAAAGAGGGTTTTGAGGTCGGAGGGCAAGAAAAAGTAAATGTCAGTGTAAATGGAAGTTGCGCGCGGTTGAGACAAAACCTCAACAAAAAGTATGTGGAAATCATCGAACACATCAAAGTGATTATTAATAATTCCAGGAAATTATTAGTAGTGCAATCTGAGGATAGTTATAAAGTAAAATAGGAATTTTGAAACAAGGGCTAAAATAAGGTATGACAAAAAATGAAAATATTTTAAACAACCCTATCTAAGGCTAATCATGGTAAAGGACTCTACTATTGTGATTACAGTGAACTCCAGTTATAAAGAATTGCAAGGGGATTGAAGAATCGTCCACTGTAGCGGGGTTTCTTTATATCCGGAGTTCTATTATGTAAGAATCAGTGCAAATTTTTTTCTAGGTTTTTAAAAAAATCGCTACAATGGGGGGGGAGGTTTGTTCTAAGCGGAGTCCTATTAGCGAGGTTTTACTGCACTCAATAAGCATCTTGTAGCATTGGAATGAATCTTACCTTCCATAAAATATCATTGACGCTTCTCAGTGTACTCTTTTGTATCAGTCTTGTCATTTCTAAAATAAAACCGCATTTTTATCTCCTAATGAGTCTTTATTTTCTATCTGTACTTGTTTTATCACTGTTTTTAGAGTAATAGTTTAATGTGTTCTTTATGAGATATACTGTTTTATATGTGCCATTGCTTTGTGTATATGTAGACATTGATCTTCAGGCTCTTAAAACTTTGTTTCAAAACAAAACTTCTACTTCTACTTGATTCTGAATCATTCTAACCCTTTACACAATCTCAAATCATACCGTTCCAGCCATAATTCAACAGACGCTTCTTTCAAAACCTTTAGCAACACTGAAATATTTTAATTTTAAAACGGTTGTAATGTCATTGTCCGTAAAGGGCTGACACTTCCTTCTCGGAAACCAGCTCGTTGCACTGTCTTTGTTTCGATTACTTTTCACTCAAACTCACGATGATGAGGAGCGTTCGGACGTTGGCTTTCGATCGCCAGAGGAGCACACTTTAATCACTTACGAAAACATAAAAAGCGATAAGCATGTTCAGAGCCGCGATAACGACGCTTTTCGAGATATATGAGCCTGTTCACTTTGGAAGAAACATGAGATGAGCTAGGCGACATAGGCGTATTTTAGGGACATTTAGCAAAGTTTAAAAAAGAAGCGATGTAATGTAATGAAAAGAAAGGATATGATAAAGATAATGTTGTACTGGCCTTGCAAAAGATGAAATATTGTAAAATAAGAAAAAATAAAAATTTTAAAATTATAAAATTTGCTTTTTCATAATTTATGGTCTCTTTGAGTACTGCATTTTGAATATTTTTTATAGTATTCTAAACTTCTTGAACATCCTTGCAAAACGTTTCAATTAGTATTGATACAGTAAAGTTACGGTGCGATAATTCACGTCGTAAAGTAAAAATATGCACTTTTTTTGCATTTTTAATGTTTTTTAAAATTTTTTCGTATTTGTTTTAAAATTGATCTGTTGGCCCGAAGCAACCTGTCACCGCAGCAACTCGAACAAGTACAACATCGACCACACTCAGCGCATTTTTGCCATCGTTTTTCAGCACACAGTTCGTCATATCTCCTGTAAACTTGAAACCTTATCGACACGACCGATCGCAGTAATTAGTAAGGTTATTGTCTTCTAGTGGGGTCAGAATCTCGCGCGTTTTTTAAATTGGTTCAAAAAAGTTTTCGCAGTTTTTTGCGCGTTTTGCACTCTTTTGTCTGAACTGGGCCCAACAAAAGGCCTGAATCGACGCATTCGCCCAGCCATCGACTATAAAAAGAATCTGGGTCGGGCGATATCAGCCAGAAGTCGTTCGGGTTCTCATCCTAGGTCGACTCATCATGGATTCATTGAAGGGTTCCTCGACTCCGCCGTACAAGCAAATGGAAGGCAAACAAGAAGCCGATGGCCTTCGCACCATCGCCTTCGCCGGAGTCATGATGGCGACTGTAGCCACGCTGTTCACCGTGCTGTCGGTGCCCATGATCTACAGCCACCTTCAACACATCCAGTCTGGAATGCAGAATGAGGTCGACTTCTGTAAAATGAGATCCGCGAACGTTCTCCGCGAAATCACAAGAACACAGGTACTTGTTTTAGCCTTTTGGTACAGTTTAGTACATAATAGTACCATATTTTTCTTGAAATTCGATTTTTTTCTTATAGATGATGGCTGGTGCTAACCCACGAGTCCCTCGTGCTATTGGCAAACGCCAATCATCCTACGGAGATGCTTTGGGAGGCTACGGAGGAGCTGCTCCAGCCTTCAGCGCTCCATCTGGACACAGCTTCGGTGGACCACCAAGAGGTGGATGCTGCGGTTGTGGTGTATCTCCAAAGGGACCGCCAGGCCCACCAGGAGAAGATGGTACCCCAGGAGACGATGGACAACAAGGACCACCAGGCAAGGATGGAGCTGAAGGACCAACCCCACGCCCACCTCCACCATACAACCCATGCTTCGACTGCCCACCAGGCCCACAAGGAGCTCCAGGAAACGCTGGACCAGCCGGACCAAACGGTTTGCCCGGTCTTCCAGGCCAGAACAAGCCCCGTGCCCGCCCAGGACCACCAGGCCCACTCGGACCTCCAGGCCCACAAGGACCACCAGGCGACCAAGGTCAAGAAGGAAACCCAGGACACCCAGGCCGTCTCATCGACACTCCACCAAAGGTCGGACCACCAGGCCCACCCGGACCTCCAGGACAATCCGGCGACCAAGGACAACCAGGCAACGACGGTCAGCCAGGCGCCAAGGGATACCCAGGCCCACAAGGAAACGAAGGACCAGAAGGAGAGCCAGGAAAGGACGGAGCTCCAGGAGAAGAGGGCAAACAAGGCGACCAGGGACCAGAAGGCGCTTGCGACCACTGTGGCCCAGCCAAGACCGCTCCAGGCTACTAGAGCGTCTTGTCATCGCACCCGCAGTGCAATTGAGTGTTATGGCGTGGCTGGATCTCATATTTGCAGCCTCCTGTACTCATCCGGGTATCTCTACTTTACTATTCTGTGTATTGCGAATAAATTATACTAAACTATAACTCACTGTAAAATGATATACAGCATATAATGTTGAAAATTAAAGGTAATATTAAATATATGATGGTATACATGTTACCTATTTTAAAGCCAAGGACAAGTTAGTCTAATCGAGATCACTTTATTTAATCGTTGGATGATTGATCCGCACATATTGCACCATACTATAATACAAATATACATTACATTATCTACTCGCGTGCTATAGAGCCATGTACGATGGCAGATGTCATGTTTAGATGAAGTAGCCGGGGGCAAGTCGTGGTTGTTGACAGTGGTCGCAAGCACCTTTTGGCCCAGTCGATCCGATTGGTCCGCCTTCCCCTGGTGGCCCAGTACGGCCAGGCATACCTTCTTGGCCTTGCTTTCCTGGGGAGCCAGGTGGTCCCAATGGTCCCTTTTCTCCGCCTGGTCCACGATCTCCGCGCACTCCTTGTCGTCCAGCTGGTCCTGGTGGGCCAGGTGGTCCGGTGACAACTTCTCCTGGCTTAAGTTTGCCTGGTCGACCACGTTGTCCGCGTGGGCCAGGTGGTCCTTGTGGTCCCGGCTCTCCCAATGGTCCCACTCCTCCGGGCAGACCTTGTTCGGCGAAGCGGCCTGGTTCTCCCTTCTCTCCTTCCAGTCCAGGTGGTCCTTTTGGTCCAGCTTTGCCTGGTGGTCCAATTTCAGCTTCGTCGCAGTCGAAGCACCAGTTGACCTTTGGAGCTGGCTTTGGTGGTGGTCCTTCTTCTCCTGGGTTACCTTCTGGTCCAGGTGGACCGTCTTCTCCAATTTCTCCGTCTGGGCCTGGTGGTCCACGTGGTCCTTTTGGTGATTGGCCACATCCACAGCACACTCCATTGGCTTCTGGAGCGGCTTGGGCAGAGGTGGTGTCGTGAGAAACTGGTGGAGCAGCTGGGGGACTACCTTTGGCACCGTACGAATCTTCTTCGGCGTAACGGTAAGTACGGTGGTGGCCGTTCTGTTGTCTCGGGAAGGCGGATGAGAATGCCTAAAAAATATTTTTGTAAATTTTGCATATGTTATCGTAAACTAACCTTAATTATTTTTAAACCATACTTTAAATTACAGTACCTTTTTAAAAAATAAAAATTCAAAATTAAATTCAGTTGTTACCTGTGTTCTAGCGACTTCCTTGTGAATATTCTCTGATCTCAGTTTACAGAACTCGAGTTCGGCTGACATTGAGGACTGTAGGTGCTGTAGACGGTTGTATACCATAGGAATGTACAAGACGAAGAAGGCTGTAGTCAAGGTGGAGAAGACTACACCAAACAGGACTACCCGTTTGAGGGCTGTGGCATCTTCTGCCCGGTTTTTATCCCCAGACATCCTATAATAACACTGATTATAAAGCTTTAAGTCTTCTAAAAGGTACAAAAATGAACGATTTTATTGGAGACATAGGTATAAGTTGGTCATGATTTGTAAAAAAAGTTAGCTATTGTCATCATTTTGGCTAACCTTTACATAAGTTGGCTAAATCGAAAGCAAAATCAAATTAGTCCGCTTCAAAATACGGTTCAACTACCCTGGAGCAGGTGAAAAACAAAAGGTAACTCGCCAAGTTGGACGCGGTCAAATTGAAACCTAGTTTGATTGTATCTTATCCCCTTTTATAATGTCCATCACAGCCGAAAAAAGCGGTTTTCGACTGGATTTTCGCACTGACGACGAAATAGCGGCGGCTGGGCGGAGGGCGCAGCCTCCAGTCCAAGCCCATTTTCGAAACTTTTTTTGGACGAGCCTTAGCGGGGATCGCAGTGGACAGCCGAGGGATATGCGGGTCGTTTTTATGTATGATATTATGATAGGATTGATTGATAACGACGCTGGTGCACGTCTTTGGTGGCTGCGGCGCAAAACGATGACAAGTGTTACGTAATAGGGGTTTTTATGTAAACAGTTGATTATGACTTGGATATGGTATGGAAACCTTCAGTATTTGATGCAGTTGATCTTGACATACCTGACCAGAAATATGCTAATTTTTAAAGTACACAAAAAACTGCAAAATTTTTAAAAACGTACAAAAAGACCTAGCCTAGTTAGCCGAATTTGTCTATCTCTATGTTCTTTAGGCTTAAATTTTTGATTTTTTGTTTAAAATTTAAAAATTATTACTTACTTGGCTTGGAACGGCCGTTTTTGTATTGACATTGCTACCTGTTTCATATTAAAATTATTTTTCAAATTCTATGCCTACATGGAAGGTGCAGGAGCATGTCGGGGACTATCCTTGTTAGTCAAAAATGTTCAACTCTTCGAAACCCCCACCTCACATTAAGCGCTTATAAAGGTTTTATAAAAAGTAAGAATTTACGGTCACACTGATCCCTCCGCACATAATCAAAGTGCGAGAGTTTCAACCAGTTTTTTGCCAGCTAACTGAAAGTGAAATCTCCTCGAACCTCTTCGAATTATTTGGAATATCTCTGAATCTCTCCAGAAAACCTCGCTGAATCTTACTAAACCTCATCACTTTTCATGCTTTTTTAAACTTTTTCTACCTTTTTCAGCTTTTCAAATCTTTCACCTTCCCGCGTTTTTTCCAACTGATCCCATCGCTGCAAGGTTTCAGTCGAAAGTGAAAGTGATAAGTGAGGATTTCGTGGCGAGACCCGCGGGAGCGATGGTCGCGGAACTGCCGGGGTCAGCCCCCATCTGATGACAAGTATAAAACCCTGAGGTCGAGTGTCAGCCAAAGTGTGAAGCATGCAGACTCAGCTGAAAGATCGGAAGGAGGAAGCCGACTCCTTGAAGGCCGTCGCCTTCTGTGGAGTCGCTTTGGCCACCATCGCCACCTTATCCTGCGTGATCCTGGTGCCAATGGTCTACAGCCACATTCAACACGTACAGTCTGGCATGCAGAGTGAGCTGGACTTCTGCAAACTGAGGTCGGGCAACATCTGGAAGGAGGTTTCACGCACTCAAGTGAGTTTATCATAATTTTGTCTATGTTTGGGATCTTTACTATCAATAATTTTATCTTCTTGTGGCTGTATTTTGCATTTTATTAAGGTTTTTGCTTGTAATATTCACGTTATAACACTTTACAATTACTTTTTCTACTTTCATAATATTGTTATAGGTTTTGGGCAAAGTGTTCCCTCGTGTCCGTCGTGAAGTTGGCTATGACTCATCTCCAGCTGACAGCCCAGTATCCACAACTCCTTCATCGTGGGCTTCTTCTCTACCTAGCCCAGCTCCAAGAAACGCCTGCTGCGGTTGTGGTGTCTCACCAAAAGGACCACCAGGACCACAAGGAGAGAACGGTGAACCAGGACATGATGGACCACCAGGAGAACCAGGATCGGATGGAGAAGACGGACATCCTCCACTTCCAGCTCCTAAGGTCGACTTCTGCTTTGACTGCGAAGAGGGACCACAAGGACCACCTGGTGCTCCAGGACCAAAGGGACAACCAGGCTGGCCTGGAGAGCGTGGTGAACCAGGACCATACGCTGAGATGGGACAACAAGGATCAGTCGGAGAGAGAGGTCCCCAAGGAGAGCCAGGCCCACAAGGACGACAAGGAAACCGTGGTCATCCAGGTAGACTATTGCCCGGCCCAACTGTTACTGGTCCACCCGGCCCACCAGGACCAGAAGGACGACCAGGAATCCGTGGTGAGAAGGGAGAACCAGGCAAAGCCGGACTTAAAGGTGAAGCAGGCAAACCCGGTAACGCTGGTCCTGACGGTCGTCCAGGTAAACGTGGACCACCTGGCGAGGAAGGACAAACTGGACCAGAAGGACCAAAGGGAAGCTGCGACCACTGTGGGCCAGCCAAGACTGCTCCAGGCTACTAAACCAACACAGCTTCGGGCTGCTGTAATGTCATTTGACATTGCTCGTTCAAAGTGCATTAGAATACTTAATTACGGATATCTCTACACAGCTAGTCTGTTCAGTACAAACTTGTATCGACTTGTACATACTATTAATTTGAATAAAATAATTTTTTACCTTGAGGTTGTTTTGGATTGATATTGTTGTAGGTAATGGAGATTTTTTATTTTTTTTTAACTTTTCAGTACCATATGGTACTAGTTGAAGCAAAAGTGGTATTTCCGTGCTATATATCAATATTTTCAATTAAGTATACAGCCTTCTTCAACCTCTCCACCAATAAATTCAAAAAATGTTCACGTACATACCTCACATCATGACTAACGTTATTGTTTCGCAAAAGGTAATACGAACTTCGCTCCGTAATTGCGCCTTTTATGAGAGAATCCCGAACTCTTGCTTGAAAAACATAATTTGGAACGGTTCCGCGCGAAAAAACAAAATAACAAATTGTCATGTCATTGTTCGAACACAACTTCTTTATTCCCACTAATATGTTAAATCGACTACAACACTATAAAAGCCAGCTTTGGTCGTAAATTATGTTGAGAAATGGGTCGATTCCTCGCTGTTACTGTATTCTTGAGCGTCTTCGCGCAACTCAGCTTCGCTAGCGAGTATGAACAGCTTGTTCCTGGGCTTACAGGTAGGTTTTGGCGTTTTCTTTGAAGTTTAGTGTTATAAAATGCTGATTTGGACTTTTGAGACACTTTTTTGTTACAAAAGACGCGAAATAAGATAAAGAGATGCAAAAAATACTGTAACTAAAACATATATCCCTATGGTTAATATAAATCATTAAAATTGAGCATAAAATTACAGACATCGCTCTAAAACTCCAAGGAGAATATAACCGTGGCTGGTCCAAAGCCAACAAGGCCATCATGCACAGAGTAATCGCTTCCGTTGGAGTACCAAGCAACGAGACGGCCGAGAACCTGGTTGCCAACATGACCATGTTCCACACCTACTTGGACTTGATGGAAGAAGCCTTGAACCAAACTGAAGCCAGCGAGCAAATCAAGACTCTCATCATGACTGTAAGTATAATATTCATTTTTAGTTTAATTTTATTTCACTCCTTTTCTCTATCTATAACAATATTTCCCCGTTAGGAACTTAAAAGTCATTTCACTCAATATTATCTTACCTTTAAGGTTGAACGCTCTGGTCCTCAAATGATGGCCCTATCAGCTGCTGGAGATAACGCTACAGCTGAAGAAAAGAAGGAATTTTCCGTTGCTTTCACTCCAGCCATCCTAATCTTCGAAGAAATGGACAAGGAGGCAAGAGAAGACATCTTGGACAAGGTCCCAGCTCTTCGCGGTGTTTTGACTGGTAAGTTTTATAAAATCTTACCTAAAATTAAATTTCACATTTCATTACAACTTTCAAAATATGCATAATATTCTAATATATCAGAAGAATAACAAAGCCAATAACTTAACTTACAGACAACGAAACCCGCCACGCCATTAGAATGATGGCTGAAGTTCACGATGATGGAGAAGCTCACAAAGACGCTCACGATGTGAATCAGATGTCGGAAACAGCCAAAGACTTCATGCATCAACTCATTATGAACCCCGAGAAGGTTCACGCTCCACAAGAAGATTCTGAAGAACAATAATCTATGAACAACAACTTCAACATGATCTTATCACTATTTATTCATTGTAAATACTCTAAATAAACTTACTTTGACTTGAATTTGTTATCACAAAATTATTTAGGTTGTTCCTTTCGTATTTTACATGAAATTTCTGGCCGGCCAAAAAAAATTTTTCCGCTATTTTCAGGAACTGCCGCAGCTCGCAAAGAGTAAAACTAGCAGCTGTTGTTGTGGGCGCAGGTTTCTGTTTCCGTCGGATTTTAAACTTTAACAATTTGTAAAACTCAAATTAATGGCGCTAGGACAAATGCGGTTTTTGGACATTTGCGGATCTGCGGTTTTTAGGCACTTGCGGATTTTGGACATTTGCGGATTTTTTAAAGGGGTTTTTTTTATTTTTTAGTTAATTTAGTTGTATTATGGTACTAAATGGTACTAAAGTGTAAATTGGTACTGTTTTAATATGTTTTAGTGCTAAATAGTACTAAATTTTAAATTGGTACTGTTTTATATTTTTTGGTACTGAATGGTACTAAAAGCCCAAAAAGGTACTGTTATGTTAAAACCGCACCAATTTAAACTTTAGTACAATTTAGTACCATAATACAACTAAATTAACTAAAAAATTTAAAAAAACCTTTAAAAAATCCGCAAATTTCCAAAATCCGCAAGTGTCCAAAAACCGAAGATCCGCAAGTGTCTAAAAACCGCAGATCCGCAAATGTCCAAAAACCGCATTTGTCCTAGCGCCAAATTAATGTATAAATACGTTTTTAAAGATGATGCATATTTTTAAAAGATTTGAAACATTAATCTTTTGTTTATTTTAATAATTTTGTCTTATCAGTTCTGTTTTGTCAGTTATTTTCGTGTTAATTTTTCGAATTTGAGATAGTTTTGTATAATTAATGCTGTTTTATATAGTATTTTTCCTATTTCTAGGTTATGGAAGTGCAGATTACAGTTTTACATACAATATTAGTAAGTATTCATTATTTTACATAGATAAAAGTCAATTTAACATGATAGTTATAACAATTAAAGCTGTTCAACGTGTTTTAGGTTTTTGACACAAAGAAAGTTAAAGTTGTGTTTATCGAAAGATAGTACCTAAAAATAAAAATTTCGATATTAATATTGTTATTTAGAGTATCCACAACAACCGTATATGACAGTAAAAATAGGTAATGACGCAAGGGATGTAAAGGTATTACTGGACTTTGTCAGGCCGTATTCTTTTGTGTTCGATCAGAGTTGTGCTATTAAAAATTGTACAATAAATCGTCTGGGCTACTATTACAACTCAAAGTAAGTTTTTGAATTTAAATTTGAGTTACTATACTTATTAACGTCATTTTTCTAATTTACCGTTTGACATAGTACCTAAAAGTACATTAATTTAGCATTACAGGCATACCCACTGGACAACCTTTCAAAGATGTATATGGAAAGTACAGTAGTTTTACGGGCCAGATTTACAACGATACGATTACCATTGGTGACGTAACAGTACCAGTCAAGTTGGGTGTGGTAAATGGCAGTCAATTCGCGATAAAATACGAATATGATTGGGATGGAGTTATAGGATTAGGTCTACAGGATGTCGATACTGGTATTGTGAGAGATATTATGGTACAGTTGGAAGAAAAGAAGATTACTGTGCAACAAGGATATCATTATGTTAATAATGTAGGTCATTTTTAGGTATAATTTTGAGGTTTTAGTTTAACTACAAAGAGCCTAAAAAGTCTGTTGGTACGATAACATTTGGAAATAGCGACAATCTTTTGTGCGGAGGGTTTCAGTACGTTAACACGACGTCTGAAAACATGTGGAAAATACTGACAGGGTAAGTTGTTTTGCACTTGTTTTTTGAACTTAAGTTATTTTGAGACTAATTTGCGGCATTCAATTGTGTCTAAAAATGTGTAGTCAATATGTAACTAAAGTATAATAATATATTTTACAGGGTGAACATTGGCAATTCACGTCTTTCTAACAAAGTTATTACGTTTTTACCTGGTCAGTATAGTCAAATGCCAGAAGTGATATATGACATCTACTTTGGCAACACGACAACTACACAAAGAGAGTTCTATGATATTACTTTTGAACTTGGAGGTACAACGTACAAGATGACTAAAGATGATTATTCTTGGTACGATTATACGGTAAGGATAAGTTAGATATTGTAGAATGTGCGAGTAATATATGTGAACACCGTATAGGAATTGAGATATAAGAGGGGTTAATAATTTTTGTATAGTACGTTGTTACCTAATTTAAAGTTACAGTACTACAGCTTTCGTACGTAGTATTTCATATAAAAGTTACAGAGAAACAAATACGATCCTCGATTGAACATAGCTTACAGCGAATATGGGTATGAGTTTGGGTTTGGCAGCGACTTTCTTCAACATTATTGTGTTTCCTTTGTCGCTGTCGATAATTTCACCTATTTTCAAATTGGGCTAGCTGAAAATAACAATGCTTTTACTGTCTTTGGTCAAGTTACAATTATAATATTGTTTTTAATTGTTTTACAATGACATAACTAAAATGTGTGAAGTAACTTATAGTAGTATATCAAGTCTTTTTCATACTTTTGATTTACTACTGTTATAAACAGAGTTTTAATACTAAAATATTTGTTTTTTATTGTGGTTTATTTATATAATCTGTAAATGTTATTGTTTTTATAAAAACACAAAGGTTTGTTTGTTTAATCTAGCACACAAGGTCTAAAAACGTGCTGTTTATAATGGAAATATCCCATATGGACAGCTGAAGACTTTTGACAAGCCTCTTTTGTTTATGAAAATTAAAAAATTTGGTTTAAAACTTGATCTCACAAAGCCAAAAAATAACATGTTATCTTAAAATTTTCTTTATTAAACCAAAATGATATGAGTAAGTTATTATTATGTACATGATGATGTCTACTTGCCTCCTGGCGGCGGTGGAGGTACCAGACTGGATCTGAGGTGAGGTGGCAGTGAATGAATAATCTCTCGCAACTTCTCCTGCTTTTGTTGCCAGTTCAGGTCGCGACTTCTGTTGATGCTCTTAAGTTGTTGTTGCACATTCTCCGGCAGGTTTTTGAAGCCGGGTGGGGGTGGGATTTTGTCGAGAATGTCGCCAGGTAATGAGGTCATTACTTCGTCGATCTTCTGTTGTTTCTCTAAGAATCCGAGGCTTCTGTCGCCGTGGATGGACTTGAGTTTGGAGACGGCTTCTGATGGCAGGATTCTCTCAAGCTCTGGAGGCATTGGGGGCTGAAAATGGAGATGTTTAGGCACTTTAATATTGTAATATGATTGTAACTGTACTGATAAATCTTTCTCTAGACAAAATATTATACTTGCGGTATCAAAAGTAACCGTCCCATACTTAAAATCAGTTAAAACTCAAGTCTGACTCTAAAGAAATAATTATATCACTTACGAAGTCTCCAGTTGGTGGTGGACCGTACTGTGGCCGAGTGTAGCCGACGTGAACCAAAGTCACGGTGACCAAAAGACACAACACGGTTCCGGATTTCATTTCCAAATAAATGGTTGGCTACGACATGCACAGAAACGCTATTTAAATATTTTTGCGAACCAGTAATCTTTGTTTGTACATGCACAATATAGAAGTCGGTCGTCGGAAAAAGTCATACACATCACGATTATTATGATTCATAGCGCAAGTAACTGGAAATTTATGGTTATCCCATTAAACATACGAAGACTCGTATATTACGGTTTCGTACCGAGTACTTTTGCGACCCTTAAGGGGTTCAAAAGTTCATGGAAATGGCCTTAAAGGGTCAAAGGTTGATGTAGTTTGAATTTTTTTAACGCTTAAGTTCAAAGAGGTGGGTAAAGTTATCAAAGCTTGGTTTCTAGCACTGTAAGTACAATATTGTACTGCAATATTTAAAATATTTGCTTTAAATTTATAAAATTTCATTAAATTATATTGTACATGCCAATCAATATTGTTTGAGTAAGAAACAGTTATAAAAACTTAGGCCAATTAAATTTTATTGGACACATAACATCTGCTCTTTTCTTTGTCTGATTGTATCTTTATTGCATTGTGAAATACTGCCTCAGGGCTTGATATTTTAAAACTGTCTTAAGGCTTGTTTTAAAATTTATTGATGTTTTAGTGCTTAATACAGTAATTGTTTTACTTAATACAGTAATTTTTCTCTAATTTTTTTAATATTTGTATGATGAGTCTTGTTCTAAATTTACAAAATTTGTTTGTAAACAATGTCATTGAAACAATGAACCAGGAAAACAAAAGGAAAAGCACTGAAACAACATGAAATTTGGTTTTTATAAAAAAAATTAAAAAGATAATGAAATTTCATAAAAAAAAGATTTTTGAAGCTTGCGAGAGACGACCGAAATACAATAACACAAGATTAACTTAAAGACAGCATTATAAAACAAAAAATTGTTACATGATATCATCTTGAATACAGTAGTACCTAAATTTATTAGGTACTACTTTATGAAAAATTTTTGTATTGCGTACTCTAACAGCTTTTACGATCGATAATGTAATTTGTAAGATATTAAGAGAGTTGATACTCAAATACAAGATAAGATTGCCAATTCCAAACAAAAAATGGCTATGGCCAATAAAATTACTTGGGCGTGGCCAACTGGTCGTACTTGTAAAGTTTAAACTCATAAAAGCAAGTTGAAGACGTCGAACGCACTTTTATTGGTTATTATTGGTTTACAAGTGAGTTTCTTAAAAATCTTGTTGCAGTCAATTTTCTATTCATTTAAAAAATATTAAAATTGATATCTTGCTTTTTTAATTGTAGTACTGTTTTAATGTTGAATAACCTAACTATTATTTTTTTGATTTTTTTGTTACAGTATGCCAAAAGAACAGTACATGTGCCAGTTGTGTGCCAATCATGGACTCTTCAATCAACCCAAGAAAGGACACAAACAAAAATGCCCTTTTAAGGGGTGTCCGTAAGTTTTTAGTAAAGATATGGAATTATGAGAGAGCGAGTAGAGAAAGAGACAATAAGTCATAATAAAGAAAAGATGATGCGCCAGATAGACAGAGTGAACTGAACCCAATCAAAAGTTAACTAGCGCTTTTGTTATCTTTCACAATATGATGAGATCTATAGGATTAATATCCACAAACAAGGTTAGCTTGTGGTTCTGGCTCTCAAAAGTGGCTGGAAGTTACTAATTTTGGAATGTTCGACGAGTAGTTGAACTAATATTACTCTATATTTTAAATTTAAATTGTTTTTTTTTAGTTAGATTGTTATTAAAACTAAAGTTTTAATCATAAGCAAGGTCACAATTTTTATATTTTAGTTGTGAGATGTGTACGTTAAACCTAAAACGTCGAGCTTTGGATCAAATTGAGCGACAGCTGCGACAGTTTGCTGAAGAAGAAGTTGCTACTAATAACACAAGTAAATATGACTGTAATGCCACTTCTGACCGTACTGTGACATTGCCAAGCTATGGTATGTTTATATTGTAATTACTATTTAAATATTATCTCGGTCATCTTATCATAAGCTTTACAAAATTAGTGTTACGTACACTATGAGCCCTTTTACCACAATAAAATTTGTTAGAAAGATATTTCTGACAAAGAAAAAACGAAAAATTTGCCACACTTTGACAACGTAGTGGTGGCCATTAAATCGATCAAAGTAATTTTATCTGTCATATAATTCGCACATTTTGAGAACGATTTGTTGTGTGGTCTCAACAGCCAGCTCTTTTAATTGCCCAAACAGAAACTTTCTCAGACATCTGACATTCTACAAAATGTTCAATAACAATGTGCATTTTTTGACTATGTACAATTCTTTTTGGCTTGGCTCTAGGCTAACTAACTTTTTTTTCTAAAAAAGCAGGACAAAGACTATTTATTAACCTATATCTATGGCAATGACACAATTTTTAAGTGTGTTAGTACAATAACACTAAAAAATAAATTTTACATTTGGAAATGTACTGTTTACAGAAGCCAATTGCTCAAATACGAAGAAATCAATCAAAATAGATGGTCGTTCAATCTTCTGCTCAGTCGATCTTCTAGTAAATAATAAAATACGAATAGAAAAGATTACCCAATAAACTTTTAATAAAACCTTAATACTTTACTGTGAATCGTCTCAGCTTTTGTACAAAAACAGTGTAACACTTGTCTAAAATTTTATATTATGAAAATAGGTATAGGAAAAATTCAAAAAAAAAATTAAAACTTTATTTTAAAAAAATATGAAATGGCTTATAAATATTTTTTAACGGTTAAAGTACAAACAACAATAATATAACAGTGCTTTATGCCATAGTAAAATATTATTTTCACTTTTTATTAACCGACAGCGACGCTTTATATTCACCATAACTTATCAGTCCATTGCCGTCTTTGTCAAAGTCTTTTAGTACTGCATCTACCATTGTCTCAATCTCTTCGTCTGTTATTGGTGCAAATGGCTCTCCATCGTGGCTGTGGGTTAAACCCTAAGATTTTAAAACGACAGTAATTTTACTTTTTCAACAAAAATTGTTTTCAAAAATTTTAAAAGTGTGTTAAATTTTTTAGCACTAGTAGTGGTGTTCAAAACATACTATTAAGTACGCTAAATTGAAGCTTACATTTGACAGTACAAAACATGTCTATTTTGTACATAGTTTTTATGAAACTCTTACTTTAGCGACTTCCAGACCATCGATATACAAGTCTTTGTTCAGATTGTGCATGTCAAAGTAATAAAATTGACTGTGATCGTTGTCCATCTTCTTGTCGATGTCTATTGTGTGATTAAAGTGCAATTTTATGTGTCTAAAATCAAAAAAAAATATAAGAAAGTATTAAGTTGTTCAAATAATTCTGCATCCGTCTCAAAGCAAATTTCGAGGTCTAAGAAGCACATAATTATTTGAACAACCTAACACTAGCATATGCTATCCACAGCAAGTTTGCTAACTTACTCTTCATCCATCACTTCATCTTTGTCGCCGAATTTGTCTAAAAAACAAAGGAGTTTATTCCTATATTATTATTGCTAATTAAAGCAAATTACAATGTAAATAATATAATATATATGCTCTTTAATCTAGTATACATACTGTTTAGTTAACAAAGTTAAACAAAAAGTTTTAAGTCTAAAGCCTTACGATGATGATCATGATGAGGAGCTGCCGTACTTGGCGTTACTACATCTGATTGTACGAATGTAAAAATAGTATTCAAAAGGATAGAAATTAATAGTTTTGTCATTTCGTAATATTACAAAGAATTATTTTAAAATTTCTCTGAAGCGACGCTTCAGCTGAACAAACTGAGAACAAAAAAAGACTGAAGCAAGTGCAATATGCGGATATATTAGGCAAAGTGTTTTGGTAGGAATGACATTTTGTAGTGTAAGACAGAGTAAAGAATATAAGATGACTTTGAATTTTGACTACAAATTTCAAAATTTATAAACTTTTAACTTCTCGAAGTAACGTAATTTACTGTAATAAACATTTTTCTCTTCTGAGGTCTGGTTCACAAAATTTTTGAAAAATTATGCTTTAAATTGCTAAAATATATTTAAAAATTGTAAAATGTGGTTTTATGATAAAGACATATCAGTAGGTATTGTTTGTTGACAAACAAAACAAAAGTTGTATTACTTGCTATTAGGATAGGTCTTGTTATCAATTGTTATAAAGTATTTTCGAAACTTTAAAATTGTCGCAAAATGAAGTTTTTTCAACTTTTGTTACTCAACGTAGTTGTTTTGGCAGATTTTAGTCTTCATTACAAGACTGGTGAGTTATCTTTTTTAATTTTCAAATTAGAAAACGTAAAAAATAGTAAAATACGGTGTTCATTACTAGTTTTTTTAAAATATTTAGCAGTTTTTACTATTTAACCTCAAGATTAACCGCTGGTGAATTTAATATCACATTTTTTTAATAAATATTTGATTTTACTACCAGATTCAATAGACAAAACTTGCTTCCAGATTCAATAGACCCATCTTTTGTTACCTACACTTTGGGAAACGACAAAACTGAATTCAAAGCCTACATTGACCTACAACGACCTTACTCTTTCGTATATTCTTTTAATTGTATAGAAAAAGAAAGCTGTGACCATAATGACCACAAAGTAACATACGATCCTACTAAAAGTGGTGGAAAGCCTTTGGACAAGCAGTTTATAGACAACAAGTACAATGACTTTTACTACTACGAAGGAGAGTACTACAATGACACAATGCATATTGGAAACCAAGATTTTAACTTGGAGTTTGGACTAGTTGAATATGGTGAAGGTGGATTCTCCAAGTTGGATGGAGTTTTGGGGCTGGGCATAGGCGAAAGTGGCACTGATAGTGTTGTTAACTGATGAGAAGGTTGAGCGTGAAAGAGATTATTGTTCAGGAAGGATTGTACTATATGGGAAGAGTAGGATTTTAGATATATATGCAGTTGTTTAGCAAGAATATAAAGATGTATATTACTTTGACTTCCGTTGTTGTAAGTTCATTTTCAGCCAGGAAAACCGTACGTATTTGACACGAATGGCAGTATTACATTTGGAAAGTACAATGATAAGAAATGTGGTCGTTTTGACTATTACAACACTATCGACAACAAGTCTTGGAAGGTAATGGCAGAGTAAGTATTAAACTGTAAAGAGAAACGCTTTAGTTCTAGCGCTTCGTAGCTTCATATTTACTGGGTATAATATTAAGTTGTTCAATTAATTCTGTGCTTCTTTTGAAAGTAAATTTTTGGAGTTAAAGAGCACAGAATTATTTAAACAATCTAATATTTTGATACTCTGAATGACATCGCTTTGTTACTATGTTTTGAACAAAGTCTTTGTAAATTGACATATTGTTTTAGTGTTCAAATAGGAAGACAGACATTGAAAGATCAAGTAGTGACATTTACACCAGGGAAAGCGACAAAGATACCACGCCAAATTTATGAAGAATATTTCGGACATTTCAATGACAAAACGGACAAAGATATACCAGATATAAAGATGATAACAAAGTCAAATTCGTATACGATTACTAAAGAAGACTTTGTCTACTATTTTGATACTGTAAGATATATACGATTTAGTACTACTTTCTTTTAAATTCACTTTTACTGGGTATAATATTAGGTTATTCAAATAATTCTGTGCTCCTCTCAAAGCATACATATCTTTAGGATTAGGGAGCACAGAATGATTTGAACGGTTTAATACTTTGACACTTTGAGAAATATCGCTTTGTTAATATGGTTCTCTTATAAATGACAATTTTAGTTGAAACGCTACATACTTCACTTGGATTACAATATAAATAAGCCTGATTATGACTTTGCCTTTGGCAGCGACTTCCTCCAACATTATTGTATATCAATCAGAGCTGACAACAGCTTCAAACAGTTGCAAATTGGAATTGCTGAGAACTTTGCTCTTAAATAAACTGTAAATACTATGTTATAGATGTCACAAAGAAGCTATATCTTTGTTCGGCTTGAATATTATATTATATTAGCTTTATAATCCTTTACACACGTTATTACTGACTGCGACTAAATGATAACGTTTTGAACAAAACTTTATTATTTATACACATATGTAGTCAATACAATGTACATTACTATTGTATTTGCAACAAAATACCTGTAAACTTTAAACCTTTATTGAAATGTCATTTCCAAGCATCTTTGAAAAATCCAAAGTAAGCTTCAGTTTCCTTCGAGTAATCACACTTTACAATCGTAGGCTCAGTTTTGATACACAGTAACGTTTTGATATCTCGCTTTGCCCCGTTTCTTATGATAGGGTTGTAACATAATATACAGAGTAAATGACATATTGTGTAGATATCGACCAGTACAAAACCTACCTGAATTTAAAAAAATGTTAGTGACAAAACTCATTGTACATATTATTACATATGTTTTCAAATACAAAAGTTTATAAAAATAATATTGATTGACTTACATCGCCCAGAAATTTAGAAACTATAGTATTTTCTCCATATTGTTGTACTAGGTAACGACGGTATAGTCCTACCAAAAAACCCATCGCAGCTCCAATGGCATACATGAACATAGATGGCGCTACGGAAGCTGTAGTATGTAGATTCTCAGTAGCTTGGTATCTTGCACTTAGACTACTCAATGTAAGTCTGTTTTGTCTACTAACTTTGGTATGTTTTTGCAATGTACATAACCACTAAAAGTAATTTTTGTCATAATATTAGAATGTAGTATAAAACAGAATTGATATATTATAGTTTTTACATAATTCTGTGCCCTCTAACCCAAATTTGCTTTGAAAGGAAGCACAGAATTAAGTAAACGACCTAAGAAAATAGTTTATAATAAACATATATATGTGAAAACTTACTACAGCGCCTACTGAACAAGAGACGGTAGCTACACCAAAGCCAGTAACCTCCCATTCCCAATGCAAATGTGTGGGTATACAGCTTATTCTTGATTTATTTACATCAAAATTGTCAAAGTAAAATAAAACAAAGTACCATGCTGTCAACCCAATCGTAGTACTTTGAATAATCTAAAGAAAATATAACATAACATATACTTCTGTTGATGCTTATAATAAAAACATATAAACTATATTCGTCTTTCCAGCCAAGATTACTATAGTAAATTTCACAAAAGCGTACCATAATAATACTAAAAAACGTACCATGATCATACCAAGAGCACATCCCAACGTCCTAGGCTTGTCTTCGTATATATTGACCCATCTGTAAGCTAACTGGCGCTCCAATGCCAACATAAACATACTTATAGCACCACTAGATGATGCGATGTTGTTCAGTAATCCAAAGAAAGCACAACCAATATTAACATAGAACCTGTCAACTATATGAATTGTCAGGTTGTTATAGTAAGTACCCATTATTAACGTTAAATGCATCATTTCCAACGATATTATTGTGTTGCACTGAAAGTTAAACATTTATACTGTAGTAGAACAACTACATTTATGTAGCCTTATGTTTATTTTAACTTTGTATATATGAATACTGTCGTATGTTAGCTAAAATAAAATAAATTTTTTATAAAATATTAAATTGTTCATTTAATTATGTGCCTCTCACAAAGCAATTTTTGAAGTTAATGAGTACATAATTATCTGAACAACCTAATAGGTACAGGACTTACAACAGAAATCCTAAAATTGATATGTAATGATGTAGTTTTGAATATTCGAGTAACAAAGTACATGTTTACAATAAAGTTGAAAGCACCAAACACAGTGTACCAATATAAAAATGCATCATAGTATGCTGATGTGTTAGAATCAAAAGAATCGTATCTTGCTTTGTCCCAATCTTTCGAATTGTTCATTCTTTCATTTAGTTGTACTTAAAAAGGTTTTTTAAAACTATTGTACTCTTGGTATGTTAGTGTTTCAACAAGTTCAAGTACGAATAATATAGTGCTAGACAATAATTATATTTGAACACGTAAAGCTTAGAGAACGACGACAATATTATTATATTAACAGCGTTTATTGTAGGGGTTTGTTTGGCATTAATACCGTATAAAATGACAAGACTTAGTTTGTATATACTATACAAGATGAGAAGGTTAATTTTTGTTTACTTTTTATAAAAAGTAACAATCTACCCACGTCTGGGTACGTTCGAGAAACGCTAATTGGTCATACAACACAAATTGCGATTTACATCTTCGTAATGACGAGAACTGGCCTATTATTCGATCTAGGATATAGAGATTGATAACAGATTAGTATGCAGTACGGGCCAAAGCATCACGACTCTGTAGTAGGATTACCTTGATGAACCCCAATTAAGAACAGCTACAATGAATTACTTTGAAAGTCTTGACAAAGCCTTCAACATCTCTCCTCAAGGCTCAATCTATATACCTTGCGTCAAAAACAGAATAAATGATAATTTTCAAAAAATGCCTAGCATTTAACAAAAGTAAAGCCAAAAGTCAAAGATTAAAAAGGCTGTTACACTGTACGTTGAGTACATTTTAAAAATGGCTTCATTGTGGAAATTTTTTTTAATACTACAAGTCTCACACTATTACACATATATATGTTAGCAATTGGCACTTTCTAGAAAACATACTACATTTTTAATTAAAAATTTTTAAGCAATATTTCGAAAAAATTGTCAAATTTACCATCCATAAACGTTGAAATTCTAAAGCATTAGCCCTATTATTATGGCAGTTAAGTTTTTTTTAACAAAAACAGAAAAACTTTAAATAAAAACATATATTGTCACTTACTGTTTAGCATTTTGACCTTACAAAAACTACTTATCAGAAGTTTATGAAAATACGTATTTGTGTCAAAATGTATACACCCTGTAACATGTAATGTCTAACTTTTCTTTTAAAAAGTATCAAATGAACCTCTATTAGAATGTCTTTGAAAAAGTTACAAATCCTTGTAATTAGTGGTGCTTTACTCTAGTTTACAAAGAATTATGGAACTCTTAGACAACATTTGATAACTTGTTTTGATGAAACTCGACACTCAACATAAGACAGAACAAGAACGTACCAACCAATCTACTTGATAATTATTACCAAAGATATCTTACGTACTATGATCAAAATTACTATGAAGTAAAATAGCTACCTATTGGAACTAATGCACACTACTATGTTGTAATTATACAAAGTTCAAGTTTAAAAGTAATTTAATTGATTTCGTACGTATTGTACGTTTGAAACCATAAAATAATACTTTGATGTTTAACATACCATACGAAAATAAATTTAATTTCAATTTTTTTGTTTTAATAATTTTTAAAATTAAATTTTCACAAAATTTTATCTTCTTTTAACTTCATTTTTATTTGGAGTATGACATGTTAGCATATGTTCAATGAAATAACAAACTAATGTTAATTGAGCAAGTCATAAGCCATGAGGTTTCTATTATATAAAGTTTATAGAAATAAAAGCTTCATTTTGTAAAACTAAAGTAGGCTTTACTTTTAATAAGTGAGTCAGGATCGGGGGCGATTGGCAATTCGGTCAATATAGGCAGCAAGAACTGGCGGTTGGTATAAGAAAGGTGTAAGAAAGGATTTAAAAATTTGTTTAGTCTATAAATACAAATTAAAATTTTTTAAAGTTTTTTCAATTTAGAGGCTATCTAAATTGTTTTCTGTTTGAATTGAAGTTGTAAAGAGGCCGGGCCGAGCTTTGGTTTGTATCCCGGCCCTGTTTTTACAGCCCTGTCCCTTATATAAAATTATTATAGTAATAACTGGGACGACTTTCATTTTACTGCTTTTGTGTCCTAAACAATCAATATTTTAAACTAGACTCTAGTTTGGGTTTAGCGTTAGATTTCTCATACGTCGGCTCGGCCAGGTCAAATTTTTTTAACCCAGCCAAGCATGAAGCCGGGTCAGGCCGAGGTCAAGCAGGGCCTAGTGGTGGATCTATAAGTTTGGAAAAGTATTTTTAAAAATTTTTTTTTAAAGTTGAATTTAAAAAATTCAAAATTTGTCCACATTTTTTTGAAAATGCCCTTTTATTTTGACAAACCGGTTACTCATAACCCAAAACACAGAGATCACGACTGTTAAGTGGCCTCAACATTTGTTGTTATCGGAAGTAGGTTTTCGTCTTTCCAAACTACAAATTCCTTCAAGCTTACGTCCATAATTTGTTTTCTTTTCATTCTCTTCGAACGTGCCATTTCCATACAGCTATTAAAACTTAAACTCTACAACTTTTACACTTACATCCATTATTCAGCCGCTAAGCCAGTGTAACATACGAAGCGTAGAGTGTTACATACGAAGCGTAGTGTGTCACATACGTTGTGTGTAACATGACTACAAACTCCAGACTCGAGTATTTTCATCCTACAGCTTTTCTCTTCGCTCTTATTCTGTTCTGCTCAAACTTTTATCTCGTCGCGGGCCGGTCGACAATGTTTGCTGTGCCAGAGTATGATGGTAGATATGGCAATCCCAAGTCCTTCACCAACTGGCCTGGACTGCCTGGCCTGAAGGAATTGTTTAAAATGTGGTTTTTGACTAAAAACAATGGCAGTGTGCCTGGGGAAGAGGTGTTGAACAAGACTTTACCTGTTCAGAAGCCGGTTTTTGACTTGACTAGCAAGATATCAGCGACATGGCTAGGACACGCGACAGTTTTTGTGCATTTGGAAGAGATTAACTTTATCACTGATCCGGTTTGGGCCGATAGAGTGTCGCCTTTCTCGTTTGTTGGGCCAAAAAGATATCGAGAACCGCCTTGTAAGATCGAGGAACTGCCTGATGTAAGTTTTACTGACATATAATTAGTCATAAAAGTTAAAAATAGTTCGAATTTTAAAAATTACGTTTTGCAATGTAAAATACGACCATGGCCGTCAAAGCCTTTTGAGGTTGTTTTAAATTTTTATATTATTTTATCAATTTAAAGCAAGTAAAAAGTTTTAAAATAAAAAAATCTTAGCTCTGAACTTTGTGTTTTAGATTCAATTTGGAGTAATATCCCACAACCACTACGATCATTATGATCTAGATGCTATTCGCGACCTTTCAACAAGATTTCCTAAAATGAAATGGTTTGTGCCTAAGGGTTTACGAGAGAACATTTTAAAATACACACAAGAGAATGAGGTTTTTGAGCTTGTATGGTAGGTTTTTACTTTACTTTGTTATACTTTACTATGTTTATGACTTATTTTATACTTTTCTCCAAAAATTACCTTGTTTTTATACGTGGGCGCTTAAACCTTTTATTATCTTTTACGTATTGTATTATCAGGTTGTTCAAATAATTTTGAGCCACTCTCTAGGCACATTTTTAGAGTTAGGTAGCGCAGAATTATTTAAACAGCCTAATAACTTAGACTGCACTTACAATTTGTGACATCGTATTATACCTTGACATAACATAAGCTTAGATATAAATAATAGGATAAGCCAATGTTATGATCGATTAAAAATTACGTAAACACAATATGTCTAGCTTTTGAACGTACTAAACCAAAGATTACAAAGATATAGTAGTAGATAAACAGTAGCTTTAGTACAGTAATAAAGCTATTTAGGGGAGAGCACATTACAGTAACCCACAATGACAATTCGGTTAAAGTATGGTCAGTACCAGCCCAACATTGGAGTCTGAGATGGCTATTCGACAAGAACAAGTCGCTATGGAGTGGCTGGGTGGTGGAAGGACCTTCCAAAAAGTTTTACTTTGCTGGTGACACTGGGTATGTCACTACAGAATTTGAAAAGATTGGCAAAAACTTGGGACCATTCGACTTGTCAGCTATTCCAATTGGTGCTTATGCTCCTAGGTAAGAGTTTTGAAGGTTTTATCTTGGTTTGATTGAGTTGTTGTTAACATATTAAGCCTATTTTAATACTCATAGTGTATTTTGACTTCACAGTATTAAAAAATGCTCATACTACTATTTATAGTACTGTAAAATTTTGGCTCATTTATATTTGGACACCTACTATAACTTGCACAAGTATTTATGATCCTTTTTAATAATAAACGCATAGACTGTCTCTTTCAGGTTTTTCATGACAGGCCAACACATAGACCCACAAGAAGCAGTCCACGTCCACAAACTAGTCCAATCCAAGAAGTCTATGGCCATTCATTGGGGAACATATCCTATGGGATCGTATGAGGTAAGTTCACCGTTCTTTTCACAACATTTGACTTGTAATTAGACCTGAAAGAGGGCCCGTCCCTTCACAGGTTCATTTGTAATTAGATATGGCAACGTCTAGGCCTAACAAAATCAATTTTTAACAGAAGACTTTTCAAATTATTTAAAAAAGTCAAAATTGAGTTAAATTAATTAATTTTACTTGAACTATTTACTTTATTACCTAATTAACAACGTCTCTAACCTTGAATTAATTTTGTTACCTAAAATCACTGAAAACGCAACATTTTTCGAAAAGTTTTCAAAAAAAAGCTTTAAAAAATTTAAACCATAGTTTTAAAAAGTAAAATGACAAAAATTTACAGTATATTAACCCTAAAAATAAAAAAACCCTTCCGTATAATGCACTTTTAGCCATATATGGAGCCAAAGACGTGGTTACAAGAAGAAGTATTAAAAGCCAACCTAACGCCAGCAGACTTTGACACTGTAAATCATGGTGAAACAATTACTGAGCGACAAGAAAAAACGTAACATACATATCAACTGGTACTTATAAAGTGTTTGAAGCAATAAAACGCTCTTAAATTTACTTTTTTTGGTGGAGCTCTAAGCTTTATCATTAAATGTAAAAAACCTGTTGTTTGTAGAAAATTAAAAAAGTTTTCAAGCTACCTAAGATCTGTAAATTAGTCCAAAAAGCATATTTGAAAGGGACTATGCCGGCACATGTGGGGTCCGGGGTCTAAATCAAGGCCTCATAGGTCTGGCTTAGGTCCCGCAACGAAAGGTTTGGCTTGCAAAAAAGGTAAAGGCGGGGCCGGGCTCAAGCGAATTTAAAAGGTAAAAAAAAGAACGACAACAACATACAAAAAACTTGACGACAAATTGAGCCTGATCCGGCCAATTTACAAGATCTACACGCAACTCTCTTCCTCTAACGATCAACATTGCTCATTTGACACTGTTTACCATATCTGATCAATAACTAATAAAACTTTACTTGTCTACAACAATATAATGAAGGTAATATATTAGAGTTAGTACGTGGATGAGAATGCACGGTTGCCGTAAGTCACTGGGATTGGAGGAGCTGCATCTACACTGTATATTTTGTTGTCATACGATGCGTACGAGCTAGGACGGCAACAACAAAAGTACACGAGCTGTAATGTTAACAACACATTTTCAAGATCTAAAACAAGGTTTCTTACCAAACTATAACTTTTTAAAATTAAAAACATTACTTTCTAAAATATATATATATTTTGTTATGAAATAGGTAAGTGTATACGATACGAAACATAGACTTACCGAGATAACAGATATAATGATCAATATCAGTACAATGATTGGCACACCAATTACTAGTAGCCAAAACCACCATCGCCTCAAGTTGAAAGTGTAATCTGAAACGTATAAGTGTACGAAGATATCATGTGTCTTATATTGATTGTGAGATTTGCGGTAAAAACCAATACTGCGGTAAAAACTTTTTAAGGAAAAATTAAACTTGTTTTTATCCTTATGTACTCCTTGTACCACTAAACAATTACCATTATCATTACAAGCATCCTTGACCTGAGTGAACAGATACCTCATGTCACAGTAACTGATGTCTTTGTAGCAGTCTTCATAACTCTTGTAGTTATCTTTCTGCTCCACTCCTGTGTAACATAACAACGCCTTTACATCAGCGATGTCAGGATTCCAGTCTTGTGAAGTTCCATTAAATTGTGTCGTATTAGCACAAGCGGCAAAGGATGAATGAGACTTTGTAGCATTAGAAGAGGAATCTGATACTACTGTAGACAACGATGACATTACTGGAGTTATGGTTGACAAGGTGGATAGAGGAAAGGTGAGTGGAGTTGAAGCAGTTGATACTGAAGGGTATGATTAGTTATGTTATTTTTAAGTTAGTTTACCTTATGTATACTAAAAGCTACTATATTTATAGCTACTATAATATAACGTCGTTTAGAATTAGATTTAAGCCATTTTTATTATCTAAAATAATATTTTATATAAATAAAGCCTAACATAGTAAATACAAACCCGTTCCTTACCTGTAGTATCATTTTGAGCGACAACAACATACAAAAAAGCAGAGATCCAGACCTTATACCGCATCAGAGCCAAGTGTAATATAACTTAATCCTTTAAAAAATAAATCTCTCCGGATGTGACTACAGGAAAATGGTCGATTACCATGCCAGGTTTTTGTGTTTTTTCCGAAACAATAAAACTCCATGGTTACTGTAACCTCGAATGTCGCATGGGTTTGGGCTTTGTTTCGGTGTTCCGACGTCTGAATTTGTTTGAATTTCAGTTTTGAGCTGATTCATAGACTACAACTAAGGACATACACTTTTATTGCCAAGTTGAAACACAATTGGACACAAAATTTTGCACTTTTAAAGCTAAAGTAGCTAAAACTTAAAATACCGTATATTTTTGATATCAGATTGTTCAAGTAATTTTGTGCTCTCCTTAATACAAATTTTTGAGCTTAGAGGGCACAGAATTATTTTAACAACTTTATAGTAGTAGAACTAATATACTTTTTTTTTTTTAATTTTAAAAGTTCAAACTTTCATTTCGTTTTAAAAAATTAAAAAACCCGCAGGTAAGATAAAATAACGCAAAATATTAACTCTTTTTGAAACTTTTTTCAATCTTTTAATACAAATAATTTTTTAAAATTTTTTAGTCGTTTATTTGCTCTCAAAACAATGTAAAAAGCAAAAAAGAAATAAAAGTTCGCGGTCTTTTTGAGAGAGAAGCATTTATGGCCAGAGAAAAAGAAAAAAAAAGTGAAGAGAGTGTGAAAAAAGTTTCTTTTCTGTCGCGCCTTCAGGGAAACCCAGTCTTTTCGCGATTGAATGAAATATATCTTCAATATGAAGATAATGTTATGTTACCCTAAGCATCGATGAAGAGTAGTCTGTCAGAAAGCAACATGTGTTGATACTTTAGGCTCCCTCTACCGAGATGCTGGGTTCTACAATATATATTATATAATACTGTAAGCAACCCTAGATACATACACAACTTTATAAAAAATATGTTGTTATAGGCAATTAGTCTAGGCAATCGTATTTGCAAGTGAAAACACTTGTTATACTCATTAAAAAGACCATGTATTGTTAGGTTTTTACATTGATTCACTAGTTATCGTACAACTTATTACTTCACAAATGAGCATTTATACCAAAATGCTCTCTGTAACACCTTACATTACTGCAATCTCTGCTATTTTTAGGTCTGTAGCCGCCTATATTACTGCAATCTCCACCATTTTGCACTTCATAACAGCCCACATTACTGCAGGCATGGTAAATCCTTTCACTGATAATCTGCGAAACAGATGTGTTCCACTTTGTTATGACTTTACTGCAGCGCAACACGATCTTCGGTTAAAAAACTACTCGAAAACGGTCGAGTTTCGTCTTTGTTTTTAGTATGATAAGTAATCATATATTGCTTAAGCTCTAGACGAACATACACCGTCTATTGTAATGTTTTGATAGTGTGTATTTTTATTACGGTTTCTTTTTATTGTCTGTGATGGTACGATTGCTTTGTAGCTGAATGTCTTTTTCTTACTTTTTCGTTAGATAGATCATTTTGCTATACATAGTAAAGATTCGATCAATATCTAAAGCTTATGTTTGATCACTTAACTATAACAGAGTAAAGTTCAAAGTTCTTGAAGGGGAAAACTATTATACTATAAATTAAAATATGTTACAGTAGTTTGACATTAATATAAGCATCAAAATTTCGAAAGTTTGGTTGCGATCTGAACTTTGAAGGCTCCTTGTCGCTGTAAACTTTGTTTTTAACATTTTCCAAAAATAACTTTTGGGGTAAAAATGGGAGTAAGTCATCAAAGTAACGTTCGTCGATGAAACGAGCGCGGTTGTCATTTGAGCTTTACTTCTTGAGACTCTTGAACAACGCAAGGTTTTTTGATAGTTTAGGTGTAAAACTTTTATGATAGTTTAGATATAAGCTTTTGCATTGAAAGTAGTTGAACATTCTCTAAATGCTATGTTTAGAAACAAAATTATCTTGCAGGGTATTATAATAGATAAAATCTGCCTATTTACTAGTACCATGCCAACACTTTTTTGTTAACAGAAACGTTTTTTTACAACACTGTTTGACCACTTTTGAGATCACACAATTTGCAGAAATCAACCTTCTGCAAGGTTATTTAATTCGATTTTATTTTACAGTTTCGAGTGGGGTTTTTTATCGATAAATGATAAAATTCAATGTGCTTTGTACATCTTTATAACCTTGCTTGTGTGAATATGAAAGTCTTGTTTAGTAAACCAGTGTAATGTTAAAGGCGACAAGGAAGTTAACTGCATTTATTGTCTAGGTTTAAAGTTTTCGCGAAATCAAGTTTAAACAATGTCATCATATTTTGTTAAAAAAGTTCACTTCAAGGTTAAAAATATAATTTTTAGATGTTATTGCAATATTTGTGAGCAAAGATTATATAAAATATGATTTTTTGTACTTTAAAACTCTATTATACATAACTTTTACTATTTTTTGAGACCATTTTTTTAAGAACCGTACGGTTTAACCTGTAGTCTTGAACTAATTTATTTTACATTTTATAAATAGAAACATTGAGTTGCTCTTTAAAAGTCTGCGATGATGAAACTTTGTGATTGATTTTAAGGGTCAATTTGTCAGCGAAGCAATCAAACATTACTATGGTTGTTTTTGAGTTTAAATTCTAGAAAAGTAACATGTAACTAAGTTAGTTGACTACTGTTTACTTCAAAATAAACTTGTCTTCTTCATTAAACAAGCATTTTGGTCTGTTATTGCTTCATTTTGATGTTGTGGTCAGTTAACCCTACAGTTTTTACTTATTTTATTGTAGTAAGTAAACATTCGTGGTGATATTTTTAACTTTACTCTAGAGTGGTATGTTACATGTACTATGTGTAAATCTATTATGATGTATGTATCTTCAGGGTATATGAATGCTTTTTAGATATATACAATCAAATACAAAGTAAATTAGATTACTTTATTGCGAATATTCTGTGCATATTTACATGCGCATTGTGTTGTATGTCTCTATCGTGTTGCGTGCTCAATTCTTTGATATGTATCGTGTTATAAGCGGACTACGTACACTTATAACACAAATTTAATTTTGGCCTTTCCGAATTAAACGCATAATTAAATGAACAGATGAATAGAGAACAGTATATCTGCTGTTTGTCTACGTATCTCTTCAAAGAAGGCTTTAGCATCAATGTTCTTTCGGTTTATAGCATCATATTATACTATACGCTTAGTGTTGCAAAATGTTGCTTTTGGTCAAAGTTCAGACTTAAACCTTTTTGTCTACAGTGTTATATATGCAAAAATTTAGGAACTGTAAGACTTGCTTGTGGGTATTTCAATCAAGCTATTAAAATTGTAAAAATAGCATTACTATAGAATATTGTTTTGTTTTTTAGTTTTATTAGTTCAACTTATCAGTCAAAGATTCCTAAAATTAGTAACTTTTAGCCACTTTTGAGAGCCAGGACTTCAGGCTAACTTTTTTTGTGGATATTAATCCTATAGATTTGTACATACTCTAAAATATATTAAAAACGCTAGTTCCCTTTTTGATTGGGATTCGATATCTCTGTTTGTATTACCCTTTCTTTATTCAACACTCTCTTTTTACATAGAAAATTCTGCACAAATTTCTGAAGCTTCTACATATTTAAATCATACAATTTACTTTTTAATAATAAAAGGTGTAATTTTGTATAAAATTGGAACGATAGTTAAGGTTCAACGTGTACGCCCATAGCCGGTTGAACGCACGCCATCCCGTCCGATCTGGCAAGTTAAGCAGCGGTGCGCTTGATTAGTACTTGGATCGGAGACGTCCTTGGAATCACATGTGGCGTACGCTTTCTGAACTGTTACTTCAGGTACTGTTTTTCGAAAAAGTAACTTAATAAGGTAAATGAGAACTCTGTTCACAACCTTGCTATAATAGTTGCAGTAAAGTATAAAGTTGTCTGTTTAAAATTGGGGTTTTAATTTATTTACTACTATTATATATTTTCGACTTACTAGTCAAAAATTCCAAAATTAGTATTTCTAGCCACTTTTGAGAGCCAGAACCACAAGCTAACTTTGTTTGTGGATATTAATCCTATAGATCTGCTCATATTCTAAAACATATTAAAAGCGCTAGTTATCATTTGATTGGGTTTTGTTTTCTCTGCTTGTCTTTCACACTCTCATCACTACATTATCCATGGTATTATGCAATGAATGCCATATATATATTCGTTTCTTAATATTTTTGGATTTTTTATTCCACGTAAAACTAGAATTTATGTAAAATTTAAAATAGTATCACTGTATTTGGTTTTCATTAAAGAGTATTACTGTATTTCGATGGTAGTCTTTGTAACTTTTTTAAAATTTTGAAGTATTTTTTGATAAGCATGTTGTTTGTTTTTGTAATTTTAAGATTGTCGTGAATTTGTTCAGAGTTTTGCTCCTTGAAATTGATACTTCCTTGTATATCAAAACTACTTATTTTTATGAATACGTTACCTTCTGAGTACGTTTGCAAGTTTTTAGGTAACAAACAACTCAAGCCTTTCAATTCTTTTTAAATATTCTGATACTTAGTGTCTTATTCCGATACTAAACCGTCTATGACTACAATATCTATCAAAGTTTATAGCTGTAAATTAAGTTTTTTTTAAATTTAGAGCCATTTATCATAACGCTATTTCAAGCCTATTATAAGCCTACTAACAGTAAAACCAATTTACTTGTCACCTACTTTTTAACACTTTTTACTATTACATCTTGTTGAAAAGTTTCTCTACCGCTTCATCATGCGACTTGCTTGTTGTTTACTCAGGTTACTGCAAATTAGTGCAACGACCAAGTTCAATCCGAGATCGATGAATAACTTTTTTAATTTGTTTTCTACTCTAATTGGGAGTTATGATGTTATGATGCTTTTGGCGATCAGATGGCACTTTTCGCTTCTTTTTATATATTATGTTATCAATGATATTATAATATAGTGATATATATATATATATTTACAATGATGTTGACTATGGTTTTGACATTGCCATCAGCTTATAATGTTTGAGATAAGTCTTGATTTTGATAGGGTGGTGAGGTTTGAGCAGGGTGGGATAAAAGGAGATCCAAATCCCTTTTTTCCTAGGTCAAGCTGAGCAACCTAGGAAAGACATAGTTAATCTAAAGTATTCCATTACAGTAACCGTCTTTTGCCTAAACATCTTTGCTACTTTGACCTTTTATTAATCACTCTGTGACCCCAATTGTGATTTGTTTCATACTACAAGTTACAAATCAAAAGTAGGGTTTTTTTGTTTTGCGACCGCAAGGTAAGAAGGAGAAGATGATTACTTCTGAACCACTCTCGCTGTTTCACAAGATTGTTTTGTAAGGTAATGTGAGTTCAGCCGGCTGTAACTGTTATTGTTTTCTTTTGGTAATTGTCATGTTTATATCTTTCTTTAATTGGCTTTTATTTGGTTTTACTGTGTTAGATATAGGTGGATGTTTGATCATCTAGTAAAACTTTTATTTACTAAAACATTGAGGTTTAAGCTGGTTAACATTGATGTACAGGGTGTCTAGAACAATACTAAACCTAAATTTTTTAATGAATTTCAATTTTTTGTGGAAAATTGTAGGCTCAAGTATGTATTATCTTACTGTAGTTGCTTTTAACTGTATTTTCTACTAATGTAAACCTGCAAAAACAGGTTTAAATGATAAGGAAATATAAATTTTCAACAAACTTCAAGATTGGTCAATCTAAAACAAGGCCAACGATCAACAACCAAAGTCAAACTGTTCAATCATTGCATCTTCATCTACTTTTTTTATTTTACGAGTTACTGCGGCGACGTTCGTATGTTCCTCTTCCTTTTTATCAAGTTAGTTTACAAATGTTTGGTATGTTCCTGGGTCTTTTATCAAACGTTTGTAGCTCATACTTTGGTGTTAATTTTGTTTATTTGGGTAACCTTATAGTACTGAGTAATGGACTATAAAGTGTTGAGTAGTGGATAGTACTGTTTTTCCAATTAATTAAGGTTTTGCTAATGCTTCAAGCTTTTGTACCTTACTTTTGTAGTTACTATCTTAAAAGATAGTATATTTTACATCTTCAAACATTCTTAATTTGTTTTTACTATAATATAATGAGTGTGCACCAAATAATCTTGTAGGTATACACATCTCCAAGAACGTTTCCATACCTCAAAACTTGATTTTTGAGTTTTGGGCAAGATACCATACTATTTTACACTTTTAAGTTGTCACAACCTTGTTTTCTTATATCTCAAGATCGTATGAAGCAAATGTGTTGCCATCTGTTTCCATTTAAAAACTCGTGTCTTCAAGTCGTATATCAACGTGCCAGTATGTTTTTTCTTAATCTACCTTTGAGTTCTATTTATGATTTACCTTTAAAATCTATAATGTACCTTGAATTGTTTTGATTTGCCTTCAAAATGTATAAATTAGCTTCAAATGCTTTGATGTACCTTTAGTTTGTGTCATACATATTATGATAGTTTTATTTTGCTGTCTTGAGCCAAAAGGTGGTTTAAAGGGCCTTTTTTACAATTTTATGACTAAAAGGAACTGACATCAGATTCAAAGTTTGTTTTTTTTTTGTAATTTAGCGGTTTTTGCCCTTTCAAAAATCTTTGTAAGACAATACTTTGTATGGTATCGGTCAGTCTTCATTATTTGTTCTTGAGAAGAGGATATACAGTTTTTGTGGTCGCTATAGGGGTGTTGGTTATAAAGGATGCATTTAGTCATTGTCTATATTGTAATGTTAGATTGAACCAAAAGTAGCGGGACACTTTTCACTTATTCTTCAACTAAAAAGTGTACCACTGATTTTTGTTCAACCTAATATCTTTACAGCCTATATTATAATATCCTTATAAAATAAAGAATAATAGAAAATACATTTATATTGTTTTTCAATCTTCTTTTCATAACAATCGGCCCTTTTTCGAAGTTGTTTTCATTTTAACACGAATGAAACTGTTAAACACCAAGTTTACAGTAATATTGTTTTACATTCAATGATCAGAACCAAGTTTGGATAGTTTATCTACGTCACCAACGTTAATAAACAGAGTAATTAATTGTAAAGTTAATGCGCGAGAAATTGTTTTACCTTGATTCGAACTTTTCCCTTTTTTGAGCGTATAATGTCAGCGTTTTTGATGGGTAGGGGAGGTAGTGGTTGAGATAGGGAATATGTTTTATAAATTTGGTTTTAGCTTGGCATTGTAATGGTATTGTGATAATTTAGGGACATTTACTTTACTATTAATACCTAAAATATCTTCTTTCTAACTTACCGTGCATTATTACCCTTATTATTGCTTATAATGCTCTGTAGAAGTTATGTTCAAGTTAATTATCGTACTTTACCTCTACTTTCTTTTAGTTTTTTCCTCCCACCCCCTCCCGATCACAACATTGTACATAGTAGCACCACCACCTCTCGGCTATGTCGGTTTTGGGTAACCACAGCCACAACACGGACTGTCTCAACGTGGGCAATGCCTCGGAGCAAGCTGCTTTTATGAAACATCGGAGGGAGGAACTGCAGCATATCTACAAGGTCTACTACGGTCTAATACCATTCCCTCTGGGTGTGGTTGCTTTGGCATGTGCTACACTGTACTCTGTCGCTTGTTTTAGAGCGATTAGAGCTCACAGAGTCAGTAGGAAGAGTTATGTTTTACTGCTGAATAGGAGTTTGGGCGACATATCTACATGCATATGGTCGTTTGTGATATGTGCGTATGTTCATGCCGTCGAGTATCCGAGGTAAGTTTTTTTCCAGTGGCTACTGATAATCTACAACTTTATATAATATCGTAGCTAAACTTTTAACACCAATATCATTCTGTATTGCAGCCCCGAGATCGTCCAAGTCATCGACTCAGTCTTCATGGGCTGTTTCTGGGCTGGCATGACATCGTATGTCGCTCTCAGTTTCCTCAAATTCTACGCCGTAGCTCGGCCTCTAGACTACCGTAATAACATCACGATGCGACGATGTATCTACCTGATATGTTTATCGTGGTTCATATTCTTTGTCATGGTCTGTTACTCGGTGGGTGCTAGTGCTTTGTCCAACATCGAAAGCCTACGGGATTGGTCAGGTTGTCGCAAGGAAACCTGCCAGAGAAGCTTCTACAGGTTCAGGAATACCTGTGTTTGCGTGGTATATTGCTCTACGTTAGTGTGTTTTGCTGGCACTGGTAGGTTACTTGGATATTTACTTCAGGAACAGTTTAAAATTTGATATCAACATTGAAGAAGTCGTATATTATAGTAGTTTTCATTCGAAATCGAACAGTGTCGATATTATAGTCAATCACTTCTTTTTTTAAATTTACCATATCATTATGTTACAGTAATCCTCATCAAACGCCACCAACGCTTCACCAGGATCCACAGTCGCAAAGCCGAGAACACTGAGCAAGTTGGAACCAAGCCCAACAAGAAAAAGCTCAGAGATCGCTTTCCCTTGTGGAAGTTGGCCGTCAACGTGTGTACCTTTGCCATTTTTGATGTGTTCTACGTGATCTGGGGAGCGTCGCTTCTGATCGGCGCTGACAAATGCTTTTATATGCGAAATTTTACCAAAATGGCATGGTTATTGTCGTTTCTACATCTGAGTATTCTGTTTAGAATCATTCTGGATCCATGTATTGCCTTCTTCGTTGATATTCCAGTAAGTTTTTGAGTGAAAGAGCTATATTATGTTATATTGCTTTGAAAAGAAGTAGTACTTCGAGTACTAAAGCAAAAATTACTCATAAATTTATCGAATTTCAGATAAGACGCTCCATGCTACAAGTCCTCGGCCTACAAGACTACCTCAAATCCCGAAAAGCAGCCAAACTGGAATACAACTCTTCAGAAACTCCAGCTCGTACCGCTAGTACCAGTAATTCGAATAATACTCGGAACTCCACTGTACGAACACGTCTTGGCTCTCTCACATGATCTCATTACCAGCCTTCAAGCCCTTCTTTTAACAGGTAATCGTGCACAAAGTACATTACGGACGACATATCACTTGATATCGACATGACATCGCTTTCATGACCTCTCACTTCGTATCTTGCCATAATATTATTCATTTGCCATTATATCTCACATGGTATTTGTTACTTCGTCACAACCAATCTACCTGTTGTGTCAACGGTTTTAAAACTGTTTAAATAAATGTACAAAATTGGTCATTACATTAGAAACTGTTATATTTATAGTAAAAACATGCAGAAAATTGAATAAACTATGTAAAAATAATAATTTACTTGTTGTGATAACTTATAATAAAGTAAAACACAACCATATTTTTATACTCAAACGTTTATTTACAAATAAATTATGTAGAACACATGCAGTAAAACAATATAAATAAAGTTACCACAGTTTTGGGTTCAATATTTACAACGACTCCTCTGGAGTATCTATGTATCCGCCTTCTGGCTGTTCAAAAAGATCCCTCGCTTGCTGGTTTATCACTCCTTGTTTAATGTCCGTGCCCAAGTCTCCTTTCCCAGCAATCTGACACTGATTCCAGACCATCATCTTGATCAACTTCTCGAACCTTGTTTGTGGAGTCACACCCAGATGCACCAATATCCTTTGGTTCACAACATGAGCAAGCATCTGTTTCTGATTCTCGTGCATCAGATGTCCAAATGGCGATTCTTCTGGCTTCTCAAATGCAAGCAGGGCGTACGTTTGCTCTAGAAGTGTCATCTGCTCTTGAGAAGTGTTGTCGTCACATTTGTCAGCTAGGTACTTTTGAGCAAAGTCTAGAGCTTCTTCATCGTCCCTGAAAAGCAGAAAACATTATTTGGTTCATAAACACACAAAACCTTCAATAATGCCAACATTATTTCAGTCAAACTACTCGTTCTCTATCATGAATAATACCTAAATTTAGATAAAAATCATAAAAAACTCACTTTCTCCTAATAACCTCAACTAGAAGCTGTCGTAGAATAGCAAAGTGAAACTCCTTATCACTCTCCAGCATCCCTGGGCACAACTCCTTGATTCTGTCAATGGCTTCCGAGATTCTGCCGTCCTGAATCGCCTCTCTAATCTGATTCCTTTCTGTCAACTTCTCAATGTTTAGATCTGGAGGCATTGGTTGTCCTGATTCTTCTGACAATAGTTTAGCGACGTCACCAAGCCCTTCACCTACCAGGTAATCGTACACAAAATTGAAGATCTTTTCTTCTGGGATTCCTTTCTCCAAATCTTCCACATATTCAGAGAACACGTCTGAATTTATTAATTTTACACTTAATTTAATTGTTTAACACTTTTAACTCAAGAAAAACATGTTAAGAACAATAAGGCTTTACAACTGATAAAACATCAAACTTACCGCTTCCGTTGTTATTCCCTCTGTGATATTCATCTTCTGGTGTAGCTGAAATTGTTGGCAAAACTGGTAGATGATCTTCTTCATCGTCAAACGAGGACATTTTGGTCAATTAAGAAGTTTGTTACAACAGAAACTATTGTGATTGATTTTTAGAAATAAAAAATTTATTATAGAACGAAACTAAACTATTGATTTTCTTTTGAAGTTGCGTGTTTCTCGTAAAAACAAGAGAAAGGCTTGACACATTTCACAAAACCAGGTCATCTCTTTCTCCGACGCGAGCTTTCGACAAGAACGTCTTCTCGGGTGAAACTCGAGTAAACGATCTTGACTCCAACTAGTCGCATTATTTAAATTTAGGTATTAAATATTTGATTTTACTGATAATAGTATTATATTGTTCAAACATGGCACAGAATGCTGGAGTTGGGCATGGAATCGTAAGTTTTATGTTATTTACTGCAAATGAAGGCTCATTTTTGGGTTTCTGACGTAGTTTATGATAACAAAAACAATGTTCTAGTACTAATATGTGTTTTTAGGAAGATGTGTACAAAAGTGTCATGAATGATGTGATTGCACAGGTAAAGGACGCGTTCCTGGATGAGAACATTGATGTCGACGTTCTTCAGCAACTGAAAAAGGTACTTTTATAGGCGTGTTTTGTTTGCGAGGAGCTATCACGCGTTCACCATATGATTCTTAGATTAAAAGACAGTTACATCTTTTGAGTTCTTCTTGATTAAGTTAGTATCATATTTAAAATTAATGTGTGATTGATCAAGTCCTTTGGTTTTTCGGTTCAAAAATACGTTGTTGTTTAAAAAAAGTTTTTTAATTAAATTATGGGGAGTTTCATATTATAAATTAAGTTTTTAAAGAATTAACAATATGAAACGCTCATTTTGTACCTATAAATTACAGGAACTCAATTATTTTATTTTTCAATTTTAGGCATGGGAAGAGAAGGTTCAAGAAAGCGGTGCAGTAGACCTAGAAGGTCAAAAACCAGTCCAGCCGCCTCCAATTCGAAACAATCATGTTCCTAATCAAAGACAGCCGTCTGGTTCTGGAATGCAACAACAACAACAAGTGCAACAAAACGTTGTCACGAGTATGCCGAACACAGCCCAAGTCCGCCCGAATCAACACATTCAACAGCTTCTAAATCAACAACCACAACAAGTTCAGGTATCGAATGCCAATCAGGTGCAATTGACAAATCAACAGATGATGTTGTTAAGACAGCGTCAAGGAGAGGGCTTTCAACCGGTCGTTAACAGACAGCCGGTTCCTTTCATTGTCAATGCGAACGGACAGTTTTTGTCTCAACCTGGTGGCAATATTCAACTGATTGGAGGAGGGGGACAAGTGCCACAACAATATACTGTTATGCAAAGTAAGCTTTGTTTTGTTGCTTTTTGAAGTTTAGGTATGAATGGAAAGTTTAATGCTTATTTAAGTATAACATAAAGGTTGTGTTACTTTAATTAGATAGACTAATGCGTAGAATAGAGGGCTCTGTGTATCTTGTTGATATTGCTAAATAATACAACTTTAGATGGTCGCATAATGATTGTTCCTCAAATGGGCAATCAAATGCCAGTGAATTTGTCTAACGCTCAGATTATAAATGCTCTCCGAGTACCACAACAACAAGGTGGTCAAGGTGGAAGTAACAACGGCAACATTCCTCAACTAGACGGTTCTAATGTTGTGGGTCTTCCTGAATCTTCAAATCAGGCTAAAGAGGTGTCAGTTCCAAAGAGGAAGGTATCGGATGGGAAGAAGAAGGTGGAGAAGAAGAGAATTGTTCAATTAGATGGTAATTATGCTGGTCCAGGAATCTCGGATTCGTCGTCGGAGGAAGAAGACGAAGAAGAAGATGATCCACTGAGAAGATATGCTGGTTTACAAGATGAAACTGGCGGGGATGAGGAGGTATGGCAATATTTTATATTTATAGTTTATTGGCAGGGACGTCGTTTGGGGGGGTGGCAGGGGGGTACCCCCCCCCCAGAGCCGATCCGAAAAAAAATTCTAGGTACCTATACGCGGAAAAACGAAAAAAAAATTTTTGAAAAAGGAGATAAGCATTTTTATATAGTTTGTAGTTGTTTTGAGAAGGTATGAAGATGATTCATAAGGTTTTATTAGTCATAAATTGAGGCGAATAACTTTGATAAAGGAGTTTATGATTTAATATACACATTTTTTATTAATATAGCTATAAATAGACTATTTGCATTATAATTTTTTTGTTTATTTTATGTTTGTTACCTTATTATATTACTTTACCTTCTTCAGGGTAACGAAGAAGAGCCTCTAAACTCGGATGACGATCAAAGTGATGAAGAAGATCTTAAAACTCTGTTCGACTCGGACAATGTTGTGATATGCCAGTTCGAGAAGGTGCACAGAGCTCGATCCAAGTGGAAGTTCATCCTGAAAGATGGCATTATGCATCTGAACGGCAAAGACTACGCGTTCCAAAAGAGCACTGGCGAAGCGGAATGGTGACAACCGGTGGTTTTATACTCGATATACGAAGTAATATGGATATTACGATAATCTTTACTCTCCCATTGTTTTAATAAATTAGTTTGCTATTGATATTGACGGGTGTTTTTGTATAATCATGGTTGTTTTGACCAGAATGTACTTTTGTTGATCTTTTTAAAAATTTTCGTTTAACTTTCTGAAATTTTGAAAATATTTTAATTTTTTTTGATATTTGACTTTTAACTCTGAGGTCTAGTTTGATTTTTATTATCTGAAGGGAAGGTTTAATGTATTCATGTTCTGATGGACAATATAATTAATGCAAAGCTTGGTATTTTTTATATGTTTGTTGTTTTGAAGTCATGGTTTTTGGAAATGCCGTTTTGTAAAAGAAATTTTGGTTTTTTAAAATCTTTTTTGCTTGTTTTCTTATCAAAATTAAAACTTTAAAAAGATTTTTGAACCTTCAGATGTCAGACACTGACCAACCGCCAACGATTCGTTACAGGCGACCGTCCTCGACTTTAGATACCGCAAAAGAAACTTCGCCGAGTTCGAGGAAGCGAAAGATCGAAAAGCTCCCAGGCAGTCGCTCACGATGGTCTCAAGCCTCAACTCTGGAGAAGGTTTTGTGGTTGGCCGTGGTACCTTTGAGGACACTGATATGTTGTTCTAACTTTACAATCTTCTTCTTGACTTACTTTGGATTTATGATTCCAGTTTTGTGGGCCAAGCCTTTATGGCCAAGGTTCTACTGGTTCTATGAGGGAAAACTGTACATGTGGCTTCAAGCCTTCATCGGATATTGGGGATACACTGCTGATTATGATGGTAAGGGGACTTTTGTATATCTTTGTATTTTTTGTTATGTCTTTAAAGGTTTCGACAGTTTGTACTGTACTACAGTCTAAAGATTTTAGTACAGTACGAGCTTATAAAATGGTAGTTTCAAGTACTTCAAGAACGTATATACATAGATCCAAGTTTTAAAAACGACAATTTTCAGTGTACGAATACGGTGACGACATTACCCAGTACTGTGAATCCGACCGTCTTCTCGTCATCTGTAACCACCAATCGACAGCCGATGTTCCTACCTTATTCACGGTCCTACAGTCCAAGAGTGTAGCGACCAGAAAGACCGTGTGGTTGATGGATGTCATGTTCAGATGGACACCGTTTGGCATTGTTGGCAGAATGCATGGTGATTACTTTATTCAGCAAGGAAAGGCGACGAGAGACAATGAGATTGGCAAGCTGAAGAAACATTTGAGGAAAGTGTTTTGGGAAAGGGACCGCCGATGGGTGATCCTGTTCCCAGAAGGCGGATTCTTGTACAATCGCAAGGAGAGCAGTCAGAAGTAGGTGATATTGTATATATAGTGGGTTCAATAAGGGATTTAGCAGTACGGTTGAGGGAGAAGATATTTTTGAAGTTTGGCATGGTTTTTTGGATATTATCATTGTTTTTCCTCTACAATATGTGATTAGTTTTACAGAGAAAGTTTGTATTTTATTACACAAAAGGTAACATAATATTATTTTAGATATGCCAAACAGCATGGATTCCCTCACCTAGAACACACTACGTTACCAAGAATGGGCGCAGTAAAAGCCATCTTAGAAGAAATCGGTCCTCGACCGGTCGATGGCTCCGAATCCGACATGCATAAGAGTAAATCATCATCAAAGCTTAAGCTCATCAAAGACACTGTGGATGCTCTAAGAGAAAAGAAGTACATCAAGGACACGAGACCTCCAATCAAATACGTTCTTGATGTCACTATCGCCTACCCCAACTCTCATGTTTTGTCGCTGGGAACTTTGTTGTTTGGCAATAGGGAGAACTGCGACATTGCTGTGAATTACAAGATATACAAGGCAGAAGAAGTGCCATTCCAAGACGATGAGAAGTTGAGGGATTGGATGTACAAGGTATATCAGGAAAAGGATGAACTTTTGGGTAAGAATTACGTTATAGTAGGTGTTAGAGGTATATATTAGGTTGTTCAAATAATCTTGTGGTTTCTCTTGTAGTGAAACGTTGGAGTTGGAGGCACATAATTATTTGGGCAACTTAATAGTAGGTGTTACGTTTTTAGTTTTTTTTATTTTTGGAGGTTATAGGTTTAAAATTGGCAATTTTGTTATTTCAGAACACTACTACAAATACGGCACGTTTGTGGACGGCGAGCCAGGCCAAAGAGTCGTGTTTAGCTGGCGTCGCATCATAGGCCAATATGTGTTTTGGTTTGGCAGCTTCTTTGTTCAATGGAAGGTGTACTCTTGTCTCATTGGTGGTGTATATCGCTTCTTCTTCCCTCACTAATTGTGATCACAACACTTGTTACTGTAATTTGGTTTTGATGAGGCTTTTTGTCTGGATTCTGTAGCTGGCTACTGTAAAATCATAAAAATTAGATTAGCATATGAAAATGAATTTTGTGTAATAGATAACCAACATAACAAGGCTGGTAGCAAAACAGTTGATTACATTCATTTTTGAAAACTTACAGAAAGCCGCAATAATATATTTGACATAATTTAAGTTACAGTAGTAGGTATCTACTGGCCTCTTTTTCTCATTAAGCTACAGTAGTACTCATCTACTATCCTCTCCTTTCTTCACTGTATCTAGTAGCTTCTACACAGTGGTCTTTGTAATTACAGTAACAATACCGTAACATAATGTGCATTTTTGATTCAATACCCACAATATTGAAGGTCCTCCGGTTAGGTGTTAGCAGTAATATTAGTATTAACATAAATGGATCTTTGTCGCACTATTTATAGAACAGCTTTATCTAACCCACCATGTGCTATAACTATCTGCTTTTATCATGAAAACGGTTTGAAGCAATCGCTTATATGGTCGTATCTTGTTTTATCTTACAGTTATTTGGAATAAACATTTGATAATGACATTTCAAATTTATTTGAATATAGATTTTATGCGAAATCAGCCTTAGGCATTGGTTAGTCTTTTATAAAAACTATGAATCAAGTCTCTAGTTGTTACAAAAAAGGGTAAGACATGAAGGTGTGTACCGTGATGTTATCAGTAGGCTTAACTTTTGAGAGTAGTATTATGCTACATTATCACTATAACACTTTGTCTATATGTTCGCAAACATCCTTTTCCTTGTTTCTTTTGTAATTCAGCTTGTATACTGCCAACAAGAAGACTTTGATGCGAGAGACAGATTCTTAAACTGTGCACTATCTTTAGGACGTGTTCCCAATCAAGGTAACGTTTTTAAAGGGCCTGTAAACCCCCGAAAAATCCATTTTTGAAATATCGCCATGAACCTGGCATTATGTCTTATCGTGGCGGGACCAAAAGAAAATTCTCGCGTAAAATATTTTCAGAAATTTTTTTCATGGATAATATTTCGATGAATCTCCTTGATTTCACTACAAATTGCTGTTCTAAATATTGTCTGTGTTGTAAAATGCTATTGCTGGCTCGAGTTTTCCAGGTTTTATCTGAATTTACACTTTTTTGTTATTATAGTGTATTTTCCGGTAACGTTTTGAGAACTTTGGCCAGATTCAAGTTAAAACAACTTTAAAAGTTGATTGGTGAGTATTTTATATAATATTTATGTTGTTTTAGATGAATAATCTATATTTAGACACCCACTATTAAGTTCCAACTGTTTTGATGTAATTTCGCACTTCGATGTTGTTATAGCGCAATGTCGAGCTAAAAGATAAAAGCTTAAGCCGTTTTTGGACTTGAAAACTTACAGAATGGCTGGAGAATATGCTACAGGATGTTTTTAAACTGTTGTGGACGATTCTGGTTCAAAAAGCAGGCTAAGGAAGGATTTCTGCCGGATCCCAGCTAAAACAAGGTCAACAAGCGATTCGTAAGTATTTTATTGCCATTTTTGTTATTTTAGGTATCAAATTGGCCAGTTTAACTAATTGTATAACTTGTCATAGACTTTCGGCTATTTTAATATCATAAACACTGCCCAATTCTCAGTTGTTACCTAAAAATTCTGCATTAACAGAATATTCTGGTAAAGACAGACGGAAATTAGTTGGAAGAGGACATGCACTTGTGGATTTAGCTTAGTTAGCCAATTTCTACCTAAAACAACAAAAATGGCAATAAAACACTTACGAATTGCTTGTTGACCTTGTTTTAGCTCGTATCCGGCAGAAATCCTTCCTTAGCCTGCTTTTTGAGCCAGAATTGTCCACGACAGTTTAAAAACATTCTTTAACGTCTTCTCCAGCCATTCTGTAAGTTTTCAAGTCCAAAAACGGCCAAAGCTTTCATCTTTTAGCTCGACATTGCGCTATAACAACATCGAAGTGCGAAGTTACATCAAAACAGTTGGAACTTAATAATGGGTGTCTAAAAATAGATTATTCATCTAAAACAACATAAATATTATAAAAAATACTCACCAATCAACTTTTAAAGTTTATTTAACTTGAATCTGGCCAAAGTTCTCAAAACGTTACCGGAAAATACACTATAATAACAAAAAAGTGTAAATTCAGATAAAACCTGGAAAAACTTCAGCCAGCAATAGCATTTTACAGCACAGAGACAATATTTAGAACAGCAATTTGTAGTGAAATCAAGGAGATTCATCGAAATATTATCCATGAAAAAAATTTCTAAAAATATTTTACACGAGAATTTCCTTTTGGTCCCGCCACGCTAAGACATTATGCCAGGTTCATGGCGATTTTTCAAACGCTATCTTTACAGGTCCTTTAAACTATTCAAATGATTTTTTATCTTAATGTACTTGTTTTTATGGTTAAAGTAGCACGGTAATTAACGTTTTATCTGCTGTAAGATAATAATTTTACTATGATTATGTTTAGGATCATGTCTGGCTTCATGGGCACTCCAAGCGTCGGCCGTTATCACTGACAGGTATTGTATTGAACAGTTTGGAATGTCTTTGTCATATGTCAATTCGATGAACGTTATATCGTGCTGTAATGGGTGTGTGGAAGAGTAGGTTGTTATAATAGATAACTATAGGGCTTTAAGGGTTTACAAGAGGAGGGATACGCTGTGAAGGAGAGGTAGCAGTAGGTAGAAGCGCATAAAAGGGAACTCTTTTAAATTTTGGGCAAAACTGATGTTTATTAATACTTTTATAGGTCTATTTCAATAATTTTAATACTATTTTTTACTTTTTTTAGTTGTAGCCAAGATGGCAATGTAGAAAATGCGTTTTTGTACGCTATGTATTATGGAGTTGTAGCATCTTTATTGAAACCAGATGCGTGTATGTCATATTTTGACAGTTGTCTCATTAATGGAAACTTGAATCAAGACGGTAAATTTAATAGTTATAGTTAAACTAGATTCGAAAAATGTTTTTTTAATTTTTAGTGTATTATAAGATCATAAGGATGTTTTAAAACGAAATTTTAAAAGTTTTTTAAAGCTTCTTTTGATGTTTCCTTTAACCCATGCAAGGAACGAGAATGGGACGAGATTCCAAAGTGTGTATCAGGCTGCCAATCTCCTCTACCATTTCGAAAAATTAAAATTCGTGGAGTTGAGAAGATTTTCGACGAAAAGAAGATGAAAGATGACATTATGGCAAATGGACCAGCAGCTGCCGAGATCGATTTATACAGCGATCTAATATCATACCAAACTGGAGTTTATTCTGTAAGATTTAGGGTCTGTGAGGATGGTCCCCGATCTGCCTCGCTCAGAATCAGCTCAAAATTTTTATACAAAGTCTTTGTACTACTAATAGTACCTATAAAAATTTTAGCTTGCGCTTTAGAGTTTTAAAACTTGAATATTTGAGTTTTACGCCAATTCGGCAAATTTGGCATTGTGTTGCAACCACTTTTTTGCCCAACCAGAGCGGGGCAGTTCTGAGCCGCACCTGTTGGTTTTGCTTTTTTTTAATGCAGGAAGACTGTTGACAAAACTTATTTCAGCCATCCCCCAACGCTTTCATAGTAGGCAAACAGACGGTGAAGATCGTTGGATGGGGGTCAGACAATGGCACAAGTTACTGGTTGGCTGTCAATTCATGGGGAGAGAATTGGGGCCTTCATGGAGTTGTGAAAATAGCTGAAGATGCAAATTTGGTAACTGAGGTGTGGGTACCTATATTCTAAAAAGCCTACTCTTTATGTCGTTATCAGTGCCAAAGTGATAATCTTGACCTTTACCATGCAGTTCGTTTTTGTGTCGTACTATATAGCACGTTGATCACAGTATTATACAGTACCTTAAACACTGTTTTTGTATTTTTCAAAACTTTTCTGGGTTTTTATGGCGACAATAACATATTTGAAATAGTTTTTGGAACGGAAAATTAATAAGTGTCGCGAGGCATAACTCTCGCTATTAATCATAACACTAAATTGGTCATTTAACTGACCTTTTGGCGGCGAAAGTAATCATTTGTTATCATAATGTACTAATCGGATTTAGGAAAGTCTACTCATAGCAGAGGAGATCCTAGAGTGCATGCCGTGTAGATACGATGACATGCACTTTCAGTGGAATTTAGATACGATATCTAGGGTTAATATCTTGATATTAAGTTAGATACCATAGCATTAGCTTATCATTATTGAAATGATATTAATATATTATGTTAGACATGACTTTACGCCTTTTTTTAATTAATTTAAAGGCGTTTCCAGCCTCAAAAAACATTGCAAAACCTCCAAAACAGCATTAAAAACCATTTTAAGCCTAAATTCCAAACAAAAACTAAAGATTTTGAGCTCTTTAACCGCTCCAAACTTCTCAAACATTACAACCAGATGGTATGTTGAGTATGCAATGTTTTGAGTTAAGCGCGTTACTGTGTAAGACCAGGCAGTTGAGGAGTGTTTAATACCTATTTAGGTGATTTAAACTGTTTAAAAACAACACCTCTAGCTTAATGAAGCGAAAACAAAGACGGCGCCACACTTTCTTTACCATCACTGATACAATAAACTGTTTGAAACAGTTTTAATTGGGTTAACGATGTTAACATAGGGCTGTATCTGTCACAACAAGTTCACATTCTCAGGTATTGTTTTTCATAAACAAATCAGGGTTTTATATTGTGATTGTTCATGGTAAAGGTTTGTTACAGTCTGTACTTTTAAAGTGTAACGAGTTAAGGTGGTATATCAAAAAGCATAATGTAAAATGAGAACTACATTAACAACATAAAAAATATTATAATGTAAGGGTAGGCGAGGAAAAACAGGGCAGGACAGACTACAGCAGGACAGAGTAAAAAGCAGAGTAAGAATATGGTAGAGTAAGGACAAGCTTTTTATAGTATAGTAAGCAGGTCAGAGCAGAGCAGGACAGGGAAAGGCTTAGCATAAAGTAGGGTAAAGCAAAGGGAAGTGTAGGGTAGGGTAAGGTAAGGTAAGGTAGGGTAGGGTAGGGTAGGGTAGGGTAGCCTTACATTCTACCTGGACTTACTGTACTCTAAATGGGCGGTTCCTTTCCAAAATGACAGAATCACATGATAACTGACCCGCTTCGTATGTTGATATAAAGAAGGAATTTGAGATATTCTCTTACATTCTTCAGCTTTACACTTGTAACACATATATATGGTAAGAGTGTGAGTAATTCATCACTCCGAAATGAAGTTTACACTCTTTGTGTTGCTGATTACAGTAGCAATTACTGTAGCTCAAGACTACGAATGTGATTTTGTAAGTTTACTTTCTGCTTTTTAACGTTGTTTTACAATTAAAACATACGATATATACCATTTAATATGCATTATATTACTCTGCTTTGTCTGTGTTACAGTCTGTAATGTCATATCATGCCAATATAGTGTTGTAATAGGTTAAAGTACTGCTTTTCTGACAAGATATATTTTCTCTTCATTACTTTAATATAAAACACGGAATTACCTGGTCATGATATGTTTACTATAACATGGACGGTACGCTTTGAGGGCTTTTATTACAGCATTGAAGCAGATAGTTTAATAATATTGTTGTTTTCAAGTCTAATTTAATAGCGTTCGATGATATTACTAGGTAACAAGGATCAATTTGGTACAAAGTCTTATGTACATAGCTGTATACTAAGGTACATTGTATTAACGAAAAGTAATTTAATATATATAAATGTAAAATGAATTGATCTACGTCTTGACCATGATATCTTTGCTTCTGCTGTCCCATTCGACTTTTTATACCACTATAAAATGGCATTTTCAGTTCCTAGACACGATAGAAGAATGTAACGGTGTCTACAGAAAAGCCGATTCCTACGATCTTGAGCTGAACGCTCAGTTCGAGAATGACATGAGGCTGTACTACATTGCCAGAAACAGTGGTCTACCAGCAGTCCGACCCAAATTCCCCAACTTTTGCCGAGAAAAATGCTACGGTAACGGTCTGGACGACTTCAGAAGAAGATTGTTCAGAAGAAGATACTAGATGTAGTCACAGTGGAGCCAACGCAATATAAATAGCTTGTATATATTACTATTACAGTTACAAAACATTTTTAATGTTAGTTTTTAAGATTTTTAAGTATTTTATAGCATTTTAAATTTTCCAATAATGTTTGTGACATTTCGTCAACTTTTGTTTTCTTTCCCATTTTGCTACTAACACAAACAAAAACAGAATATAACGTTACTAAAAAACTTAACTATAAACTTATTACTGTATTTTTTGTTTTAAATTTTCCAATAATTTTTGTGACATTTCGTCAACATTTACAATTTTACCCTTTTTTGCCAATTTCAAAAACAAATTGTTGTTTTGTCAAAATTAAACGTTTCTAATATTAAATACTTTATTAAAATGTCAACAATCATTCTTTACATAGCAATTTGGACAAATATGGGGGTACTGTATATTTAGGTAACAATGTATAACATTCTAAACAAACCGGGACGAATTATTCTTTTTTTTCAAGGATATTAAAGTATTTTGTTGCGAAAAGCTGGGATTATGTTACAAAACGATTTTTAATCGAAATCAGGTTTTCGTGGTGAGACCCAAAAGTTTTTTTCAGAAATATTGAAGATTTATACAATTGGGTTACTGTAACATTTTAAAAGTACAAAATAAAAATGAAAGTTGTATTTATATTGTGTTTAAGTTGTTTAAAAATTTCTTAAATTAATTGAAATTTCAAAAAAATGATTAAAAGTACAAATAGTGATAGAATTTCAAAGTTACAGTAACCCAAAGTAAATTTACATATTTTTGTTAAGATGCCCATTAGAAGCCCTAGTCAGGCTCTTTCTCTTGGCTTGCTGACTGTAGCCAGCCTTCATCGAGTCCACTAGGAACGATGTCAAGGCGATGTAAGCCTTGAAGGCTTCTCGCTTCCCTCGTGTAGCGTCGGCTTTGGATATGGCTTCAGTTAGAGCTACACCCAGATCGTCCCAGATACTACTGGCTCCAGGGCCACAAATTGAGAAGTGTTGCTCACCTATGTTCATTAGGCGGTCCTGGAAAGAATGGCATTATTTTGACATTTTGAAATTTTAAAATTAAAAAAATTTGAAAAGTTAAAATTCAAAAAACTAAAATTTTAAAAATTTTAAAATTAAAAAAGCGTAAAAAGTAGATTATAAAGAATAATAACTACATAATATAACATTGAGGTAGGGTTTTTACCTGTGAAATCTTGCACGGTGCATTCAGATCCTGGATGCTGAGATCATAGAGCTCGATTAGTTGTTTTACATGTTCCTTGATGTCGTAGCACTTGTTGGCCGAGAATCCACCAACGATACTCGTCTTCTGGAACAACTCTTTCACTTTGGGACATCGCTGCGACAATTCTCTGAAAGTAAGTAACGAATAAACAAAAAAAGAATTTATTTTACATAACTTTTTTAAATTTAAACCGTAGTATTCTAATTTAAATGTCGACAAAAAAATTTTGATACCAGCTACAAGCTTATGGTTATGACTTTTTGCATTTTCTATATACTTTTAAACCAAAAAAAACTAAACGAAACGTCATTTTTAAAAATTTGAGGAAAAAACCATTTTTTAATCAATATTTATTATTATGCTAATAAACTGTAGCTTATTTTACCTGAAAACACTGTTGAAGACGCTAGCCTTCATCCTTGGCCATGTTTGTGTTAGCATTAAAGTCTGGTAACTCGTGAGCTTCAAATGTTCTTGCAATGTCAATCCAAAGTCTCCAGTTTCAGCAAAGTCTCGTGTAGCTCGACTGATTCTCGTCCTCGCGTCTTGACGCTGAAAAAATTTTTTTATTTTTAAGCTCTTCTTATCATAAACTATGTAAATTGATTCTAAAATGTGTTTTACTATCCGAATCTACGATACACTATTCAAACAGTATATATTATAGTACCTACAAGTAGGTCCTATTAAAGGACCTGTAAACCCCCGAAAAATCCATTTTTGAAATATCGCCATGAACCTGGCATTATGTCTTATCGTGGCGGGACCAAAAGGAAATTCTCGCGTAAAATATTTTCAGAAATTTTTTTCATGGATAATATTTCGATGAATCTCCTTGATTTCACTACAAATTGCTGTTCTAAATATTGTCTGTGTTGTAAAATGCTATTGCTGGCTCGAGTTTTCCAGGTTTTATCTGAATTTACACTTTTTTGTTATTATAGTGTATTTTCCGGTAACGTTTTGAGAACTTTGGCCAGATTCAAGTTAAAACAACTTTAAAAGTTGATTGGTGAGTATTTTATATAATATTTATGTTGTTTTAGATGAATAATCTATATTTAGACACCCACTATTAAGTTCCAACTGTTTTGATGTAATTTCGCACTTCGATGTTGTTATAGCGCAATGTCGAGCTAAAAGATAAAAGCTTAAGCCGTTTTTGGACTTGAAAACTTACAGAATGGCTGGAGAATATGCTACAGGATGTTTTTAAACTGTTGTGGACGATTCTGGTTCAAAAAGCAGGCTAAGGAAGGATTTCTGCCGGATCCCAGCTAAAACAAGGTCAACAAGCGATTCGTAAGTATTTTATTGCCATTTTTGTTGTTTTAGGTAGAAATTGGCTAACTAAGCTAAATCCACAAGTGCATGTCCTCTTCCAACTAATTTCCGTCTGTCTTTACCAGAATATTCTGTTAATGCAGAATTTTTAGGTAACAACTGAGAATTGGGCAGTGTTTATGATATTAAAATAGCCGAAAGTCTATGACAAGTTATACAATTAGTTAAACTGGCCAATTTGATACCTAAAATAACAAAAATGGCAATAAAACACTTACGAATTGCTTGTTGACCTTGTTTTAGCTCGTATCCGGCAGAAATCCTTCCTTAGCCTGCTTTTTGAGCCAGAATTGTCCACGACAGTTTAAAAACATTCTTTAACGTCTTCTCCAGCCATTCTGTAAGTTTTCAAGTCCAAAAACGGCCAAAGCTTTCATCTTTTAGCTCGACATTGCGCTATAACAACATCGAAGTGCGAAGTTACATCAAAACAGTTGGAACTTAATAATGGGTGTCTAAAAATAGATTATTCATCTAAAACAACATAAATATTATAAAAAATACTCACCAATCAACTTTTAAAGTTTATTTAACTTGAATCTGGCCAAAGTTCTCAAAACGTTACCGGAAAATACACTATAATAACAAAAAAGTGTAAATTCAGATAAAACCTGGAAAACTTCAGCCAGCAATAGCATTTTACAGCACAGAGACAATATTTAGAACAGCAATTTGTAGTGAAATCAAGGAGATTCATCGAAATATTATCCATGAAAAAAATTTCTAAAAATATTTTACGCGAGAATTTCCTTTTGGTCCCGCCACGCTAAGACATATGCCAGGTTCATGGCGATTTTTCAAACGCTATCTTTACAGGTCCTTTAAGAGATTCCTAACAAAATATATATTAAAGTAGCTTGAACTTTGTACCAAAACTCAAAATCATCTTACAGTACCCAAAAGCATCTTACTGTACCAAAAATACATTACGTATTCCATGGTATCTTAATACACCAAAAGTATATTATGTTACCCTACCTCATCTCCATTGGCTCCATTCATCATGCCAAACCCAGACAACGAGAGTTTGTGACCGTTTGGTGCTGTTAGGACCCCGGTTCTGGCAGCCAGATGTTGTAGTCGACGTTGCTGACTCTCGTCAACACTCATGCGACGTTGCTGACGTCGCGGGACGGAGAGATTAGAGGGGGAGCGGGCTGGCGATTGGGGAGTGGTTACGCCCAGAGAGTTGCGACTCGGCTGAAAATTTGAAAATTATGTAAAATACGAAAAAATTGATTATTTGCATATAAAATTTTAACTTTATTCATTTCAGCCGGCGGTCCTTTATGTGAAGTTTAAGAAGTATTAGGTTGTTCAAATAATTATGAGTTCCCTAACTCAAAAAGTTGCTTTGGCTCAGAATTATATGAACATTATAATAACCTAAAATCAAAAATGTTCGAAAAAAACTTGAAATTGTTTAAAAGTGCATTAAATATAAAGATGTAAAGAAATGTAATAGTATATGTATAAAACATATCCCTAGAAACGTATGTAACTGTGGATATTTTAGTTTGGGATTAGTTCTCAATGATATGGTTTCAATTACTGCCATAACAAAGAGATTAAGCAACAAAAGGGCGACAGACCAACGTATCTTAGTGGTACTGTAGATGTATTCATGTATATTTTACTTTTAACATACTTTAAAATATGTTATAGTTAGAATAAAACAAGTCTTGAGCAGCTTTGCTATAAGAAACATATTGTTATAGTCAACATATGGCTTAATATGCTGACCTACCCGTACTTCAGTGTAAAAATACTCAATAAAAAATACTCTTGGTATGACAATGCACTGTTATAGTGCCAGTGCTAAGGCTAGGGCTGAGGCAACAAAGACTAGTTGCTTAAAGTCTGATGCCTACAAAATAACTATCAAAAACGTTTTACCATCTAACATATATTTTAAAAATAGTTGTAAAACTTACTCTACGTCCAGCGTCGTTTGTGCTTTTGGATCGTGCTCCAATTCCAGTAGCGCCTTCTGAATCCTCGTTTTCAGATTCTAGGAGCGACGGCGATAAAGTGCATTGTGAAGTTTTTCGTCGCGGTTCAGATGAATATGACTGAAATTAAAAAAGTTGAATTTTGAAGAAATTCAAATTAGAAACTAAAAGTAATAAATCATCTTGTGTTCAGTACTACATACATATGAGTAATGTAATCATAAATATAGGTACTGTAATCCAAAATTAATTATTATACAAATTTTAATAAAGCTTGTAAATACTTATACCTCACAGTCAAAAAGAGTAAAAGCTAAATATATATGGTAAAATTTGTTAGCATACTACATTCTTTTGATAAAAGACATGTTTTCTTAGTCTACATAATGAATGTCATGCATTATATATAAAGACATGTCATCGTACCACTAAAAAATTCTTTTTATGATGGAAAATATGAATTTTAGATAAAATACGATCGATTTTATTGAAAAATTAGTTTTTAAATGACCTAAAATACTGTTGTATCTAGGTTATTATCAGAAGTTTTTACTATACCTACAAATCTACCCATACCCCCTTAACGTTGTATATTGTAGTAGTCATACCCTCTTATAACCTGTTGTATCGTCAAAGCCCTAACACTTCTTAACGTGTTATATTGTCACAGTCTACCCCTTCCCCCTTTAACGTGTTATATTGCGGTAGCTACCCACCAGAAAACTGTAAAATTATGCATACTTTTTTTCGCAAAAAGTGAAACGTCTGAATTTCGAACGAAATGCCGCTTTTTTTTGACAGCTAGCTACTCGATTTACTTTCAAACAAAGCCAAAGACAATAAGAAACCACTTTCGGTGCCTTAAGGTGCACATAAAAGGGGGGACAGAGGAGCAGAGTACGGTGGAAACATAATTGTTGGAAAAACATATAGGTACAGGTGGTACAGTAAAATTTTAGAAGTTGCAGTAAAGCGATGTAGGGAGAGGTAGGGCAGGGTATAATAAGGTAGGGTGGGGTAGGGTGAAGTAATGTGAAGTAGGGTGGGGTAAGGAGAGGTAGGACAAAGTAGAGTAAGACAAGGTAAAGTAACGTGAGGTAGAATAGGGCGAGGTATTGTGAGGTAAGGCGGTTTAAGACGAAGAGAGGTAAGGGGGGGGCAGGGTAATCACGCAATTCCTCTCTTTCTCTCCCCCCCCCCTCCTTCTATATTTCTTTAATAAAAGTCTCTCTTTCTCTCTACCCTGCCCTCTTTCCTACCCCTCTCCCCCCCCCCTCCCCCAAATAATACCTACTTTTGAACTAACCTTATAGAGAACGCTATACTTATATACTTTTAGTCATCACATAAACGTTGTACGAGTTCTGTCATCAAAGATCGCATTCAATGCATAAACAAGCCGATGCCGTTATAACATAATAGCCATAGTTACTACAACAAAGACTGTAACAAGTGCGATACGCAAGGTAAACAAGCACAAGATATAAACAGGTTGTACGACAGTAGATAACAATGCGTTGTGATGTCATTGGGGCAAGAACTTGTAAATAATATATTTTAAAGAGCTTTAAACCTATTTTAACCTTATATAAAGTTACTATGTTAACCGTATACCATATACAAAGTTAAGATAACTTCATATATGCAAATCATATAAAACAGAATTTTGTACCTAAAGTACAATAAGTGCCCCTACAAACAACATACTCTGTAAATACAAATATGGTACGTACCCCAACCCACTTATGTTTATGTAGATGAACATGACGTTTCTCAAGATAAAACAACGTCAAGCTGTTCAAATGACTACATTCTACATTGTTTGTCGTTATGTCTATTCATTGCTCGTACGTTTCTTGGCATGACTTTTAACGTATCTTTTCTAGAAAAGATACGTTATAATAACTACAAAATACTGTAAAACTGCCCTACTATAGTATGTCGCATATCCCCCAAATTTCATAATTTATACTTAAAAACACATAGTACATAGTATACTTCTAATTATACATTGTACTAACTGTCTAGTTCTGTTATATAATAGTAAGGCACATTTACTGTGATATGTACAATAGTATTTTATATAACAGTAGAAAAGGTAAGACGAGCAATATAATACTATAAAAGTAAAAAATCCATTTTTACAAATCATTAAGAAAAGCCACCCGACTTTGCTTTATTAGAACACCCCTCCCTTAGCTACTTGACTCTGATGACAAGACTTTACTATGCTACTTAAGTTCTAATGTTTGTACCAAAAACAACTCAAAAATACTCTGCAAACCACTATGTTATACTCTAAATATCACCATGTTAACTATGATATAAGCAAACATACCAGCCAATATCGTAATCGCAAGTGTACCATATTATACGTACCAATTCTACTTAGTGATGTAATAACTAGGTTGTTTTAACTGAGTAATGTTATAACTAGTTTATTATACTCTGTAATGTAACCAAGTTATGTTAGCTCGGTAATGTCACAACTTAGTTAAAGCAACTTAATAATGATATAGCTTAGCCAGAGTAATGTAATAACTGTTTATGTACACTCAACTACCTTTACACAGTAAAGTAATCTCTTACTATTTAAGAAGGCTGATATTAATATCAGATAACAACCTTAAGCTCAGCGTTCTTCGCCCATCCGGCTTACAGTTTAGATTTACTATTTAAAACACAAAGTGTAATCTACAACTTAAACATACGATATGGGTATGTTTAAAGTCGTATGGTAGAAATGTATGATGGTAGAGACAACTTTCAACACATTTAAAAGTACAGTCGTCATAGTAGGCTTACATTAACTTAAAGTCTACATTAAATACTTAAAAGATCACAAAGTTATTTCATGGTTCTATGTTACTATAGGTCATATACCATCATTACATAGTAAAATAATATAATTTAAAGTTTTTGCTAAAACTATACTATAGCTATTACAATTCAGTCTTTACTAAGTAACCATGCCACCTTATTGTACGTGAAAATAAATTTTATAACATACCTTGCCCTACTGTATCTTAAACTATATATCTTATCCTACAATATAGCTAAACCCTACTAATATACCATGTTATCTTATCTTACCATAAAAGGCGCGTAGCCATTACTACTTCCGTAACCATATTCAGTCATAGCCACCCACACCAACAGAATCACACAGTAGAATGTTACCTAGTCTGAATACGATGTATGCTCAAAGCGTATCCTCTTTCAGCCACAACCGGACATATCACTTTTGCATGTTGAGGATGATACCCACTCTTTAAGTCGGCTTGAGATGAAAAAACCTATACCTACATGTAGATACACTTAAGGTGATACGCAATGAAGAGATGATACACATGCCTACACTCAAGTTGCTACACATAAGAGACAATACACATAGAGATGTTACACATAAAAGATAATACACATACCTACACTTAAGTTAACATGTCAGAGAGTACGTGAAAAAGATGTCAAAGTAAAGATTAGACATGTTATAGTAGGTTTTAGATAACACAGTTAAGCCTATTTTAAAAGATAGAGAGTACCGTTTCAAAGACAGTTTGAAGCGAGAGAGTGTGTGAACAGAAGAGACGCCAGAGAAAGAAGAAAGCGGAGGCTGAAGATACAATTAGATGTAGTTGTAAAGTATAAAGTGAAGAGTCAAGATGTAGTGAAACTTGTCAAAATAATAATTTTCATAAAAAGTTACAGTAGGTTTTTCAAAAATTTAAAAATAGTTTCGTATTTTAGAATCGTAAAGTAATATTATACTTTTTAGATATACTTTTTCCTTTTTATAGCTTTTACAAGAAGTAAAACTGTAGATAAACGGCTAGATACCACAGTAAAAAAGCAATGTTTTGCTGCCACAATACATTGAAGATGTACCCACATATTATCATAAACTTCAAAAATATCTAATAGATGGTTCAAATAATTCTCTGCCCTCTAAAACCCCAAATTTGCTCTGAAAAAGGGCACAGAAGTATTTGAACCACCTAATAGTATCTATCCTACCTAGTCCTAAAGTATAAGTCAAAATTCAAAATTTCAAAAAATAATTCAAGTGCCGAAAAGATAACGCAAAAACAAGAGAGAGCAGAGACAATTCAAAGCCAATATTTTGGTGGTTTGGCCAAGAGTTTGAGGACAACAATTTGCAAAAAGAAAAGTGCTCGAGGCATCGACGGAAATGGGATTTGTTGGTGGAAATAAAGTTCCTTCGAAAGGATGTTTAGGTATTCAAAGTACGTTCGAATAACATACAACACAAAACTGGTAGAAGGTAAGATTAAAAGGGATTGAAAATAGGATTTTTTCGTATTTTAGGTAACAATATATTATAAAATATTAGGTTCTATGAACTTTTTGACCAAGATTACATAAATGAAGGTAATATACCCATCTACTACCAAAGCTTTTACCAAGTTCGTACCTACTATAACATACTACATACCTACTCATTAATATACTTCAATCCCCCCCCCCTATATAACCCCAATACACGCCCTTATATACATCATGTTCATAGTCCACCCCATAAACCCGCGGAACGAGCACATACATATCATATCGTATATAAAGTATGAATGCGATCGTGCCCACTGTGCCGTTTATGGCCTGAAGAATGAAAAGAGTAAGCATGTCATCTTTATAAATTACCCATAACATATGCAGGGCCATGTATACGAAAACAAGACGCTAGGTTCATGTTCGTATGTTCGTACAAACATACCATTCGTAGCAAGAGGTGGGGCGCAAGGATGGGCATCGCTGTCGTAAACAACCTAATATACCTCGATTTACTGCCCCTATTAAACGGTATCCTCCAACCCTATTATAGCCTACTTATCAACCTTAATATAACCTAACTCCCAACCTTATTATAGCCTACATATACTCCATAAATCGACGTATAACCCCATAATAACATACTAACCATTTGCACCTGTAATGTTCGTATGTTAGACATCACATGGCCATATATATCTGGGGAATTCTATCAAATGTAATTACTGCAAGTTACCGCCAAAGTAGTAGGCGAGATACGTGGGTTTACATTGTGTTCATCTGCTCTTGGGCCAATTTACATTCCGCTATATATAAACGTTAATGGGCTATATATAGGGGGTTGATGACATGTCATCGGAAGTTGTAGTAAAAGCTGTTTTGATTAGTGTAAACATCATTTTATTGCTTTTACATGATGTTTTGATTTTAATTTTTAAAGGTTTTAATCTATTTTTACAAGTTTTGAAACCAAAACTGCGCCCTATAGTTCCGCAGGCTGCAGTGAGCCAAAAAGTTAAAATACGCAAAATATTAATTAAAAAAGCATTTTTTAACCCAAATACAGTATTTTTACTATATAAAAAAGCTTTCTTTTATATACCAAGACAAAAAAAATTACCATTACTATGGTATGTTATGATATATGTGTACATATAATAACACAGCTTACCGTATCTTCCATAATATCACAATATTTTAGCTAAAAATATAACTCAAATTACAGTATGAAAGTAGTATTAGTCAAGTTTCAAGCTCACAAGTAGTACCACTTTACAGTAAATTAATAGCACCACTTTATAGTACTTTAGCAGTATTATTTTGTCCTTCTATAATATATACCAATACTACGATAACCTATACCGCTCAGTAAAGCTCAAATACAAAGTAAGCCCATTTTGGCATAAAATTAAAAAAACTTTGGAATACCGGAAACTTCAAGCAATGCCCTCGAAAACCGGTTTCCGCGGCCAATTTACATTCCAAACCATGGTGAGTAAGATGTTGGCCTTGTGACACGTTTAATGTCATACGAGATATAAATAACATGTTTGCACATATATATATATATGTTTTGCAATTTCGGAATGTAAACAGATACCAACGGGTTGTGGATGACGTGTTGTTTGGTGTAATATCCCGTAACATACACAGTGCAAAGACATAACACTTGGTATATGATGACTATTAGGATCATATACAATGACTAATAGTAGAAGATACGATAGCTATTAGTATAAAGCCCGGCGACTATTAGTATAAGATACGATGACTTGTTACAAGATATAAAGACTTGTTGATAAAAGGTACTACGACGTGTCTATACGATATGATGCTTAACATGATCGTTATGTGATAATATTAGAAGGTTCAAGTAAATCCGTGCCCCTTCTCAAAGCAAGTTTTCAGAGTTAGGAAGCACAGAATTATTTGAACAACCTAATATAACGTCATTTTAGAACCTGTAGCTCACAATACTACAAAACACAACAATACCTACCCTATAACATACGACCATAATATCCAAAAAGCCAAAATTTTGCCAGAGTAAAAAATTAAATTTCAAAAAAAAACTAAAAATAGATGCTAAAACACTGTATGTTGACTTAGAGACCTCATAAATGCACTTTTATTACCCAAACACCTACAACCCAACACCTAAAACAATATGCTTGATGTTCGACATAAAGTAAACATACTGAAAACTACAAAATGTGAAAAAAGTGCCAAAGCTGTAACTTTGCACCTGTCTGCCACTTAATCCTAAATCAAACACCAGTAGAAGAGCGATATAATCGTTGGGACGTGTTATAACTAACATCACTGATTAAATTTAGAGCTACGTTACAGTTACAGTTTATGAAACAAACCTCTTTAGTATGACACTTTATAAATTGAACCAAACCTGTCCTTACAACCAGGGTGTCATACCTAGCCACATTTCTTGTGGACATAGGTAGTACGGTGGCATAAAAGACATAGCTAGGCCTAGTAGCTATACATAAAAAGAATTTGTGAACCGGACCGTGCAAAAAATTTAAAAAAAATCAAGTCTCTAATTCTTTTTTGAGAGAAGAAGGTGAATATTACTAAAAACCTCAATTTAGGTTCCAAAAGCCAAATTTTCCAAAAAATTTTCAAAAATTTTAAGAATATTCAAAATTGTGAAACACTGAAGTTTCGAAAACTCTTTTGAACCCTCAAGCAGTTATGCAATAAAAGAAGAAAGACATTTGAGACGGTTTCAAACCTTAAAATATTCGAGGAAATTTGAATTTTTATTACCTAAAAGTTTGAAATTTAAGAAAAAACTGAATAGATAAGCTATATTATACTTTTTTGTGCAAAAGCTTTATTTTTTACTGTATATCAGCTAGAATTGTATAATTATGCTCAATTCAAAAGTAAATATTTTTTCAAAAAGTAACGAAAAAAGTTTTGTCGTTTTTTACTGTGCTAAATATAACAAATTTACGACAAAACTTTTGCGGTAATTTTAAACTTTTTAATTTTACTTATTTTACCCTAAATTTACTGTTTTAGCCTAAAAACTATTTTTAAATTACTCAAAACAAAAACAACAGTAACTCCCAAGCAATACTCAAAACTAAAACAATATTACCCTAGAGCCTCCTTGTGACACTTTCAAAAGCACCCCTCGAAAAGAGTAAAACACTTCCTGGAGACAAACTTGTAGATGATATGTATTTATGGCATTAAATCCTCTCATAACACGTCGAGTTCACATAAAACGCCGTCTGGAGATGTTTTTCGGGCATGACATCACGAATCCCCTCCGGGCATTTCGCTCGCTTCGAACGGTTTAATGCAAAAAATAAATTCGAGAGCAAAAGATTATCGCCCAAGTTTGATACACTTACTATTAGGTTGTTCGAGTAATTTTGTGCCCTTAAACCAAAAAATTTGAAGAGGGCTCAGAATTATTTGAACAACTTAAACTTAATATTAATTATTTTAGGTATCAAAAGCCTTTTTGGAACCCCCAAAATGTAGCCTTTAAATTAACAAAAAAATTTTTTAAAAATTTTTTTGAGACCGCCCCTTGTTTACATTACTTATTTACCCCTCCGGAGTCCTAAATGAAAACTAAAAATAACCACAACAATATTATTCATCCAAATTCCTACCAAAATCTCGAAAAACCGGCCGTTTATCTCAAAAACAGACTAAAATAAGCCTAAAATATTGAGAAAACAACAAGTTTATAAGAGCAGGATCCCCCAACCCAGCCAAGACCTGCATCCCAATTAAGGGCGGACTTTAAAACAGTGAAATGAGGTTAGTTCGAACTGTTTGCAAACCCCAATTGAGGATTTAAAAGTGACGAATGCTGC